ACATTTTGTACTATCATATGTTCCACATCTTAGTATTATTTGAAAAGTCAGAACAATTTTGTCAGATACCAACAAATGCCAAATATTCACTTTGCACCTCCACTAGTAAACATTCACAGCTAGAATTCATGATCATAATGAAATGTCTATTCCTTTTTGTCCAGTTTAAATGCTTTTATATTCATTGTCTCTACATTGTTGCTTCATTGATTGTTTCGTATGTATATATTACGTATCTCCATATAGATTATCTTTTCTTCACATTTTCATTATTATGATAGAAATGATTTTAAAAGGGTGGATGTGGATCGTGATGAAGAGGATATCAGGGAAAACAGTTTGGTCACAAATGATGTTGAAAATATATCCCATTGCTATACAGAATGCAACAACAGACAATCATTACAAGTGCTTTCCTAAGTAGGAAAATGTACTGTGTTCTCCGTCATATTCGCAATAAAAGATTAGTCACAACCTTAAACTAGATATTAGTTGGGAATGTGAACTCTTTCAGAAATGACAACAAATAGCAGGGAGGGCCTAGCTGCAGCTGAGTTTCAACAATGGCGTTTAGAATGAAAAATTCAGAGGATCGCAAACATGCCCTTTCCCAACATTTTTCGTTGTCATTTTCAAGGGTCTGCATGGGAAGTCCCGATCACGCTTTGCGCACTAAATTCTGTAAGGCAGCGACCACGATTTACATTTGTTCAGGTTGGTTTCACGATTACATTTGATATCAAATCTAGACTTGTTCGACTTCAAATTATGCAAAATTGAAATGCAGAATGCTGCAAAGCAAAGACCACGTAATACGGTTGACTTGTACTGGCTGGACGTTTTATCACACAGTTTGACGGTGAATAGATTGACCCGACTTTCATTATGCAAAACTATTAACGGCTGATTACGCTTCGCGGCATGCAGACCCTATGAAAGAGTTTATAAATAAAAGCCAACTTACAGTCAGGTCCGATGTTCTCTTCTCTTGTATATAGTTGATAGCCTCCTTCATAAACAGGTAGATCCTCCTGGAATATTGAAAGGAACTCAGGATAGCTGACAGATCCTCCTAGAGTGTGGACAGGTACACAGGATAGCTGACAGGTCCCACAGCACACTCAGGAGACAGGTCCCACAATGTCAGCTATACATTAGCAGCATCTCAAGCCTAGGGTGCAAAAGAAATACACATTCAGAAAAATCACAGGCCAAATACTAGTAAGCAAATTCTTTAGAATGCATAACTCATCTAATTATGTCAAGCATCACTTAAGCTGCCTATCTACCAAAAACTGCGACGATTCTTGAGTTATATACTCCTTTGGACATTTTTCAACAAACGCCCCTGCAGTTCCAGGATAAGCTGATAGGGAGCCCAAACTCTCGTCACTTTTTTCACAGAACAATAGCTACCTACCTTCAAAATTTCGTGACATTAGCATGTCCTGTTCATGAGATATGAAAACCGAAATTTTGCTGCAGTACCATAACATGCCGCCAGGGTTCCAAAATCTAATCCTTCTGAGGCCTTATCAAGACCTACCCACATACCAAATACCAAGATAACCAATATAAGCGTTCAGACAGACACACGAACGCCTCCGAAAACATAACCTTCTTGGCGAAGGTACTAAAACGAGCGTATCTAATGTATAGTCATGTTAGTTCAAAGCGGACACAAAAATAAAACGCCACCGAACGGCAGCTTTTAACTAAGTGCAGGTTTACATACAGGGAATCGTCACCCGCGCAAATATACATCCACGCCATTCTGTGTTTTAGCTTCATTTCATTGCAACGAGTTCGGCCCAAATAGTCACGAGAACATAAAGGATAATGTTAAGTGCGGCTCACCTCCTTAACTGGACGTAGCTCGTCTTAAAAGACGAATTTTAACCACAGAGTTCTTCCCTGTCCAAGCACCGTGACACGCCATCTTGCTCTGAGCAGCAGCGTGGCCTTACCACCAGGTAAGGAATCACCAAAATTTGCATTTTCTCAATTAAGTAATTAAGTTAGATCGAACACCGGTGTAATCTTACCACCTGTAATTTGCATTTCTTTGTTAAGATTTAAAACGTATTATCATATAGCCAGAAGGTGACCAATCAGAAGGCTCCAATTCCCATTGGTTATCAGGCCGTAATCTCAAAAGTGGTCCGTTATTAGAATAACTGACCACTTTTTGGACCGTACCCTTATACAGGGGACAGGACACTAACAGTAGTGTTAACACTTGTAGTATGTATCTATAAAAACGTATTGTAGTTGTCTTCGTCAGAAAGACTATGGAATCGTCCCGCCGTATTGTGGGTGACTGTGGATTTAGCGGAATAACTCTTAAAGGCATGATTCGACGTCCATGATTTTTGGCAGGCAGATTACCGTTGTTGAGGCCAAAGTCAAGTGCAAGTTTGGGCTTCGTGGGGGTCTCTACGTCACTGCAGTGGACCTTTTGTGTTTGTCGCTTGTTAGCAAAATAACTCGAGTATATTAAATCAATGTTCATGATTTTGGTAGGCAGGTTACTGTTGTAGAGGCCAAGGTCAAGTTCGAAAATGGGCCTCGTGGGGGGTCCCTACGTCGCTGCAGTGGACCTTTCGTGGTAGAAATATAACGATCCTGAATGTCATCCATATAATCAAATCAACATGGCCTAAAGGGGGGGTACAAAAATGTATTTCCCACCATGATGATTTATAACAAAGAACTTTTTATATCACCTGGTACAAAAAATGACATTAAACGCTGTTATTGATCCAAGCTAATTTATGACAGCAAACATTTTGCAGATTCAGAATAAAGTATCGTTTTGGTTTTGAACTAAACATTCAAACAAGTTCTAATACTCAATCGCAAGTGCAGTACACAACTACATGTGTGCCATGGCACATGTAACAAAAATGGTTAATATAATGTCCAGACATTTTTCTTTCCTTGTACATTAGAGCTTACATACATGTACATGAACATTGTATTAAACATCTATTGCACAATGAGAAGTATTGTACGTGTCATGACTTTCCACCTATATTATAGTCTAACACTTACTCTGTAGATCTGTTTTACAACTTTGTTGCTATTTTTTACTTTCTTACATTTACATGTACATTTAGTGCCAGATATACAAAGCAGAGCTATTGAATCAGATAATTATTCCAAAGAGTATTTAACTCTACGACTTTTAAAATAACAATGATTCCTTGTTCCTTACAATTCACAAAATCTGACACAACTTTTTCTGTTACATATATTCCAGTTTTCTTTCTACATATATATCAATATGGCATGTTTTGTTTAATAATATGTATGCTGAACATCTGGTCACATGTACACTCTGCTAGACTTCTTTCTTCTCAGCACCTATGTAGCCAGACTACATTGTATATAACATGAAAAGCACCTCAGTCTAATAACAAGACCCTGAGTAAAATAACAAACCTTTGACACCGTTAAATATTCTTTGTAATTAAAACCTGGCAATTTTCAAGCATATACAGCCATTTCTGTCAATAATACATATATTGATACTAAAATGTATACAGTCAAACAAAGGGTAATTAACTGCATGGGAATCACGTTGTATAGTATTTGATTCAAGTCCAAGCATCACAAATACAATGTAGTTATTACATATACAAATTCTAATCATAGTTGGAAAAATCTTTGAAATTATAAAAATTGGTCCAGAAATAATTGTAATTACCCTCCATGAAAATGGGGGTACTGTTTTTACTCCGTTTCATGTTTGGTCTGATATCTGAAGATCGGTGAGAAGGAACTGTACGATATTTGGCAGATTGATGGATGGGGCCTTGGAGATTGTGTAGGTTGACTTTGAGCCCCTGGTGATTGACCTTGGTACTGCAGTTTAATTTTTTTATTCTGTTGTTTTCGCGTTATGGACTGTTTGTGCGATATTAAGGTAGCATGTAGTTGTTATTACCATGGTTTAGTGGTTTAAATTTGGGTCCCCTAGCTGTTTGCGTTTGATATTTACAAAATGTTTAATGTTGGACTTTTTGTGTTGAATGTTTGGAAAATCTGGGGGATGGTTTGGTATGATTTTTGGTATGTGGGTAGTTGTTGAGTCTCTTTTGTGTTTTGGAGTGCATTAGCAGGTTGTCGCATATTTCTATTGCTTAATTTAAAAGGATTTTCACTTTTTCACCCCTACTTCATAATAGGATGGTCTGTTTGACCCAAAAGTTGGGACAGAGTGTTTTTGTTTATACCTCCAGCTGGCAGGTCAGACCCAGGCAGCCCTATCTATTTTTACCCCTAGAGTCTGCAGGAAAATAAATCTTGTTTGTCTGGTCTGCAGGTCATTTGCCTGGTCATTGACCTACATGTACAGGCAAATGTAGCCTGGGTACCATCCCCAGTAGTATATTCACAAACTCTATAACAGTTATAGAGTTTGCGAATATACTACTGGGGATGGTACCCAGGCTAAGGCAAATGACCTGCTGGCCATCAAAGTAAACAAACCAAAATCATTCTGCTGATAAAAACAAAGTTTGACTCATAATATCTCTATTAAAATACACCAAAAGATTACAAAATAACAAGCTATTTCATGGAGGGATGATGTCTACGACTTCTCCTTGTTTATATTATAATTTGTGTAAAGTCTCCTGGAATCAATATTATTACATCAAAGTCAACCTATGCTGTGAGGTAAAATACTGTTGTCTTAGTAGTATATTTGCCACATGATGTAAGGTAAAACTTTTTTTAGGCTTTAGAGGCAATGGCCTTCCTACAGAGTTACAGATCATAGAATTAGACAAGAAAGGGAAGAATAATTGTCCGTCGAAAAGAGAGGTGATTTCAACCTCCAAACCTTCAACCTTCAACCTTCAACCTTCAAACTACTAGTATTCTTCCTATTTGGCTAAATATTACTCTGTTTGAACCTGTATGCAAACTAACAGACTGAGTAGGTTTGGTTCCTCAGAACATAGGAATGTCAGAACATACATGTAGGGCTGTTCCCGTGACTTGTATCCATCCAATGCAGTTTATCAACCTTTGTTTACCTCACTATCAGCTTTCCTTCTTGGCGTTTTGCTTCTCCACAGCGGCGACCACTCGTGCGTGTGTCTGTGAGAACAGCATGTACACGGAGAGGAGCGTGTTCACCACGAAACCCAGGATTCCGAAGGACGGGTAGCCGGCGTACCCCAGCATCAGTCCCCCCACGGTGGGAGACATGGTGCGGATGATGGAGTTACTCGCCATGCTCAGGCCCAACATGGTGCCTGTGGATAAAGATATGGCAAGATAATTGATTAAAATAACATGATCAACTCTGACTCAGGTACATAAAGACTAACCTCTAAGTGATATGGTGCCTACAGAGATCAGAAAATAAGAAAATGAAGGAAAACATGTCCCATAACTCTGTACGGTACCCTAGAACTGCCATAATGATTACATGTATGATATTTAAAAAAAATATGACAAATTTTAACAAAATCTACCACATGTTAATGCACCATCAGTACACCCTAAGGTCTTCAACTTTTAAATATTGAGGTCTGGAGTTCAAAGATAAAGGCCTTTTTAAATGTGGCATAAAACTAAAAGCTATCTTCTATCTTATATGTAAAGTATGTAGATTTAACGTACATGGCAAAGTTCCTACTGTATACAGGTGTACAATGGAGAGTGGACCGTTAAATTTAGTACCAGTGCAATTTTTGTTGGTAAACACACTAGTGACTCTTTGTTTGTTTGTTTTTATTTACCTGTACTGTCCGGTGGCACCACCTTAGTGAGGGTGCTACTGATGACTGTTTGTTTGTTTGTTTGTTTGTTTGTTTTTATTTACCTGTACTGTCCGGTGGCACCACCTTAGTGAGGGTGCTACTGATGACAGTGTTCATGATAGTTCCTCCGATAGTCAGGGGCACGACAGTCACATAGATGTGCCAGGTTACATTTGCTCCAGCCTGCAAACAGGTAGACAAATTCGACATAATCAGTACAATAAATCTATAAATCAGTACAATAAATAAATTAAATACAAGAAAATTTATTTCAATCCAGAGTAAAAGGTGGAACTTTATTCCAACACACAATTGTACAGGGATCAAATTTTCAGCGACCACTGTCGCCTTCATCAGGATAATTAATGACCAGTCAGTTCACAATGTGATCTCGCGAGAATTGCGGTTTACAAACACGTGATCTTATTCACACGAGATTCAATTGCTTACGTCACATATCAGTAAAATCTCGTGTGAATAAGGCCATGTGTTTGTAAACCGTAATTCTCGCGAGATCACGTTGTGAAGTGATTGGTGATGAAGGCGACAATTTGATCCCTGTACAATTGTGTGTTGGAATAAAGTTCCACCTTTTACTATGATTACTACCAACACAGATGAACTTTCAGGATTATTTCAATCCAGTGTTCTCTAAAGGGACTTAACTGCAGATGCAAATGTGCTAATGTGGGGCAGTATGTGTCATATCATACATGCATGTCAGATAAAGTCAGAAAATTTCCGGTTTTGCCACCCTAAAATTGCATTGGATGCCTTGAAAGAATTACGCAAGCCCTTCTTCTTTAAGCTAGCAAATAGGATACTAAGTCTTTTTTCAGTCTGTACTTCTATTGTGTACCAAGCTCAATAGCTATTGCCATACATACATTGTAGCATGTACAATTGTCGTCCAATTAAGATCTTCACTATGTTCTGTAAGATAACTCACCAGGAGCAGGTAGCCAAATGTGAACATGTAGATCGCCCACTTCAGCAGCAAACCTTCGTTATAACGCTTGGTCAGGATTCCTACTCCTAACCCCATCATTACCTGTTATATAATTTTAAAAAGCAAAAATCTTTTGAGGAACAGTTGCAAACTTGTTAACATACATAGTATTACACAGAACATCAGCAAAAACTAATTATGTTTCAGTTCTATACAAATTAAAGTACTACAAACAATATGATGATTCTGTTATTTTTCTGACTCTTAGATGTTAAAATATGCTGTATACTATATTAATATTTTTGCAGGTTTAGCCCAGTGCACCCACAGAAAAAGAAAAGAAAGCTCCAAATTTTGGTGCACTAATATGAGGTGCACATGCACCCAGTATTTCGAGCCCTGATGTACTGGTGTTCATGTATAGTTTAAGCTTGATAGTATCATTTACAAGTCTTACTGACAAGCTGATAACACTTTCAGCACCAAGGACAGACACAGAATTATCTCTCAAATTGTTACCCAGAATACATAATGCTTCTACAAGGTGATCAGGCTCGTAGATGGACTTACCAACTACTAAGTACCTACTACCAGCTCACATAAGAACAAGAAACAGTCATGCCATCAATTATCAGAGTTATCAACCAGGAACTGATGTGATAGAACTACATGACTATAATAGAGTGAAAGTTGTTGCTACCAAGTACAGTAGGGGCATCATCACCAGATACATGTAGCTTTAGTTTAAAGAATGTTTAGGGTTTACTTAGCTGTTCAAATATTAGGTGTAACAACTTGTTTGGTGTAATATAGCCAGCTGCTGTGCCAAGGGGGAGTTATAACGGCCATACAGATGCAGATACACTAATAATAAGCTTGTGGGCATTTAGCCAAAGGGTACAATTATGTATCTGACTCACCATGTTAGCCATTCCGATGTATGACATGAGATATCCGTTCTCCTCAGGACCTATGTTAAACCGGTCCATGGCGATCACACTGAACATGGACTGGAATATTCCCAGGGGAGTGCCTACAATGGTTCTCACCTAGACATGGCAGAAAAATAGTTCCAAAGTTGCCCAACTCAATTAATATGTTTTACATTATAAAATAAAGACTAAACTTTAACTTCCAACACAGGGTAGAGTGCTCACTCTCATTATACTCTTAGTAATGATGAAAGTAGCCTATCACAAGTATCAGAAACAGACTCACCAAAAGCAGATAAGCAGCTACAGGGATGGTAAGCAGTTTGGCAATGGCTTTGACATCAAACACACTCGGTGGACTGGAATCTTAAAAGGAAAATTTAAAAAAAGTCATTTGGATGATCTCAGACCAGTAGCTGCAATCATGTGAGATTCTAAATCATTTCCATTCGGACTCTGTTTTCAATGTACAGAAATACAAAATCCAACATTGATGACTGTGAAATGTTAAGTAATTACTACAAAGATAAAACAAACCTACTGTGCAATCATAACTTTGGAACTTTTGGTGTATTACCTTGTATCTTCACCAGGAGGCATTCTTATCATATCACAGCATTTTGAAAACAGGACCAAGATAGAAAAATCTATTAATAAGGCCACACCAATTTAATTTCTTGGTTAACGGATTCGCCCGCTTCATTTTTTTCTGATTTGCAAATAAAAATAAAAATTCAGAATCAACTGCAAAATGCTCATATCTTGCCCTGAACAGTTGAAAGCTTTCATTTTCTTCCTAGTTGTTACAGTTATTCCATCTTTCAATGCAGTGGTATAATTAAAAGTTCAAAATTCATTGTTTAAATTTTGAACCAGCCTGGTGTGTTGACTTCATGGCTCCTATTGTACCATTTTGGGCCATAATAGGATGCCTAGGCCTGTTTTTATTTTTATTTTTTTTCGCACGCCCGCTCCATTATTTTTCTAGAAAAATCCGTTAACCAAGAAATTACATTGGTGTGGCCTAATGCAAAAATGTAAAGAAATGATAATTGTACCTTCCTTGCTGGACTCCTTTTTGCCAGACTTGGTGTTAGCGGGTATAAACAAGATGACCAGCACAATACTGACCAGGGAACCAGCCATGGCCAGGTACGCTGAGTGCTGCTCACTGCAGGGACAGAAAGAAAAAAAATGAGTACATTGTAGATGAATGAATGAGTGTGCGTATTAATCTACCATAGCCTGGTACACTGAGAGCTTGCTTATTGGATAGGGGAAAGATTGAGAGAGTGAAGGAATGAATGAATGAAGGATTAAGGGATGAAGGGATTAAGAATTGAGCTTACTGAGTATTCTAAGAGCTGCTCATTGGATGTAGGGAATTTGAGATAATGAATGAATGAATGAATGAATGAATGAATGAATGAATGAATGAATGAATGAATGAATGAATGAATGAATGAATGAATGAATGAATGAATGAATGATGTAGGAAAGCAGGAAGGAAGGATTACAGAATAAATGGATAAAGAATTGGTTTCAATGAGATACTTTTAAGCCAATTTTGGGGCTAATCTTTCAGGGCTCAAAGATGCAAAAAGGAGGTAATAAATGAATGTAGAAAGAATGAAGGAAGGGAAGCATGAAGGAATAAATGGAAGGAAGGTAAGAATACAGAATGAATAAATAATCAATAATGGATAAAGACATATCAAAATACATGCACCGGGGGTCAATACTAAACCTACTCTCTACCAAAAGTTTGACATACTAATCATGTACATGACAAACAGATTGAGTGACATGTAGGAAACCCACCTGAAGTATTTAGTGACCTGTCCCCCTAAGACATGTAGGACACCCACCTGAAGTATTTAGTGACCTGTCCCCCTAAGAACGGCCCCACGATCATGCCGATACCGTAGGACAGACCCAGCTTGCCGAGAGCGTCGGCACGGGAACTCTCATCAGAGATGTCAGTCACCACCATCTGGGCTCCTGGAAAATAACATATGGTTCACTTCAAATAAATTGTGTTACACTCGCTCACTGTTATCTCTCGCTGTTGGGGGCTGACTCTGAGCCTCCCTGAGAACTTGTCATACACCTCTATGGAACTAGAACCAGAATTTGCATGTTCAAAACTACCAATACAGGACTCTTTATCACTAGGAAAATCAGTCCAATACCGGTAGGATCTCAGGATTCACTGTCACAGGCTCAATGTGTACTGTAATTCACTTTATGTTCACGGTAGCAAAATTTCACGGTCTGAGAAAAATGGACATGTTCACGGAACTATATGTTCACGGTGGTGACAGGTGCAGAAAAAAAAAGTCCAGGAATTATTTGTTAACTGTAATGATAAGTTCACTGTCCAGAAGCAACAGTGAAAACAGTGAACTTATCAGTACAGTGAACAAATCAGGAATTACAGTAATGCTATTACATTTTCACATCTAACTCTCGGAAGACAGGGAACAACAGACGATAAACTGGACAGATGCCATGATAGTCTGGCAATACATGCTCCATGTTAGCACTTACATGTACATGTATGCATAAAACACAGGATTATATGACAATGTTCCCAATTCTCCTGACTTAGATGTAGAGGTGTTGGCCATAAAGCTTCTAGGTGCCTTACCAGTGAAAGGGCTACTAGTTAGTGTACATGCATTGTACCTCAAACATGTAGCTGTTACCCACCTTGCATGGAGTGCATAAGGAATGAAGGAAGTCGAGACAGAAACAGCAGTAACATGCCGTCCGCCATTCCCAGAATGCCATAGGACATGGCGGCAGCGGAGAAGGCCAGCACCAGCGCTGATCTCGTGCCAAACAGGTCGCCGAACCGTCCGAAGAGCGGCCCGCCGCACAGCTGGACCACCGCGAAGGTCGTTTGAAGGTAACCGTACACTACGGGATCCACTCCTAGCTTTTTGGTCAGGTACTGCAGAAAAACAAAGAAGTCAACATAAGTTTAACCTTTAATCTGCTGAGGTACCCCTTTGGTTTCATGATTCCAGGGCAGAAGGAAGAAGGTTAATATCAATGACGAATGTGACATTTACCAGTTCATCTTAAGTCAAGGAAATAAAAATGTGCATTAAAACAAGATTTCATACATTATTCTTCCTAAAATTGAAATTAAGGAGCAAATCATAGAATTATTCTAGAAGCCATTCAACTTTTCAAATTGATTGCCTCAGTATTGCAGTGCAAGCACGTCTAACCCTCGGAAGACAGGGAACAACAGACAATAAACCAGACAGTGAGTGTGTGAGTGAGTGAATGAGTGTCTTAAAGTATTATACCATACATATCTTGTTCTTAGAGATGAAATCCATGCGTAATTAAGGATGACAGTCCATATTTAGTTTTGAAATGTTGTATCAGAAAAGACATGTCTGCAAAGGGCAAAATTTTGATGCAACATGAACCAAACATCCATTACAAAAACCAAAATCAGAAAATCCAGGTTTTACACAGGCACAGTACACTATAAAATCCTCCAATGCCACCCCAGTACTTACCGGCAAGGCTCCCTGTTGTATCCAGAAACAGGTGCTGTACATGGCGATGTTCAGGTGGGTCATCAGGAGAACAAGCTTTCTCTGGGAGGGGGACAGACCTGGACCGGCTGGACTCTCCTTCTTTGGACTGAAACAAAAAAAAATGTCTGTAGTTGTACCACAACAAAGAAATATGAAACAAGAAACTAGAAAGGTAACATCTGCAAAGCAAATGCATAACATTACCTTTCCATATGGTCTGCTCTGTTAATTCTTACTCAAACACATTCAAATAATTATATATGGCCATACAGCAGAGTCTAAATCCATCCTGCTATAAAATTGCAACATTATGTAACCCAACACTAGTTACCATGGTAACAGACATCTGGTTCAAGTCATTGACCTTTTTGGTTTGGAGATGAAGAGGAAATGTAGCAAAACAATGTTTTCGTTCGGTAAACATAATTAGAGATTTCAGATTTCTGGAAAACAGCTTCCTGAATTTCATAAAAACTACAAAGAACACAAAAGTTCAAGGTCAAATGCTCACCTTCCCTGACCTTGACCCTGTGACCCTGAGGTTCCGTCCATGGCTGTAGTTTCCCCAGTGTCAGCCATATTAGCACCGTGCTTCTGCTGAAAATGTATTATAAAACTGATTCAGAAATATTTTCTTTAACTGAAAAGCCTTGCCAAAAGCAACTTCATTTTTACATGCTTTTTATTTGATTTTGCATCAGAAGTAATTCGTAAATATTGTCCCCGCCCACAAACCGGCATATTTCGGTGACCTATATACACCTTTCCGCAAAGTGCCACATCATTGTTACATAATTTAACCAGGATAACGCTAATGCACAACATACTAAGGAAATTTCACTAAACAAACACTCAAACTTTAAGATATTATAGATAACTTACTACTCTTTTCATCACATAAATAGAAACTATCTACAATACCTCTGAATCTTGTTATCTATACTAACAAAACAGGTGAAAAACGAAATTCGTGTTTCTTTCTTGTGTCAAAGGTTAAAGGTTAAATTTGGGCGAGTTTACACCTACAGTAGGGGGTTTTGTTCGAAAGATAAGGAAAATGAAATTTCGATAAAAAATATCAACATAGTATTTCCAATTGGATTTAAATATAATATTTTACTAGTTACTTATATTTTACTGTTGTTAATAATAAGTTTTATTTAGATTCGCTCCAAATTTTTAATCATCTTTCCCCCATCCAATAGTTAGACTGGTCTACTTTAATTATGGCTGGACCAATCAGCGCGTTGTAAGATGACCCCTGGCCTCGCGCGTGTCATATGACAATCTTTCACAAACCTTGTAGCTTCCAGGGGCTGGGGAGTTCTTAGCTATCGGGTCCTAGGAAAATGGTGAGTTTTCCGTCTTTTCTAGACATATTATTGATACAAGAGGTATGATAACCATATCTGCTAGAAGGTAAGAGAGAGAAAGTCTTCAAAGAGGCAGTATAAGACGTTACAGACAACGTCTTGGTTTAGACTGTGTGCGTTTTAACTTTCAAGACGATCATGCAGACACCGTGCCAAGTTTCTTGACTCTCCCCATATTTTCGGACACGCCAAAGTTTTCCTTTCCAATCATAGCGCCATTAAAGCCGCTAACCTTGCTGTTTCAGCCAACATAAAACTCCAACTATAGCCAAAAACGGCCCTCAAGTCTCCCCGACCACATCCACCCAGGAAATTCCAAAGCTCCAGTTCTTGAAAACCACAAAAATTTTACTACCCAACCTTTTGCTGCATGTTTCTGCTTACAGAATGTAAAATATGCTCGATTTTCTGCTCTATATGTTAGACGGAATCTAGCCCAGAGAAAGACAGACGTTTAAAGTTACGGAAAGGATCAAATAATCGGACATGCTGACTTTGAAGTCGGTTTTTCGTGCTACTTTGTTCAGGCAGGAAGTGGTTTTCACGCGTCTATTTTGTCAAACAAGCCGGCGACTACTCATGTGAATTCTTTTCTTATTTGCCGGCCACCCGGACTTGTAATTCAAAACCTTAACACTGAACCCATTGTAGTCTAAAACAAAAAATCTCCTTGTCTTAAGTAACGATCTTCGTAAACTTGAGTCTTCTTCCGTACATTGACTACCACTAGAGTGCTCCTATCTTGTCAGTGCTTCCATTTTTGATAGTTTGTTGTTTCAATGCTGTCTTGTTTGTGTACTGTTTAAACAGACTTGTTGACTCGGTTGCTTCAAATAACAGGACAGTGTCCCTAGCTTGTGTGGTCCAAAAAGAGAGCAAGGAAAAGAGCTTTACATACATTTGACTGCGTGAAAAGAATTCCAATAGTTACGAAGGTCTCGTGCTTAAGTCTAATACAAAATTGATAAGGTCAAATTTAGTGTAACGTTATGTTTTAACTGAGTTCTAGTTGAGTAACGCTTGGCTAACTCTAGTAGGATTTATGCCTTAAAAGGTATTTCCTGTCCTGTGTTTAATTTTTGGATTATCACACTGAGATGTTTTGTTAAAGTTCAATTAATTGTTTTAAAACTTAGACACTGCTTGCTGTTGACCTAAATCTTAGTTTCCTTCACAATCCACAAACCACTGAAACTTTTTTGGTGTCAAGAAAGAAAGGCTCAATTACTTTGATTTTTCACGTGTCTAAGGGTAAGGTGCCACGCCCCTTCTTATGCTAATTAAATGTAGCACTTAGAAGTCTGAGGGTTTTTTTTTCAAGTTAGAGAAATTCTTATAAAAGAATACACTTGTAAGTGTAGAACTGTACAAAAACTTATTCTGTATACTAGTAATAGTATATTATTTCTACTTACCATTTACACAATGTAACAATTTACATACAGTTTCAAATACCTTGTTTTTTAACTTCCATAATTTTTTAGTTTGTCTTTAATCCTAAATATATACAAAAATATTAGATATTAAATCATGTGATACAATCATATGTCTATGACGTCACTGTTCCTCTATTGCCAAATGACTTTTCAATATGTAAACATTGATTCAACCTCTTTGGTCTAGGCAAAGTCTACTTAATGATTTTGTATATTAATGATTTTACAGAACAAATAATTATACAATGCTTGATATATAATCATTGATAAATACAGCTCATATCAATATAGAATCAAGCAACTCATCATAAAACTTTATTAGGCTTATGTTGCAATCGCAGTACAACAGCTTTTCAAAAGTATTTATCATGATTGTAAAAAAAAAAGTATCATCTTATAGCAGTTTACCAAGAAAGTTGACTACTTTAAGACATGACATAAGAACAGGAAGCGAGGGTTCGGTAGCGTCTTGTCATGTTTTCCTGTAAGGCCCGAGCTGTCTTGTCCTTGGCAGGGTTGGGGGCATTCCTCTGATTTTTGGTAGGCTGGTGTGACTGTTGATCTTTGCCGAGAGGTCGCTTCAGGTCATGTCTAGGGAAACTCATTATTGACCACCCCCCTCTAGTGAGGATTCTCTCAAAGTGGGACATGTCTATTGGTCAGACTGGCAATTTTAATTGATTAAATCAAGGTTATTTTTGGCATTGGGAACTGTTTGTTTTAACCATATATTCATGTAATTTGTTCACAAATAAATGTTACTTTCACTATACATTTAAGAATAAAATAGACTGTATTATTAGTGTATACTACACATTTTGAAATGTAGGGATTTCCAGACCTACTCACTCACATAATACTATAATGTAATGTAGCAGAAGTATGAAAAAAACATAATTTTCTTGTATCATCATACTACAGTATCCTACTAAAATACTGAAATTATTAATGACTGTGTTAGAGATTGATTGCTTAAAATTATTCTTATCAACTAGGTTACTAAAACACTGGAACACAGTAAATTTAAACTCAGTGGCATGGTATTTCAGTCCCTATACTAGTAATGAATGTCTTATTTTTCTCACTGATGGAAGTATCAAACTTGAGGGAACTCTTAAACATGTTCTCAGCCAGTCCTAAGTGTGTCTACCATTTTTAAGATGCCCAACTCTTCTCAGATCTAATAGTGTTCATCAGTTGTACACATATGCAGTGGTGTTCCCCCTTCCTCTGTATACCTGGCCTGAGACAGACCTACTCAGGAACAGAGGCCTTCTTGTCTTAATGGCACCCACCCAGGAGAAACTCCTCAAAATACCTGGTCACCTGATACCGACCTGGGTGGGGTCAAATGGGCATGGTGGTGTAGGGTTAGCTACTCCAAGCAGAGGTTGTTGGGGAAGATTGGGACCTAAATCTATATCATAAGAGTATTAAGACTTGTTGTCTGTCACTACCCCCCACCAGCCTTTGCCACCAAGTTGATAGGGTGACATTTACATGTAGCAGTTAATATACATATGGCCTACATATATAAATGTATGAGCCTGCAACTGGTAGTACTAGTATATGATAGAAAGGTCACAGATCTTTCAGGGTACCGTACTAGTACTAGGTAGTTGACATTCAAACACACTGCTTTGTCTCTGGAACCGATGGGGGACCAACTACTACTAGTATTCACAAATAAGCATATAATTGGTGTAACTTGTACCTAGTAGTGCTACCTAATCAATTTTCATGGTACAGTACTGGGACACATCTCTAATGGCCAGCATGGTTGCTACATGTGTTTTCAGGGTTGCTGTGTCTTGTTTTTATACAGTAGGGCCACACCAATTTAATTTGTTGGTTCTCGGATTCGCCTCTTCATTTTTTTCTGATTTGCAAAAAAAAAAAAAAGATTCTGGTTCTGAATCAACTCAAAAATGCTCATATTTTGTCCCCAACAGTTGAGGAAATTCCTTTTCTTCCTAGTTGTTACAGTTTTTCCATCTATCATTGCAGTGGTTTGATTAAAATTTCAAAATTTATACTTTAAATTTTAACCCAGCCTTTTTTGTTGACTTCATGGCTCATATTGTTAGCATTTGGGGCTATAATAGGATGCCTAGACCTGTTTTTATTTTAATTTTTTTTTCGCCCTGTCGCTTCATATTTTTTCTGAAAAAATCCGAGAACCAACAAGTTAAATTGGTGTGGCCTAGCTATAGAGTAATCAATCATGGCATCAAATCTCATGTATTTTTTATTGCATAAAAGCAGTTTTTTTTTCTTTCTGAGTTCTGGGAATCGTATGATTGGTCTGCATTTTTTGTTGTTACCTGCACCAGTACATGCATACAAATGGAAAGAGCATGTAAACTTTCCCATAGCTAATGTGCTGTGAACAAAGAACACCTTGTTATCAGGGGAGGGTGGGTGGAAGTAAAGCTCTCTACACACCAGTTTACTCAGATCAGCGCCGAGTAGAAAATAGGGGCACATCAGAGGGTCATGTTACATGGCCTATCAAACAACCCCCTGTGTCCAACACAGTCTTTACCTTACAGTAAAGCAGTACTGCGGCAGGGTGCATGGTCTTGTAGTTAGTGTAAATGTTAAGGCCATGGGTTCGAATCCAGGGACCAATGTTTTGCCCTTGGGAAAGACATACACTTGACATTCGTCCTATTTCCTCACTGGACTCATGTGAAAATTAGACTACATATAAGTATAACTACTTAGGATTCTGTTATGGACGTCCGAGCCTCTTGGATGAGACATACATTGTAAAGGAGGAGGTCCTGAGTTTGAAGAGAGCCACACCTTGAGCATGTTATATTATATGCTAGTATATAAAGTCAATACAATGTACATTGTATAAAGATCTCACCACACGGATTGAAATAATATAGCCTAGTAAAGTTGTGGTGTAAAGGTGTGGGTAGAATTAATTGGTCCATTGTTATGAGAATCCCGGTTGTTTGAATGGCAAATAAGTCCTATAAAAGTATAAGCATTCCCTTTTAGTCTATCATAATTCATGCATTACTAAGTATATAATTTAAAAATTTGACCAGTGGTCAGTTCAGGCCAAAAACTGCCCAATGGAAAATCCCACAGGTGTACACATGTGGGATTTCACTGACCCTAAAACACGATTGTATAAGCCACCCCATGGGGTGACATACAGGTATGTTAATTATAGCTTTAAGAGGTCTTTCATTAAGTCATTAGCTATATTATATAGTCTGCATGTATTTCAGCAGAAAACACGTGCACCTGTCTACAATGTTGTTCTAGCTATTTCATTATTTTTCTCGAAAGAGATCGGTTATCCAGGAATGGCTACATGTTCATTTGTATTTGATTTGTATTATTTTGTAGACTTTTTTTGTCAAATTATACACAAATTGGATTAGACAATTATAGATAATGACCAGCAATTGTTCATTGGTTAATCTCAACATTAGAATTAAATAGATACTTGTAGGTTGTTGAAAACTTTTTGTTTTGTTTAAGCTAAATTTTTATTGTTGTGGAAGAAATAACACTCACTAGTACTAACTGGTACATTGTCTGTACAGGGTGTATACTAGTAGTACTAGCAGGTGACGCTGGGTCAGGGGTCTAGGGGTCAATGACCCACATTAGGACCCACCAAACAGTTTTGTCAACAATAATTTATGTGTACAATGTATATGCTCAGTTGTCTTGAAAGATCATACTACTGAAATGCCAATTTAGTATAAAAAAAAAAGTTGTGCCAAAAGTTGTGTCCCAAATTCCGAAACTGAGTACTACATGTAGTACTGTTCCTACTTCTTAGGTATTTTTCTAGGTCAGTGGACGCAAAGTTGAAAGATCATTGACCTTAAAAAAGGACAGTAGCTTAAGGACAAAGTCTACTTAAAAACAGACATTCATACAAGAAACAAGACTGTTGAATCTCCAGTTAGCCTGGTTACCAAACCTATTATACATGTTGCTCCCAAGTCCTACATCCTCTCCGCTATTTGCAGAGAGGATGTAGGACTCGGGAGCTACATGTATAATAGGTTTGGTAACCAGGCTATCTCCAGTGCCTTATAAATTATATTATAAGTTATATGGTTTACACCTATCTGTAACCCCCTCCCCTCCACTATCGCATATGTTGAAGCCATCTCAGTATCTGGCTTAAAACTATAGTAAATGAACAAAAAGAACAAAAACATTTTTGTTGAAACATATTGAAGCTGTTTGGCAGAATGTATTTAAAGTTTAACTTGTTATCAGTCCATAAAAGTCCAAAAATTGTTGAAAATTGTTTAAAAAAGACAATATATTTAGATATATTTTCAGTATCTGAAATTCAAAAACATTACATTTCAAGATTTACAGTAAAATCATAGGAATCTGATGATTTGGGGGGAATATCATCTATGAAATCATTATCTTATATTAAACTTTAAGTGTCTTCTTTTGTTTCTTAAGGCGTCGTCGGGAGACAAGAAGGAACACCTGTACAAGATCTTGGTGATTGGAGACCTCGGGACGGGGAAGACCAGTATCATCAAGAGATACGTGCATCAGTTCTTCTCACAGCACTATAGGGCTACTGTATCCTTTCAATAACTTTCACAACAAGAAAGATACTAACTAGTGTACTGTGTAATTACATACATGTGTAGCATATCGGTACATGTAACTTAGTAATCTGTAATTATAACAAATGGGAACAAGATATAAGCATGTATATATAAGGTCACAATTCAGACTTTGTTCTGCAATTGCAAGGTTGTTGCTTCAATATGGTTGCCAAATAAAATCACTATAATTATACATGCAAATTCCATGTGTCCATGGGCAAGAATTTAGAATCCCAGGGCCCGGGTTGGCTCTAGTTTTACACGTTACTGTGCAGTACTAGGGGTACAGTGTAGTAAATACATGTAGACACAGTGACTGATCAAAAACTTTCTGTCTACTCTCATGCTTATGTAGATGTAAGTACAAGCACTTGTTTTTGTGGTCCGTGACCTTGAAAACACAGATTGGGGTGGACTTTGCCCTCAAGGTCATCAACTGGGATGCAGACACGCTAATCAGGTTACAACTGTGGGACATCGCAGGTAAAATTTCATAATATATTTAATAAATAATATGTAATTATATTTAATATGTAATATACATCCCCTGCAAGTGGTTACTGGTGTATAATTATGTTTTCCTTCTCAGAAGTAAAAATACAGTAATAACTGTTTTTGCTTTGTTTCTTCTTCCTCCTCTTCTTCTTCTCCAAACAAATAAGGTCAATGACCAGGACCAGACGTCTGTCACCATGGTAACTGGTCTTGGGTTACATCATGTTGCTAGTGCCATGCAGAACTGAGTTCAAGAGGGGCTGCATGGTCGCCAGATACAAGAAGGTGTTTGAGTAAGAATAAAGAACAAACAAAGCAGTAGCTTGTTAAACTGAGCCATGTGAAGGTAAACATAATGCATTTGCTTTGCAAATATTACTTTCTAGTTATAATTTTCTTTGTGGTACCACAACAGGACAAGAACGGTTTGGAAACATGACCAGAGTATACTACAAGGAAGCAGTAGGAGCTTTTGTAGTATTCGACGTCACGAGAGCATCAACATTCGAAGCAGTGTCAAAGTGGAAGAACGACCTAGACAGCAAAGTTCAACTTCCCAATGGACAGTCAATTCCTGCAGTGTTGTTGGCAAACAAGGTGAGAAAATGTTTCTATCTATTCCGTCATTTCAATTTCTGCCATTATAGTGGCAACAATTCTTTAGGAGGGTTCCAAGGGAGGGGTGGGGGAATGCTTCCCCAGGAAAAATGCTGAAATCTTGTCCCTCTGAAATGCTATTTCCTGCATTTTGATGGGCAATTTTGCAGTTAGACTAAGCTTAGTTCAGGTTCAGTAACATTCCATACCTTTAAACACCAATTTTGTCCATCAAAGATGACAGATCGGGCAATTTTTTTGTCATCAGCAGCAAAAATTCCTTCAAAATGACAGAAAGATGGATGCAGGCCACATGGAGGCTGTGATGACTGGTTTCCATAGTGACAGAGAATAGTCAGCTCTATATTCTTACTTGTCTAGTATAGTATTAAAAAATCTTGAGCTCCTATTGGTAGTTCCGGGAATAATTCTCTCAAATTAGAGGCTGAAAAAAAGGGGAATTTCAGTGTGTTACACGGCCATTGATTGTGTGTTTCTGTCCCAGTGTGACCAGGCTAAGGAAGGCATGGTGAACAACACATCTCAGATGGACGAGTACTGCAAGGAGAAGAGCTTCATCGGCTGGTTTGAGACGTCTGCCAAGGAAAATATCAACATCGACGAGGCGGCCAGATATCTGGTCACAAGGGTACGTTTGTTTTCTTGTCTTGGCAGCTCAGCAATTTGACTTCCGAGTATTTTTTTGAGTGGCTGCGCGTTGGGTTTGTATATCTCTTTGTCCAGTCATTCAAAGACAATTGCAACTTAGATGAATTACCGAGATTACTTTCAGATGCTCAACAGCCATTCAGCATAGCACACCAGCTTCGCAGGCAGCTGGCTACGTTACACAGAACAACTTGTTACATGTAACCCTTGGACATCTAACTCTAAACATTGTTTAAAGCTATCTAATGATAATGCCCCTACTGTACTTGGTGACAGTGAGTTCCACTCTGTGATAGTTCTAGGAAAGAATGAGTTTTTGAACACCTCAATCCTTGATTGACAACTCTGGTATTTGTAGGCATGAGTATGACTGTTGTAGAGGTTCATAGATGGCCTCTTTAACTCATATTATGTCTTCGTGTCTTCCTAATTGCAGATACTAGCAAATGACAAGGCCAACAGCTACGATGACCCTGTGGACAAGGACAAGATCATGCTGGACGGGACAAGCACAGACGAACCAGAAGGGCGGGGCAGCTGTTGCTAATGGCAACTCGTTATAGCTCTGTAATTATCACTAATTAGTAGCCAACAAGGTCGGTTTCTTGCATATAACATCATCCATGTTCAGTGAAAGACACAATTTTTGAAGGAAATTTTTCTACAACTGTATGTAAGGAAATGGGCTAAGCAATTCTTACAATATCTAGTAAAATGGCTCTCTGATATAACCACCGGTATAAAAGACAAATACATTGTACAGCCCAATATTTGGTAAGACATACATTTTTTAATGACAATTTAGTGCAAACTTCATTACTTTCAATCTTAATTATAATTTTCCCAATTAGTTTTGCGGTGACCAATCCACCGTAAATTCATGGCAAATATACAATGTATGACTGCAGTAACTTTTTCAAAAGTGTATCTTAAACACAGCAATAACTACTTTTCCATCCTACTGTAAAATAAGACCTTTTACCACAAAAGTAAATGATCTTGCAGTATTTGTGACTGAGGACTTTATTTTGGGTTGGAGTAGAGGCAGTATTGTCAATATTAACAGTTTTTTACAATGTAAATTTTGTATGCTTAATCATGTAAATTGTAAGGACAATGGTTGACCTTCATTATATGACCTTGAAGTTCACAATTGGAATATTGATGTCATCGCAGTGTTTTCTCACCAATCAGTGATTTGCTCGAGTTATTAAAGCGAAGAGTAAATAGATTGTATAACTTCTGTGTTCAATTGCAGTCATAGGGACTTTTTTTCATCTTAATGATAATCTTATCCTCTTGAGACCCGAAATATGATGTGGGAAAATTATGACACTTTTTATCAGTTTTGCAACTATTACAACGTGATGAATTTCTCGATTTTTTCGGTGTATGAAGACATCATAAGTTGCAGTAATTTGTTTCATAGCAAGCCTTGTTGCCTTGTAATGTACTCTATCACCCATTCTTTTTTACCGAAAATGGGCCAAAATCAATGTACATGTATGCGGAAAATCATGGTTCATTTTATAGTGCTGAAAATTGTGCTGTAGCAATAGGTTCTCCTTGAATTATTTCAATACTCATTTGTAACAATTCTGAACATTACATATCACATTTTAGGGCTTTTATAAACTACTGTCATTCTCAAAACTTTATGGGTTTTTTTTTCAATCTCAAACATTGCAAGCTCTTGCCTATACATATGACGTACAGAGTATGCATGACTTTTACATTGTTTGAAGCCCACAGCATTGTAGAAAAAATTGAACATTTACACTCAAACTTATAAGACCATTGACACTTGCCCTCAACTTTAAAGCATAATTTTTGGGTAATTGATTGCTTAATTGAAATTGTCTTAATGTCAGTCTTCTCAAAAAGACATCTTCATTTTATTAGGTTGGAACCATTGTGTTTGAATGGCCAGTATGCAAGTCAGTATCTAATTGTGGCCTTGCTGTATTTTTTAATGATCTTGCTAATGTATATCTTGATATTGAATAATAATTAGGTATAGAAGTGCTGCATTGTAGATGTTTGATGTGGATGATTTTGTATGAAATTTTGTATAAAAGTTTTTAACCAAGGTATTGGGAAAAAGTTGAAGGGATATATGTTTTAACATGACATGCTATTTGTATCTCAGTCTATGTACCTTTAAGTTAATAATCCTTGGGTTTATACATGTCAGTCAAATAATCTTAATAAAGCATATTTCCCAAACATGTTCACTAGATATCCATATTATATTGCAAGCACAATAAAGCCGCCAAATTTGTAAAATAATTGCCAGTATTATTTGTACTTTCAAGTCACTAAGTATGAATTTCTAGAAACATCTGGCCATTCTATGAATAAAAGGGACAAGTTATAAAAGTGAGATATGGAAGTGTGACTGGTTTTATATCACGGTATCATTATACAATACAGTTTAATGTTTTCAAGTAAAACTTGCATGAGGACACTTACATTTTCACTGTTGGACAACCCTTTGTTTGTACAAAGTTTTTATCACTTTGACTTGTTGGATTACCAGAGATTGCCAAAGTCTAAAAAAAGAAAGAAAAAAAAGATAATCCCTACCTACCGACCCTAATTTTTTTCAGGACTGAAACAGGAAACACAACTCTTTTTCCCCAGGCTCTAGAACATTGAAGATTGGAAGAAACCGTTTCTACTCTAAGAAAGAAATCAAGATGGTTTCTTAACACGTGGCCCCCCCTCTAATTTTTTCAGGAGTGAAACAGGAAACAACATTTTTTCCCAAGGCTCTAGAACATTGAAGATTGGAAGAAACGATTTCTACTTTAAGAAAGAAATCGAGATGGTTTCTTCACAACACGTGGCCCTCCCCTGTGTGACTAAGACAGATGAAGTTGTTTTGACAGTGTTGACAGTACTTCGGCGTGACGTGGTATCCAGATTGGACTCCAGAACACTTCCAACAACTTCACCATACATCACTGACATCCAGCCCCCGTTCAGGAATGCCACTTTGATTGGAGAACACCCAGTTATTTCTCTCAGTCCTCCGTTTAAATACAAACGGTCTTGTTTCAAAGTCTGCGATTCGACGAGCCCAACGTTTAGGGCCGGTGGGTCAGGGTCGAGTTGGATAGTTTTAATTGCCAGTTGGATTCGAACTTCGGCGTGTTGGTGGGCTAGAGGCTCAGTGTTTGCGGAGCAGTTAACCCTGACATCGACGTTTACTGCCTGGCACGTGCCGGGCGAGTTCGCTCGCCAAATGTTTTACGAGGGATGAACTCTTCACCCAGATCAAGTTCATGTCCATTTCTACCCCATTACACACACTGTACATGGATAGTACTGAGCAAGAAGTCAAACCTAACAAAACTTAGCCTAACGTTTTTAGTATGTAGAAGAGAGTTTACTGTACATGTAAAAAAATGTGTAGGAACTACATGTAGTTGATATTTTGTCACCATTTTACATGCAGTTAGCCTATGGGCAGGTATTAATTTTTGTAATAAAACTTAATTATTTATAAATTATGTTAGGACACACCCTAAAACAATGAAGCTTTAAGTTACACTGTAAATAGATACTAGATAGCATCACTGTTCTAGATAAAGTTGGAAAGACAATGGGCATGTAGAAAATCTAGTGACCACAAAATGATATTTGCAAAGGTACAAAACAATCACGTAATGAATAAAGTGGACCAGGTAACCAAAGAGATACACATGATAAAGGGTGATATTAAGGACTTCTCTAGAATCATAACTTGGGGATTATAATTATTGATGCTACATATACACTGTACAATGTAATCTAATATGCCATGCAGTCTCAGAGTACGTTAGGCAGTTATGACAGTTGCCATTACCAGGCTAACATGAATCATTGTGAAAATAAAACTTCAGAAATAACTTTCCAAATTTACAGAGATCAGACTTGTCTGAGTCAGACTGAATATAAGTCCCACCAACTTTGCAGTGTAAGCATGTTTAAGGCCACTTCAGGACTTAGTCTACCACACACACACACTACACATTTTGTGTCTTCATTAGAGTGCCTGTTTAAATTTGAATGGCCTGGGCTATATGTGGAGAATGTTGTGGTGGACTGGCATGTTTGGAGTGAAGCTTGCTGTCTCACATTGTGACACCCCGGTACAAATGGCTTCCCAGGAAATGCTTGCGGCGTGACACCACAGTTATAATTGCGACGGCAGGTTTTGCATTTTACGTATGAGTTTATATTCATAGAACATTGATGTGCTGTTGCTATGGCCTCCTTTTCTAGACAGTGATCTTACATAAGAGATAGGGGAGTTCTTTTTTCAAAACCAGTGAATCTTACCTCGCTGACGTTTCATTGATCATACATGTAGGTCATGAGTTCGATCCCCAGCCGACTTTAAAAACTAGAAAAGGCAAATGCATAATCTTTACCTTTGCATATGGTCTGCTGTTAATGCTTACTCATTTGACAAATATATTCAAATATATGGTCAGACAGGTGTCTAAATCCCTCCTACTACAAAATTGCAACATGATGTAACCCAACACGTTACCATGGTAACAGTCTGGTTCAGGTCATTGACCTTTTTGGTTTGGAGAAGAAGAAGAAACTGAGCAAAAACAAATGTATGATACATACACAATGTACTGCTTAGCACTCAGCATTTGGAGGCATATGGGAGTTAAACACACACCACTACCAGTGGACTAGCCCCCTGCTGTAGTGATTGCACTACTGTGTGGCCCAAGGGTTACTGAACCAGAGATGGGCACTGCCCTAAACACCACATGGTGTCTGTGGGAAGGAATTCAACTACTAATAACGTATCACCAACCATGAGTGACACATATTACGAGTCTGTACTTTTTTTATTACACTCCATATATGAAACAAATAAGGTCACTTACATATACAGGAGGCTGGATATCTTAGAGCATTATTTACAGGACAAGTCGGCCACAAAATGTATCACTGACAACAGATACTGACACATCTGAATACTGGGGCTATGCTTACAATGCTGTGTACATGTGTGCGGGTGGGGGGCACAACAGTTACATTGTAACTATAGTATGAGGGGCTACAATGCTGTGTACATGTATGTGTGTGGGGAGGGGGGCACAACAGTTAACTATGAGGGGCCATTGGTTTTAAACAAAAAAGGTAATTACAATGTACCAGTTGCGTAACACTGGGAGCAAAGCAATCTCAGTGCCTATACATGTAAGTATGGACAACAATAACACATCGACAGCCAGTTTATACAGCTAAACTGTACATTTCTGCATTGTACATAAGTAAGTACAAGTAGAAGTACATAGAGTTTACAGTTATTAACATGAACTTAACAGTAACATGTTTTAACAACATTTCTTTGGGCCACACAAAGTTGAAGAATCTATAGACATTATAAGAGACCGAACCACTGATGATGTATACATGTACCAAGTTATCCTAGTTTTGCAATGTCACAATTCCAACATATTCTCATTCTAGTATGATCAAAATTTGACATACACCTTTTACATAGAATCAACTTTATGTTACCCAGTTTTAACCCTAGGATGGACACTACATGTATGTACACAAGTATTAACTGTAACCGAACAAAATCATGATGGAAAAATATCATTTCTAGTTCAATATCAAAACTACATGCTTAACTGACTTACCTCTTTAACTGTATGTGTGTCTAACAAGTGTGATGTCAAAACTTTTACTTCTTCAGTCAAAAATAACGATGATCATTAACAAAATTGAGCTTTGGACAACAGCAGTTGTATATTTTGACTAAAGTTTAAGAAAAAATAGTTTACTTTCTGGCTTTGTTAAAGTATATGTAGACAAGGAATTAAAATCCAATGTTTTGAAGAAGGAAGAGGAAAAAGACAATTGTGCTTGAAGTTTAGGACAAAATCTATGATTGCTGCTGACTGAAAAAATAACGTACATTGGAACACAACTTTATTTCTCAAAAAAATCTGATTTTGGGACAGAATGAAAAAAAGAAAAAGAAAGCTCTCTTCAGTGCCTGGGAAAAAGATGGAAAATTGGAACATGTCGCCAGAACGTACTGCACTTGCACGAAACCCATGTATTGTACATAGCACTTCGGCAGAACGTCTCATGTAAGGTCATATATGCGCATACAAGGTTAACATCCCGTCTGTAGTTTCCAAATGTTATGTCGGAAAAGATATCTTCTGCAACAGGCGAAATTCTGATGCAACGTTGACCAAATATCCAACGTAGACATAAAAAATCAGGGTTTTGCTAATGTGCTGAAAATGGTCTGGTATGACATGTAGACATGTTGTAGTGTAACGGGATGTAGATGTGTTACTGAGGGGGCAGGAATCTGGCGTACTGTGGCGGGGCTTCATACTTGGTCATCGGCTTGTCTGCTATTCCACATGTGCCCACACCAACCTATAGGGAAGTCAGTCAAGATTAGGTGTCATCAATGAAAAGGAATCTTATACATCTATTACTCAATATTAAGTAAGAAATACATGTGATGACAATTGTTTCTGAACAGTTTAAGTGTGATCCATAACTCAAAGTCTGAGTGATGCAGGTAAAATTTGTTTGGTGAAGGTAATTTTCAATGTTATCCTGAAACAGTGCAGGTATGCAAAAAAAGGATATCAATCCCTGCATAGTAACAGACAGACTGTCCCTATGGCTTATGAGCTACAGGATGGACTGAATGAATGAATGTCAATGAATGAATGAATGAATGAAATGTACTCACCCGCCCGTCTACGGACTCTGGGGAAGCAAATATACTCTTCTTCACCTTGCCCTTCTTGTTGCCCTTGTGGAACGCCTGCAACACACCAGGGGGAAGCCAGGGGGCATTAATGCACAGCACATCCTGCACATGACACTGACCAATGGAATAGCTACATGCACTAAGTTCTAATACTTCCTGTAGGTATGCTTTTGCAACCTCCTTTGCCATTGGTCAGTGTTGTCCTACTTCTTTAATTAGTTTGTTTCCTATTGGTTGTATGGATGTGAGCTGGTCTGTGATTGGCTCCTACTGTAGAGTCTGATGTTTGTACAAAATGTATGAGTACATCTGATTGGTTGCCTTGGTTGTAAGTAAACCCTGATCATGAAAGCATTTTCAAGGCCTTATAAGTTGACAAATTGCACATACATGTATAACGTTCTATGATTTAGCAGAATGAAGGTTAACATAAAAGTGTAAATACATTGTAATAAACACAAAAAGTAACAGAAATTTCAAGAAGTACAAACTGTTAACAAATATGTTCGAAACTAGAGACAGTATGCTAATCATTCATACATATGTAAGACTGTATAATTATAACTACAAATAATTTCATAGGATACAAAAAATGCCCTAAATTATTAGTTTATGTGCCTTATTACCATCTTACCTGTCTTACCTGGTACCTGATAGACCTACCCCATTCCCAAGTGGCCGTTCTTCCATGTCCCATGAGCCTTGGTTCTATCAGAGCACTGATCATGATAAGACAGAGGTTACTGGATTTTTGCGTCCGATAACTTTTTTTACATTCGCTCCCAAAGACTTCTCACAAAACCATCCACAATACTTATATCTTATCTATTTCTAAAAGGCCAAAAACATGAATGATATTGTCATGAATGATAAGTTTTGAAAGTGTCTTTGGGAGCTTTCTGTTCTGTATCAAACCATTGTAAACTACCTGAAACAAAGAAACTAAATGACGCATAATTTGTCCTGACTGGTTCAAAATTCTTCTGTATCATATCTTTGATAGTTCTTGAATAAGAAAATGGGTTTTCAACATTTTCGTGCCTGTTAAAACTACCAAAAACAAGCTACATATATGTTTTTATTCAGGACTGTAAACTTTTTTATCAATGTTTGAAACCAAGGGTGGTACAAGTGCAGTTAGGCCAAGGGGGCCTTTCTAAAATTTTCCCACCCAAAGTTAACCGGGCAGTGACTTACATGCATAAGTAGAAAGTGGGAAGGAAGTTACTACATGGTAGTACACAGCACCTGTCTGTGGTGGGACATACCATTGCTTCACAATCTCCGGGGGTGTTCAGCGTCTTCCCCTATCACAATCAGATTTTACTGATTTCTGGACTGTGGAACATAAAACAACAGAGGACAGTAGTCTTTGCAAGTCTGCAAGACAACCCCAAGATGTTTTTTTTTACTTTCCTTTCATTAGGTTGACTCATTTTGTGATAACAAAAAAGATGGAATTTTTAAAAAGCCAATTTTTTTTATTTTTCTCACCATTTTCTTTTAATTGCTGTGTACCTGAAATTCTAAATACCTGCTGAATTCCCCCCCCCCAATCCAAAAGAAATTATATGTAGTTGTAAATGCTGTTGTAGTCGTGATTCTAAATAAACAAACCACAGGTTTTATTTCTAAATACTCAAATATGAAGAACAGGCAACACATACAAGTACAGGAACAGTTATGATGCTTACCTTATTTTTTCTGCTGCTACAGGCCGGGGTAGTAAAAGTACCTGACTTCAGTGGTCGACCGTAACAAGATTATTTTACAGACTTCACAGTCAACTCGGTGAAGTCTAAGCCAAGCCATTTGAAATTCGTGCTTAGCCTTAAAAGTCACTGGTTAACTCCCTTAAATATCACTCTCAGTCACAGAGCACCCACCGACGTAACAGTAGATTTAGTCTAGTGAGTTTTAAAACCTTCTAATAGTCAACAAATTCAGCCAAAGGTGGTTGGCAGCTTAGATAAGAATTATTTACCACAAGTTGCAGTATTCCTTCAGAGAAAGTGTATTGTCAGATCATTGTCAAACAAAACAGATGAAACGAAAGGAAAAATTCTGAACCATGAACAAACAAGGGACTACCAACTGTATAAACTATGTAAAATTGTAAGCTGTCTATATCCACACTCAATATATGTTTATCTTACATTGTAAGTACATGTAATGCCCCTTCCCCTGTATATAGCCCACCTTGTTGTTAAAGTCTTGCCACTTGTTCTTCTCTTGTTCTCTGGCTTCTTCGATCTCCTTGAGTCGGAGGGCTTTCTTCATGTTCTTCTTCTTCTTGTACTCTTGTTTCGCTTTCAGCATCTCTTTCCTTTAAAACACAGTTAAAGTAACATTAACCTTGGTTCACTGAGGAGCTTATCTTCCACTAGTTATGACAGAGAAGACAATATGTACTGTATATACAGGTATAACATGTAGCTCTTTTCAAGTGCAATTTGAATATTGGACTACAGCATAATTCAGTCCATTGAAGACTAAGTCTTGGCACACCCCTTACTTTGATTTTGGTTTGTCCCAGTCGCCCCCCAGCCCTGCTTCTGAGGCTGTTCTTTTGTTAGACTCCTCTGGTAACTTCAGCTGGTAGTCCTGGAGTAAAAAAGTAAAAGTGTAGACACTTATCTTTGACAAAGAATACAACAAACTGGTTATAGGTTCAAGTACTATGCTACAAGAAATTTGTTAGAAGAATCTGTAAACTACACACTACACTACAGTTCACCACATTTTGTTTTTTGTTTTGTTTGTTTCACATAACCGGTTAAAAACGCCTTTAGGCGTAACACACCAGTTTTGTACATTTAAGTACAAGCTGTGTAAGACTGGACTGTAAGGTTTGAACCACTCACACTGGGAAGGTCCCCTACTCTTTTCGATGTTACATCATAAAAGCAAGGTAAAACTGACATATATTCCTCACCTGTGCTATTTCACTGTTACCCCAGCCTTCAAATGTGACTGTAACTCTTCCTCCGTCCAACTTTTCATCTATTGTGGCCTCATAGAAACTGGAATAAAAAACAGTTAAAGTTTAAGGCCTGTATTAGTAAACATACCTTGTTATTTTATGTTAATTACAGTTATAGAATTATTACATGACAATTGTAGCAAGTACAAAATACGGCAACTTGAACAATGTATGAGATGAACTAAACTATGCTAATATCTAACAATTCTAAGAAACTAATCTACTTTAATTTATATATAACAGTGAAGACACTCTTAATGTGGAAATACTCTTGTAACTTGTAAATATGTTCATAACTAGACAAAGACAAAAACTAGACAAGTACAAAATATTATGAAAGTTCATCTGTGCCTGTAGTAATCATAGTAAAAGATCATGTTGTGAAGTGATTGGTCATTAATTATCCTGATGAAGGCGACAGTGGTCGCTGAAAATCTTATCCCTGTACAATTGTATGTTGGAATAAAGTTCAACCTTTTACTATAAGTACAAAATATAATCAACATCTAGACTGGATGCTACTACTACTACTACTAGAAGTTATACTATAACTTAATGCTGCATGTGGAATTTTTAACATTGTCTAGGTATTGCTGACAGCTGTGTAAATGGCAGCATTGACTCACCCGCCATCCTCGCTCCACGGTGCCATACACGTGTCTCCCACCTGCCATTCCTTCACCGGCTGTGGGGTGGCGCCCTCACCGGACGGACCTGCACCGCTCTGTCCAGCCTTCGCCAAGTCTAACGACAAGTCTATCACTTCCTGTTAACAGGAAAGTGCAGTAGTGAGTCATTCAATTTTTCAAACAGTGTAGGTTTCACTTACCAGAATAGTCAGTGCTACCTACACATTAATTATTAAGAGGTGAGTCAAATTTTCAAACAATTGAAAATGCAATTCACTCTTTCTAAAAATTGGTATTTTTCAGTCAACACATACATTGCTTTTTTTTTGTACAGAGTATAGGTTTTTTGAATTACAAACTGTACATGGTTACAGATTTCTTGATTCACTTTTGTTCTGTTAAAAATTGACTACTAGTATATCTATCTCCTTTAATAGAAATCAGTTTACAGAAATATTCGTCCCACCTACAATGTATTTAAACTACATTGTGTACATGTATTGTTCATATGTTACAAGAATAGATGATAGATGATGGAAATAACTATGCTATTGCCAATAGTTACCTGTAAGTCCTGTTTGAGTTTTAACAAGTCTTCATTGTTGGGGTCTGTGGTTAGAGCTGCTTCTACCTGTTGGGAGATAACACAGAATATTGGCATCAAAATCATAAAATCTTAACATTAATGGCAAATATACAAAAGTAACGCCCTCCGCACTGGTGTTCCAGTGCTGAATCAGCGGTCGAAATTTCGTCAGCACTGGAATTCCAGAGCTGAACGGCTCTTTTCCTAGAGCTGAAGCTCCCTCAGCACTGGAATTCCAGTCCTGAAAAATATTCGGCACTGGTTTTCCAGAGCTGAACGGCTCTGTTCCAGAGCTGAACGTTGTCTCAGCTCTCGGTTTCCAGTGCTGAAGTCCCTTCAGCACTCGGTCTCCAGTGCTGAACGTGCGGCAGAGCCAGTTCAAAGGTCGCTCAGCACTGGGTCCCCAGTGCTGACGGCGGTTTCAGCACTGGAACCGAGTGCTCGTATACAAAAGTAACGCCCTCCACACTGGATTTACCAGTGCTGGGGAAGAATTCAGCACTGGAAAACCAGTGCTGACGTCCCTTCAGCACTGGGACGCTCTTCAAACCAGTGCTGACGTCTTTCCCGGCACTGGAAAATTATGTCCCAGTGCTGAGAGGTAGGAAATCTGTGCCACTCCTTGCTGTGCCGAATCACTTGTATTCCTGCCACTGAGTTTACTCTTTAATCGTTATTGAAAACCTTACGCTGTTGTGTTTCACTACATGTGGTTTTGGAAACTAAAGAAACTAAAACGGCACCTTTGTGATTATTTTCGTTCATTTTCGCAGAGAAAAATTAACACGATTATATATAGGCACCAGTATAAGTGATATCAACCAGAGATACCAGAGATTATGATATGAACCAAAGTACCAGAGATTATGAACAACTTTTTTTCTGACCCTTTTCTGACCTTCTTCTGACTTTTTTTTCATGAACTCACAGCTCATGAATGCCTCAGAGACGGTGGCCTCTGCTCAGCACTCGGTTTCCAGTGCGGAACATAATTTCTTAATTCCACTTCCAGTGCTGAGACTTTTCAGCACTGGAATTCCAGTGCTGAACTCCTTTCAGCTCTCGGTTTCCAGAGCTGAATGGCTCTATTCCAGAGCTGAAGCCGCCTCAGCACTGGATTTCCAGTGCTGAGTACCACTTCAGCTCTGGTGTTCCAGTGCTGAGAAAGGAGGGCGTTACTTTTGTATATTTGCACATTAATGGTGGTTTTACATGCATGTACTAGTATTTACACATTTTTTTCAACCACATATACAAGTTGCTGCTACACTCGTGGCTCAGTGTAGAACTTGTCTTTGGTGATTGTACTATTTGTAGTCAACATCAACTTGCTGATGACTCTGCTATACAGATTCTGAAGAAGCAAGAAAAGATGCTCAAGTTACATTCACCTGAATGGTCCCTTAATATAACACTGCGATACCAATGATAGTGTTATACGCTTATTTTCGTGCCATAAAAATAGGGAAATACTGCTTGAAAAACAGCAACCTACCAGTTGCACTTTACACAAAAACATGGATGTTTGACGCTGATTTCTCACCTTAACCGCCATCATTTTCACACATACATCTTCCAGAAGTTTACCTACAACACCTAAACGATAGTTTTCAGAGAAAAAGAGGTATTTAGAGCCACAAACCTGCTGTAATTGTGCTTTGTACGTCGTGATCTGATCTTCACCCATGTCCGCCATTTTGGAAACAATGTGAGCGAATGTGATGCACCCATAGCTATTTTATTTAATCACATAATGATACATCTTTTGCACTAATAACTTTAATGAATGTGACAACAAACAAAACTAAGTTCTTTTTAGATAAATAGAAGTATTTTATAAACCTTTGTATACTTTTATACAATATATATGGCATAAAATCTTACATTATTTTATATCATTATGATTCAAGAAATAAATGTTATGGGGCCTTGTACAATTAATCACCACATGCCCCGGATGTACTTTACCCATCGTGCTCCAGCCAAAATGGCCGCCAAGGTGAGAAAAAAATTCATATTCGTGATATTTTATTGCTTTAAGTCAATTTTCCTGCGATTAATGCAGCCTACAACATAAACATTCAATTCTACGGATGGTTATCCGTATAATCTATTCTCAGAAGTTGTCATTTGGGGTTCAAAGTTAGCACTACTGGTGCAAATGTGTAACTAACATGCGTCCACCGGCGTTAGAATTTTGACCTACGATTTATGATGGGTTAAGAAATGATAATCCTTCCCCCCAGTTCCCCCGGCTGCTGCCTCTAGCGGCCCTCCCGGCCGGCGCGTCTCTGGGAGCGGTGTACGCGGCGGAGGTCGTCAAGAAAGAAGACTGCGGGTGTGGGAAGAAAAAGAAGACCGTCAGCATCTCAGAGGTACCGAATGGATAAAATTTGGTATCATCGTTGTATATTTATACTGCACTAAAAATTCGTATAGCATCGGCGCCGGCAGTTTGCAGAGAAAATGTATGCGGACAGATGGAATTGCCAAAAAAAGAAAAGAAATAGAAGAAATATCTAAGTCTGCCTTGGCTTTGTTTTATATTTCGAGAACTACTAGCATTCTGAAAAGAATAGGATATTGGATACTGTATAAATCTCTCTTTATTTGGGGTTCTTTTATATTTTCAGTTTTCGCGGTCATTTCTGTGTCACGAAATTATCAAAATATTAATATGATCTTTAAGTTTAATAACAATATTTCTTTTGAACCCGTCACCACTGCGAAGATATATGTTCACAAACATGTCCATTTTTCTCAGACCATGATATTTTGGTACCGCAAATGTTAAGTGATTTACAGTATTGCACTAATGTGTTGTTGTTTTTTTAGCTGCCCATCTATGACCAGCCCCCTGACCTGACTCAGTACACCTATGTCGAGGAGGACGTCGGATTTCTCCAGCAGCATGTGTCAAAGGTCAGGCAGGCTGTGTGGACAGGGTACGACAAGATGGAGGTAGGAGTCAAACTTGTTTTTGTATTTACTTATTTATTTATTGGGCAGAAGATACAGCCAAGGCTGCCCAAATAGCTATACTAGTACCTGGTATATAGCATATGTCATGTATGGAATTCAAACTTAACTGTTGCACTTTATTGCACTGTGGACATTGTACCGTGTTTGTGTTGGATTGAGTAGCATTTGAAGTTATTCACACCCATTTGTTTAACACGAGTGAACATTGATGACCGTCTGTCATCTTCATCAGGGCAATGCACAATGTATCTGTGAATAAATGAGTCAAGTTCGTAAAATACTGAAAACACTGACATTATTATTTTATTTACAGGGAACGAGAGTGTATGTTGTTGACAAATACAGAGTTGCAGAGAAGAAAACCACAGGTGAATTACTAGTACTTTTCCTTTTTTTTACAGTACAATGTATCAGTTCGGTCTATCTGAAGGGGTTTTATTTTTTTGTTAAACACCTTAAAGCAAACTGACAGTAAAATTAAAACCAACAAATTGTGTGTGTTACGTTATCAATATTATTGTTGGTTTTGAGATTCAGATATTTGATGTTGGCGTCTGTGTGGTGTAGTGGTACAGCATCCAACTGTCAAGCAAGGGGACCCAGGTTCAATCCCCAGGGTTGGACCCAGACATGGCCTTGGGAAAGCCACTTAACACGTATTTCCCCCTCAGTTATAGAGGGATCCTGGGCCCTACCAGGGTTTGGGCTGGCGTTAGGAAGGGCATCTATCCGTAAAAAATCTTGCTTCAAAAAAGATTTGCACTTGATGCAAGCACGTCTAACCCCCATGGCCAGTTTCGGGGAAAAAAGACATTAAACTGGATAGAGAGAGAGTTGCCAAAAAACAGTTACTCAAGCAACTGGATATGATTTTGAAAACGTCAGACGTTTCAGCTAGTATCCACTAGCTTTCGTCAGTGACTGAGAGACCAGAGGGGAAAGCAGGTTTATATACACAACCTGTTGATTGATATGCAAATAAAGTGAAGACAAATTTTTGGAAGTCGAAAAAGGAACAAAAGTCAGACAAGTCAAGACAAGATGATGCAAATTAGTCTGAAAGCTCCTGTTATACAGGACAGGAGCTTAAGTGTTATCTGTCCTCGGGGCTGGGAGTGCCAAATCCCAAGTGCCGGAAAGATCGACCCGTAGCCCCCCTTCCCTGTTGAGGGTGGGGTTGTACATTCTTTCATATATTGCCTCTTTAACACCCCGTTCCCACCAGCGTGTTTCACGGTCTTGACTTGTCTGACTTTTGTTCCTTTTTCGACTTCCAAAAACTTGTCTTCACTTTATTTGCATATCAATCAACAGGTTGTGTATATAAACCTGCTTTCCCCTCTGGTCTCTCAGTCACTGACGAAAGCTAGTGGATACTAGCTGAAACGTCTGACGTTTTCAAAATCATATCCAGTTGCTTGAGTAACTGTTTTTTGGCATATCGTATTACCTGGATGTCTAACCTTCATCGACGTAGAGAGAGAGTTGTTTGTATACAATGTAGCCAGAGTGTATAATGCATGTGTATGTGTTACAGCTGGGTTGGAGTATGTACAAAGTGAAGAAGGGTTTTTCCCCCGTCTTGGTGTCATCACTTTATCTGGTCTGACTGGGCTAGTACTAGGAGCAAGAGGTAAGATGTACAGAATTATCATAAGATACTGTAATTCCTGATTTTTTCACTGTACTGTTATGTTCACTGTTTTCACTGTCACTTCTGCACTGTGAACTTATCATTACACTACAGTTAACAAATAATTCCTGGACGTTCTTTTTCCCACACCTGTCGCTACCATGAATATATAGTTCCGTGAACGTGTCCATTTTTCTCAGACCGTGAACTTTTGCTGCCGTGAACATTACTTGAATTACAGTACGTTTGATGATTTCACAATGGAGTCTCAGGGCCTGAAAAATTTGTAAAAATAGAACCGCTACAAATGTTTGGAGATTATACATCACACAATAACATTATGAATATTTGATGAAACTAATACCACAGAAATCCACCCCAACACAATTCTATTCAGGTACATTCTTGTACATACGCTGCATTAAAGATCAAACGGACTGCCCTTGGGCCAACCACTTACTAGTATGGCAATTGGAATAAAGTTTCAAGCTGAAAAATTAGGTACTGTATTCTGTCATGGCAAGGAGAAAGATAGCCTGGGTGCCATCCGAATTTGTAACGGCTCCCCCGAAAAAGATTTTTTCGGGGGAGCCGTTACAAATTCGGATGGCACCCAGGCTACACTTCCTTAACACGGAGAAGGTAAAACTGGCCAACATTACAAATTTAACTGCTATTTTAAAACATAATGTGTACTACAGGAGGTTTGCCAAAGAAGGTGGTTTACTCCACCACCCTATTATAGACTAACTTGATAGGGAGAAGGTTATACAGACAAATTATCTGCATTTTTTTTCACTCCACCACAGGTGGTTTGTTGAAGAAGGCGGTTTACTCCACGACCCTGGCGGGGGCGGCGGCCTCCCTGTGTTACCCTAACCAGGCCGTGAACATCTCCAGGAGCGGGTACACGAGGGCGCGAGACTTCACACTGGAACAGGTCAACAACATCAGACAGGGGGGCAAACCCAGGCAGAGCCAGGTCAGCCTGTCAAGCAGACAGCAAACGGTTGCTTGTTTTGTGTCGTTGGGTGGTTCTAGCAATCTATTGGTGGTACCCAAAAAGTAAAGAGAAAGCTTGTTTGGGGGTTACTGGTATTTCAAATGCTTCAAATATGAAATGATGACCTTGTTTTGTACTGTAGGCTAATTCTAGCAAGTTATGGGGGGCACCCAAAAAGTAAGAGAGTAAAAAGAGAACCTTGTGTAGCTTGTTTTGGGGTTACATGTATTTCAAGTATGAAAGAGCTGTTAATGCCAATGTCAGACAAATTTCAATTGCAATCTCAGTCAACAGAGACTGCGATGTTCGATATCTACTCAGTGTCTCTACCCATATACATGTATTTATACTGTATTATTTATGTTGAAAGTTGAAGGTTATGTTACTAAATCAATTCTATATCCCTACTGTTTTTGACAACACCAAAAATGATAGGAGTCCATCAGGAGTTCATAAGAATCATAATACATGTACATGTATACAAATTTTCATTTTGATTTACATATTTGTAACATGTGTATTTGATTTCCATTACAGCCACCGAAAAAAGCACCTGAAGCAGCTGAAGTTGTACCTTCAGCACCTGAAACCCCTGCAGCTGAGGATACTGCAGCTGCAGCCGAAGCACCTGTGGCGGAACCAGCGAAGGAGAAACCTAAAGTAGAGGGCGACTTTGGACAGTCCAACCCTGAAGACAAAGACATGTACACCACAAGAGGCAGTTAATTATGATAACCAGGGCTCGAAATACTGGGTGCATGTGCACCTTAGTGCACCCAAATTTGGAGCTGTGCACCCATTTTTTTCTGCGGGTGCACTGGTGCACCCGAATAATTTCTTAGGCTCAACATATGTAAAGATGGTAATAGTAGTTACAGCATATTCTTAACATCTAAGTGTCAGAAAAAATGATACAATCATTGTAACTACTTTTCTCGAAATGAAACATAATTATAGTTTTTGCTGACATTCTACCTATTTTATTTTATGTGGTGCGCCTAATATATTTTTTGTGCACCCAATCTTATAGGTGGGATGCAGCAGTTCCCCAAAATGAATTTCGAGCCCTAAAAAAGAACAACCTGTGAAGGATTTGAAACAGGTAAACTTTTCACAATGGGAATACCGTAAATTTATTTATGTCCATGAGGATTTAATTTCCAATTCCAAGGAGCAGGTTTTCACATTGTTTTAAGTTTGCAGTTTAAACAATACTGTATTACAGTAGTGTTACTATAACAAATATACACAGGAAAAATGTGAAAATAAAACCTCCAGGAAAATTTCAAGTTTGACGGTAGTACCCCCATATCTTTAACTTGTCATCGTAGCAGGTGAATTGTATGTGCATGTAATCTGCAATTTTAAAGGAGGCTGCTAGGGGGACCTCAGGTTATGAATCGATGAAAAAATTAAAGCGTTACAGTATACAAACCCATCACTGCATGGCTATATGATTAAAACCCATAAGCTTCAAGACTGTGATATTTGTAGAAAAACAATACAGACAGAGAAAAAGGGAAAAAATGTGTTGGTATGTTGTTATTGTTTTGACAGAAGCAGAATGAATATGTTTGCATTATGAAATATTGATGCTAAAATAAAATTCAATTTTTCAGACAATGCATCTTGTGTCTGGTTATGAATGTATCTGTGGAAAGTTTCTCCTTTTTTATTATTGATATTACTAAGCAGGTATTAAATGTTGCAACATATAAGTTAACATTTAGTACATGTACTATAAAACTGGCTGCATTAATGTAGCATGTCAGCTTTCTGAAACTCAAAATGAGTATTAAATGATAGAAAATACCATCTGAATGTATGTCTCTATTTTATTTATAATTTAATTTCTAGTTTGTGTGTATGTGAGTGAGTTAGTGTGTGTATTTGAGCGTGTGTTTGTGCCCATATTTATGTGTATCTGTGTCCCTGTGTAGTTGAGAGAATATGTGCATGTCTATATGTGTATGTTTGCGTGTGTGTGCCTATGATACCAAATGCTCTATATATTGAGAAAAAGTTCTTGAAAAATAGAATTCGTGTACTTTATATCAACACTATATCTATGTAAATACAGAATTATCTTAATAATATTATATGTGCATGGTTATTCTCGAAAAGAGCAACACGTATATGGTTGTTATTATTACCATGATATATACTGTCAACAGAAATATAATTGGTCATGGAATAATAACCCCCCATTGTTGAGACCCACTGCAATAATGGGCATCATCAATTTTTGAAATTTCATTACTCAGTATGGTTATTAACATCCACACGCATCTATTGTGTTCCATTGCGTCAATAGTTCTCAGAAGCGCGTTGCTAACCTCTGTAGGATGTCTAATTCCCCTGGGGACCTTAGATACTCCGTACAGAGAGACCGGCTTTCCGGTGCTTTTCGTATTTTCGGTCGCGACGTTTGCTGCGTCAAACGTACAAAAACATGGCGAGGTTATGCCTAGGCCTGGCCGTAATCGTTGCGTTTGCTGGGAATATTTTTCTGGTGGACGCTGTTACAACTGCAGCACAAAGTGGTAAGGAACCTTCTCTGTACTTGGTTTGATTAGATTCATTAGGCTGTATAAAATGGTACGCGACCAGGACTATTTTTTACCGTTTATTTTGTTTTTAGTGGTTGTGCAATACACATCTTTATACTGTGTTATTTCAATTTCTCTGCTTTTTAGTATACTTTATGTTAGTCTCATGCGTTGTGTTTTTCCTTGGATTGCCAGTAGGTTTTCTGTCTAAAATAACGAAAAAAGTACTATATTATTATTAGTATTATACTCATTAGTACTGTAAGAAATACGTCCATACAAAAGGCCCGCGAGCGTTACCGAGCCCTAGCCTGGGTGCCATCATCCGTAAACGTGGTTTCCGCCGACTCACTATTATAAATGTCGCTGCCCTGGGTGCCAAATTAGTATCGGGCCGTTAGCCGTTTTCCTTCGGTAACCAAGAGCCCTTCGCCCGCCTATCTAAATTACCGCCACGGAGGAGTTCTAGGGCAAGACAAATTCTCCTTGGCTCAACTCCTCCGTGGCGGTAATTTAGATAGGCGGGCGAAGGGCTCTTGGTTACCGAAGGAAAGCGGCTAACGGTCCGATACTAGTTTGACACCCAGGCCATGTCGCTGGCCACCAGGGAGCCGACGGACACTTCTATCGGAGGATGGCGCCCAGGCCAACCGAGCCCTCGGCGGAGACGCAACGCTTCGCTGCTTGAATCCAGATCCATGCACATGGGCCTAGGTTCGAACCCCAGCTCGGGCGTGTTGTGGAGGGTTTCCTTTGTCATTACCAAGAAGCGTATGGGTGACCCGGTGTGCTTGGCAAGGCGCAACAAAGCCGCTTTGCGGTAGTAGCAACTTGAAAAAGCACCAAGTTTCACCTCAGTTGAGAAGAATTTTGCCCATACATGTATGTATATATTTTTCAAAGATCTACAACTACATGTAAAACGAAGTGCCATTCTTGCTTCTACAGAATGTCCAAAGCCGGACTATGATTATTTCAGCCACACCGGCATCTGCTACAAGTCCTTTGCGGAGGAGAAGACGTACGATAAGGCCAAGCAGACGTGTGCCGCAGACAGGGGGATGTTAGCCATGCCGAAGGACGATGCGACCAACACGTTTATCTACGGGCTGGAATACGGAGACGGGGACCGTTGGATCGGGCTGAGTGACGCCGCCAGCGAAGATAACTGGGTGTTCGAGGACGGACAAACCCTGGCGTCAACCGGCTATAACAACTGGGACCAAGATGAACCGAGTGGTGGCGAAGGTGAAAACTGCGTCGTCTTACGTTCGGAGAATCCCACCACGTGGAATGATTTGGGGTGCAACCACAATAAGAGATTCATCTGCCAGCTAGGTAAGAGTGCAGTCGCCAGTGTTTTCTTTTTCTAATATACTAGTACATGTAGTAGTAGTTTTATACATTTTTTTATTTAGCGGCACGTACATTGGGTTTGCATGTTTTATTAGGTTAGAATAACATGGATTCAACATGAGGTCCTATCGCTGTTTTGGTTTGCTTCTGTATTTTAAATTCTATAATAATATACTAAATCTAATGATTTTATTCGGCTTAAAACTTTGTATTGTTGGAGATGTGCGTTAAGAACTGCACAAGACTTTATATTTTTTTACAGTCAGCTGATTATGACGCCCTTAGACATTGGTAGAAAATGTACTTGATATTAATTTTTATGCTACCTTTGTAATTATTTAATCATTTCTCTCGTTGTTTCGACTTATTTTTTCTTTCCTTGTCTCAAAACATTTTAAAAACTTCCCAACCCCAAAGACACATAAATTTGACTTTGGACTTTGTTCTTTGATGATGCAGTTGTACCATTACATGTGTATAGATATATTTTCTTACGAAATATTGAATTTTCTTTTACCCCTTCTAAGCTATATTAAATATGTCTGTCATGTTGATTCCTCTTCTTCGGCGAACGATGTACCACCATATTGTTTGATGTACTTATTAATTGATTGATTGATTTGTTATATTTTCATCTGTTTGTAGCCAAACCTATTTGTCTAGTTGGTTCACCGTATTGTTTTATTACTTATGCCAATTTTGATTATTTTGTTTATTTATAATTGATTCATTTTTCATTGTACTTGTTTATTATCTTTTCATTACTTCTTCATTGTTATTTTTTTTTCATTTGATATAACTGTAGAAATTGTAAAATCATGATAGAGAGGATATCAAATAAGCCTTTGTGGCTTTTCGTCCACCCCTTGCACGTTTATTTCCATTGTAATATTTTGTAAAACTTTTATTATGTATGTGCCAATAAATATATAAATATACCATCAGGCCTGGAACCTCCCAAGAATTGCGCAGACCTGTACCTACTTGGGGCTAGAGCTAGCGACACGTACCACGTCGGCTACCCTCAACCTTTCCAGGTAACCGTTTCGAAACCTTCTGATTCACAACATTAGGCCACAGCAAGTAAATTTTATGGATGACATCTTCTGCAGATTCCGAATCTAATGCGAGTGGGTGAAAAAAAAACAAGGCGGGCCGAAAAAAACAAGGTTACTACATTTTAAAATTTTGACTCAATCATTGTACAAATGGCTTTGATTCAGTGGGAACATCACATATACACAGCCACCATCACATATCCCAGCATCAAAGTAAGAAACAAACATTGAATCAGAGCCTTTTCTTGTCTCCTCTCTTCATAGTTATCTACCATCCACCTTCCGGCATGGCAACAGACATCTTTGCCCATTTTCGGCATGATGACCACTGTCAGAAGGCAACAAAATTTCTTGTTTGTTTTCCCAAAATCAGGCGAAAATTAATGCGCGCGCTGATGTCATCCATAAAAATTACTTGCTGTGGCCTTAGCATATTACACTTGAGTCCTTCTTAATTTTAAAATTTTGTTGTGGGGTCGTGTGGCGTAGCGGCAGAGTGCTCGACTCGGAACCAAGAGGTACCGGGTTCGAGTCCTGACATGCCACCGATCTTGTGCCCTTGAGAAAGACGCTTTGCACGACTTTCCTCACTTAACTCAAGTGAAAATGAGTATTGTCCTGTTCCGTATTTGTCCTCTATTTGCGTTGGTGACGGCATAAGTTGATATAACTTGAGGGCGCCGTCACCATGTCTAGTCATGAAATGTTGGTATAAAAAAAGTTGGAACAGCGCATTTAGTTATATTTAATTTTATCCCCAATATGCCTGCTTTGTATTATTTGTTTGTGTACATTTCTGTGTTATGTTTACATGTATGTAGTATTATATATTTGTTAATTAGGCCACAGCAAGTAATTTTTATGGATGACATCGGCGCGCGCATTAATTTTCGCCTGATTTCGGGAAAAAAACAAGGAATTTTGTTGCCTTCTAACAGTAGTCACCATGCCAAAAATGGGCAAAGATGTCTGTTGCCATGCCGGAATGTGGATGGCAGGGATGAGACAAGAGAAGGCTCTGATTTAATGTTTTGTTTCCTACTTTGATGCAGTGATATGTGATGTCGACTGTGTATAATGTTCCCACTGAATAAAAACCATTTGTACAATGATTGAGTCAAAATTTTTAAATGTAGGAACCTTAAGCTTGTTTTTTTCGGCCCGCCTTGTTTTTTTTCGCCCGCTCGCATTAGATTTGGAGTCTGCGGAGGATGTCATCCATATAATTTACTTGCTGTGGCCTTAATGTTGTTTTATTTTTTTGTTCGATGGTTAATAAAAAAAACCTTTCCAGGTGTACTGCGACATGGGGACGGACGGTGGCGGATGGACGGCCGTACAGCGGCGGCAGGACGGGTCGGTACCTTTCAACCGCACCTGGGACGAGTACGTACGGGGCTTCGGCCACGTGGGTGGAGAGTTCTGGCTGGGGCTCGACCACTTGCACAAGCTCATCGCACCGCAAGACCACGAGCTCTACGTCTATTTGGAAGATTGGGAGGGAGAGAGCGCGTTCGCAAAATACAGCGAATTTTCTGTGGGGAACGCAGAGAGCAAGTACACGGCTACGATCGACGGCTATAGCGGCAACGCAACTGACAGTATGACTGATACTGGAGACAACGGGCGGCGCAACATGAACAACCAAAAATTCAGCACCAGGGACCAAGACAACGACCTTAACGAGAAAGACGCCCACTGTGCGGCAGAATTAGGACAGGGAGGTTGGTGGTACCCAAACAGCTGTGGTCATGCATTCTTAAACGGACAGTATCTGACCGATTGCAACCCTAATTGCCCGCGTGCCCAAGGCATTGTCTGGAAGACTTGGAAGTCGTATGGCTATAACTACTCCCTGAAGAAGACAGCTATGATGATCAGGCCTACAGACTTCACACGTAAGTATGCAGCAGTGTCAACTATTACGTTTGATTTGCTGTTTTACAGTAAAGTCGAATTGCATAAATTCAAACTCACTAGTAGTTACTTGAAAAGGTGGAAATCTTCACCTCAGTTCAGAATTAGTAGAACGGAAAATCGCAGACATAATTCCCCCCTCCCCTCTCCCCCCCCTCTCTCTCTTTGTCTTCCTTTTCTTCTTATCCTTATTCTCTATTGGCCATTTCTTCATTCAAATTGGAATAAAATCGTCATTATTTTTCCCTGCAGAGTGTCCAAAGCTGGAATATGTCCGTTTCAACCACAACGGCGTCTGCTACAAGTATTTTGATCAGAAGAAGACGTACGATGACGCCAAGAAGACGTGTGCCGAAGACGGGGGGATGTTAGCCATGCCGAAGGACAATGCGACCAACACGTTTATCTACGGGCTGGAAGACGACCGGGACCGTTGGATCGGGCTGAGTGACGCCGACAGCGAAGGGAACTGGGTTTTCGAGGACGGACAGACCCTCGAGTCAACCGGCTTTTCTAGGTGGAAACGCGATAAACCAAATGGTGACGAAGATGAAAACTGTGTCGTCTTAAAGTCAGGGGATCCCAAGTGGGATGATCGGGAATGCAACGATGATGAGCGATTCATCTGCCAGCTATATCAAGGTGACGGTGTAATCACTAGTGTTTTCTTTCTTATACTATCATGAAAGTGCATCTCTGTTTAAATAAAAAATAAAGTGAAATTATTTCACATAGAGCTTTCGACCAGTCACATTCATTCATCTATTCATTTATTCATTCATTCATTCACTTTAGTGATTAGTGGGAATCGCTTATGCTGTTGCCATGCAATGGTTTGTAAAATCACAGCTCTTAAACATGTTTATGGTACAACGGTGTTGCACTATGTCTTCCTGAATATGTTATTGAGTGCTACAGGGTACATTGACTAACATACTATTGAAAGATATGACCGGAAAATTAACATCTTTATTTAAGGTTTGAATGGCTTGATCCTACAGAGTTATCCTTACCAGAAATACTGAAATAAACAGGCATAACAAATGTTAACATTAGGTGTGGAGATATCTATCAGTAATAATTAATAATATGTTTTTAGGGGCCTGCCAGAATGGAGGTACAGTGATACCAGACCGGTCGGTCCCTGGATGGTATACCTGTTCATGCACGCGTGGATGGACAGGAATACTTTGTAAAGAAGGTCTGTATTTGTTTGTTTGTTTGTTTGTTTGTTTTGCATAACCGTTGAACCGCCTTTAGGCGTAACACATGTACATGTACAAGCTGCATACTCTTTTCGATAAGTGTGATGGGTTCTTTAACGTGCGTGGGGTGTTGCTCTCCCCAAACACTGGACCTCCATTTAACGGCCTATCCGAGGGACGTCCCTAACCGAAGCTAGGTACTCATTTCCACCTGAGTGAAGTGAGGAAAGTCGTGTAAAGTGCCTTTCCCAAGGGCACAAGATCGGTGACATAGGCAGGATTTGAACCCGCGACCTCTTGGGTGTGAGCCGAACGCGCTAGAGACTGCGCCACACGACCCCACACAATTAATTATCCACCAATCAATATCACTATGCATACATGTATAGTTTTATGATGTAATGACATGGTTTTTAGTTTGTGGACTGTGGTATTGTGGCAAAGGTGGTTCAAATCGTTGCAAATTCCCTTGGAAAAAGCAATTTAGACGACAACAGTAAGTTTTAGACGTGAAAACATGCATTTTGTGTGTTTTGTTCAGATGTGGACGAGTGCGCTAGGACGCCCTGTCAAAATGGTGGGACGTGTGCGCAAGGGACGACGGGATCAGGGGCGTACAACTGCGCATGCGCTGAGGGATGGGCGGGGCACAATTGTGACAGGACCAGAGGTTTGTTTATTTATTTATGTTGTCTTTTACCAGGGATGTGACCACTGGTTTACATTGGGCCCCGGAATGCATGGACTCAACCATGGCCGTTTCGGGAGGCATTGAAAAGTAGTATAGTAAGAACATTATACAAACAATAAAACCATTGCCATGGCAACGACTGAATGTTTATTATACGTGGAGTTTACGTAAATTATACGTTGATTATATACGGTATGGCAGTTTCTTTTTGTTGTTTTCTGTTGCCAAACCGAAATAATGCTTTTCTTTATATTATTAAGTCACACGCCTGAGAAACATGCGCGACCCAATGTTATTTTCTGGTTAGTTTTTCTTGTTAGACCATGGAGGTTCTAAAAGGAACTTCCTTTTTGAACCTCCTTGGTTATAGACATATTGCTTCTGTTGCTATTTGGCATAGTGTAGGAGTATACTTAGCAGGTGGCAATGAGTTTAAGGATATGTGAGATAAACAATCTGAGGCATACTTTTCTTGTCCTCATAGTCTGTCATGATCCACTCGGAATGGCATCTGGTGAGATAGGTGATAGCAGCATCATCGCATCATCATCATCATCATCACGGACCAGACCCCATCACGCTCGCCATATGGAAGAAGGCGCATGGAGAGCAGAACACGATGCCATTGGGCAATGGTTGCAGGTACATGTAGAACTATAGAATTGCATGTTTTAAACAGTCACCGATTAGAAATCGTTAGAAGTCTTTGCTGTCAAGGTTATATGAGGTAGTGCTCATAGTTGCATGACTTTTGTTAACAAGATGCACTAGATACAGTTCATTGATTGAGCTAGATTGCACTAGATACAGTAACTGGGTAAAGGATTGGTGTTATCTTTGATTTATCGTGCAAAATATTTGGTTTATTTAAGATTACATTGATACCCATATTTTGGGGGCCTCCCAACTCCAGACTCATATTGGGTACAATTGTGACCCAAGCATTACTCGGAGCGCTTTCTTCTCATTTTATCGGCATATGTTCTAACAGGAAATATGTTACCGTGAATAACAGGTGGATTTGACTCAAGTCAAGCGCGTCTCAGGCACCATTACTCAGGGTCGTCCCCACCAAACCCGCTACCAGTGGGTAACTTCCTACAAACTACAGCACAGCACAGATGCCAGTAGTTGGGCGCCTTACAGGGAAGAGAATGGCTTAGAAAAGGTATTGTAGGACCCCCTCTTTTCTCCCAAACCCGTTGTAATAACGGTACTCCAACTCATCATTCTAGAAACTAAGCTTATAATTAAGACCATCATGTACATGTAAACAGTAGAAATCGTGTTTTTTGTACTTATGTCATTGTATAACTTCAGGGACATTAGCTAAGTACATTTTTTGGCGACGTCTCAGGGGGAGCCTATTGGTACAGTATTGTGTGCAATTTGCAAGAATTCTAGGAATCGTACAGGAATTTTCTGTCACCTCGGGGCTCATTCACTATACATCCAGGGGAGGGGAGGGTACCAAGGCTTCCTCAAAATCATGAAATCATGGCAGTGTCGTGCAAACAATAACCCTATTAAACAGCAACCACCGTCGCTATGGCAATGTTTGTTTTCATTGCCAGTCTTGTTGTTGTATGATACATGTAGCTGGTGGAGCCAATACAATATCCCAGTTTACAACATTACCTAGCCTCTCTAATGCATTGACGTCTCCCAGCATATGGTTTAGCTTTGGTAATACGGCGTGGTCACCTTTGTCGTAAGTCGTGGTACGATTTTGATATCTTAAGATGTTCAAGCAGGCTGTCACGTCGACAGAACCAAGTTTTGACAAGGACCTGAGACAGCATTTTCCGTACTGCTAAAAAGACAGCCGAAGTTTTTGTGCGAAGCATCATGCCCGTATCCAGGGGCTCAAAGGTCTACTTTTTGGTCAACTTTTTATCAAAAGGTCCAAGATTTTTCTCCAAAGATGAACTGATTCGTGTCACCAGCAAGGCTGGAATCGTAGGAAAACGTCTCACTTTATCATTGAAAAAAATTATCTCTGATTTGTTTCTTTGAAATCCTCTAAAAAACGCAGGAAATGCCATTTCAGAAGGTTCATTTTTCAACATTTCCGGGGGGAGCATGCCCCCGGACCACCCTAGGAAGCTCGCGCCCACGGTGCTCGCTGGTCCCCTCAAGCAGTGGGAAGACCCCCCCCCCCCCATTCAAAATCCTGGCTACGAGCATGGGCATGCACGGCCATTCTAAGAATGCCCCAGTTTTCCGGTCGTATGACGATCGTGTGATAACTGTGACCAGGATCTAAATGGATTGTCTATATGTGACGTATTATCAGAAAGGAAAGGCAAAGCTGTATATTAATGACTTGCCTTATCGCTTTCCAGATTTTTCCAGGAAACACCGACAGGAACACACCAGTAACCAACCTACTGGACCATCCGGTGGACGCTCGTTACGTGCGCTTCTACCCTCTAGCCTGGAATCAACACATCAGCATGAGGGTGGAGATTCTAGGCTGCAACAGGGAAAGTAAGATGAAACTTTCTAAAACAGATCTGAACATGTTTTAATCACTATATTTACGACATATTTAGGCTGCTGAAAGGCAACATGAAAACCGGGAAAATAAGGATCCGTTCACGCTTACGGAAAGACCACGTAAAGGCGGTCTTTACGTACTCGTATAAGAGCTGTATAGATGCGTAAGGACGCAATATAGGCATGGTTTAAGCATCCGTAAATATCGTTTTTCGTACCGAGAACCTATTTTATCTCCTTTGTTATAATTACCCAAACCCTAAACCAAAACCCATGTTCATTTGGATAGCTGTGAAGATCCTACTTCTTCTTTCTTATTTTTCTAGTTTCCTCCTCCTTTTTATATATATCTTCAAGGCACCAAACGCTGGTCCAGATAACATCATTTCATCATTTCAAGGCCAAAATTTGTGTACTTCTAAATGATGCCGAGTTACCTGCGTGAATGATAATATTTCCTGTGTTAGGTCATAGCTATGAATAATATATTAGTCCCAATTAGGATCGTCTATTGTTAAAGCATCCTGAGCCACAGACTGAAAATTATTACATGTGCGTCATTGAAAATATTAAAATTTTGTTGTAAAATGTTGGCCTATATCACGACCATGTCCTCGGTACGAATCACTTTGTATCTGTATGTGTTATTTGTGTAGCTGATCATCGATATCACATTTTCAGCCTCACAATTATGGTAAAATAGAGCAAAAAATGTTATGGACCACCTTCAAAACGTTCAACAAAACAAGGGCAACTAGAATTAGTGTATCTCAACTTCATTGATATTTTCCTTCTATTGAAGTGACGAGAACTTTTTGTGTTTGCTGCAAATGTGTTAGCTATTGTAAAATACACATGCAGGTTTTGTTGTTTTTGATTCCAACATATTTTCGTTTGTCTAGCATCCAGCTGCACAGTACCAAAGCAACACTACATGTATTCATGGAACGATTACGCATATGACTTGGGAAACATCTTTTCACCACCCTTGAGCCAACCCGTGGTCTTTGAGGCACGTGCTGAAAGGGATGTCTACATCGGTCTGTCTTCTCATGATCAGAGCACAAACAGTGACAATCGGTACCATGTTGTCATCAATTACGACGGAAGCAACATATCGGCCGTCTTCTACGCTGTACAATCTGCTGAACGAACGCCAACACCTGGTAAACACTACTTAATCTCCAAGCAGATCATACGTACGGTGACAAGGCAGTATTCATTGGCCAATGGATACTGCCTTACCACCGTATGATCTGCTTGGAGATTACTAAAGACTGTCATATGATATTAAGTATTGAATACACTCTTATACTGAACCTTATGTTGATTTGTATGGGGCCCAGTTTTGATAGCATTGCACATTTCAATGTATACTATAGCTAATCTAACATTTTCAAACCCTAGTGGTCTTTGCTAATTTTTTTTCCTTGTTAACTAAGACTAACCAAATATAAAGCCTGTAGCCAATGCTTTATTGTCACAGTAATATGTGTTAGAAACAAATATTTATCTCCATGCAGGTATCCTGTCGCCAAACGACTTTCGAAGGTTCTGGATATGCTGGACAAGAAGGGAGGAACTGTACATAGCAGTGGGGCGAGATCGAGAGAACGAACCGTTTATGAAAACAATTGACCCAAATCCACAGGATATTAAGTATGTGGGTTATGGGACAGGCGACCCTAATGGACAGTTTAGATTTGAGTGTGATCTAGGTAAGATGATGTAGTTTTATTTCATGTTTCAGTCAAACACATCATATATTAAGCCACTGTGAGTCAATAATATGTTGATTGCATATTAAGTTAAATGCCACTGAAGCTACTATTGTACATTAACATTTTAAGTAAAATTCAGGAAATTTGCTGAATATTCCATTCTGTGCATGTCAATATTATTGTTGTAGCTTAACTTGACATAAGTCTAACTTGACAAATTCGGTCCACCCTGAGTGGACGTAATTTTGTTATAGTCAATATGACATTCTTTTGTCGTTGTTGTTTATCCCACAGATTTTACACTGTGTCCTGAGCCTCCAACTCTTAACTACGCTGTCGAGTCCGGACCGGATTGCAAATGTCCCTACTGGTCTGGTAAGAACTGCACGTACGAGTGCATCACGGGATACCATGCCGCAGATGGTGACGTCATCAGGACGTGTGGTGCTGATGGGCGGTGGACTGGAACAAACCAATGCCATGGTGAATATCCTTTTGGTTATTTTATGTCATATCATGACGAAACAAACTTATTAATCAGTGCGGACAGGCAGGAAACTATCCACAGTCTGACTTTATCAAATTCCTCAGTTTCTGGATCCATTACAATACATATAAGTGACATTTCCCTGGACTGTATAGCTGACTGATGTCATGGATTTTTATCTTATTTTCTGATTGCAGCCCAAACAACAGCTTTACCTTCATCCACTGCTCTGACTACAAGAACGACAACTGTTGCTACGACTGCTACTACTACTACTACTACTGATACTACTACAGCAACTACTGCCGCTACTACTACTGATGCTACTACTACTGCCGTAACTACTGATGCTACTACTACTACTGATGCTACTACTACTGTCGTAACTACTGACGCTACTACTACTTCTCCTACTACTACTGTCGTAACTACTGATGCTACTACTACTTCTGCTACTACTACTGCTGTCGTAACTACTGATGCTACTACCACTACTACTGCCACTACTAATGGTGTAACTACTGATGTCACTACTACCGATGCCACTACTATTGATGCAACTACCACTGCTACTACTTCTACTATTTCTCCGAAGCCTAGTACAATCGAACCGACCGAGTCGACCGATCCCCCCGAGTCAACCATGTCCGCAGAAACTACACAGCAAATGTCTAGCGCACCCCAGCTCACAACTGTGGTACCATCGAGTTTACAACCTACAACAACAACAACAACAACAACAACAACAACTACAACTACACCACAGGTCGGCACGTCCCAAGAGGCAACCACGAACACCCCCGTACCAGAGTCGGTGTCAACAACACCAGGGCAAAGCGCTTCAGGAGCAACGACAGTGGCAATGGGACCAACTGTAACCAGTCCAACATCAGGAGCACCCAATGACACCAGTCAGGCAAAAGTGGAGAAAGAAAGGAAGACGGTTCTGAAGAAAATCTTTGAAGACCCTTCGACGTTCAAGTCTAAGCTGGCCAGCGAGGACAACGCGACACAGGAGGAGTGGAACGGGTGGAAGACTGGAAAGAACATGCCCCAAGGGTACGACAGCAATGTCAGCCCGCAAACAGGTAACTATCCGCCATATTGGTGTCCTTCATTTGCATTCCAGTAAATCGTCGCTCACTCACACACGTCGTTTTTTCAACGTTTTATTGGCAATTTTGAAGTATACGTCTGTCGTTCTCTTCTTTAAGCTCTACACACTCAATGGGGGTTATTTGAAGACCTTTGAAAGGGTCAGAAAAAAACTTTTATGTCCGTAAACGCTTGATTTACTGAAAATTCAGATTTACTGAATCAAGCAACGTTTCAAATATATTTTTTTGATTGTTTGATAGAAGAGAAACTTGAAGTGACGTCGACGGTGAAGATTCTTCATGTTGGACCTCTGTCCGAAGAGAACGCGGTCAGTGTATTATGAAAACCAACTAGCCTAGGGCTATGTGTCATTGAACATTTTGGCTTTAAGCACGAAATGGATTTTAGTGACTATATCATTTGTTTTCCTGACTGCATGTTAAATTTAAAAATTGAAAATGAAACAAAATGTCTTGGAAGTTTGAATCTCTTGTCTTGGTTGTTTGCAGAACCTGTCGGTGACAGTGGAGTACAACATGGCCTGGGTTGACGCCCGTCTCCGCGGCCTCTCCACCGGTTGGGCCCCGGTACCGGCATCGTTCATGTGGGCCCCTCCCCTGGCGTTCGGGACGGCCGTACGGAGAGCTGCTGACGTCAGCAAGAAGAGGAAGAGCGGCGGAAGAGGAGGGAGCGATCATGACATCAGCATGTGGCTCCACCCATCCGGAATCCTGTTCCACAGACTCACGTATGTATCCTCCTTGTATCTTAATTTCGAGGCCATCTTGTGTGCCAATCTTGTATAGCACTACATGCATGAAAAGTAGAATTTACCAATGATGATAATGGCCAAGAAGGTCTGGCAATCTTACATGTACTCTTGATACAATGTAGTAAAAGGCGCCGGAGTCAGTATAGGTTTCCAGTTTACATTTTAGTTATTTTTTGACGTATATGGCTTTTGCTTCTTGACATTTTCCAAAGTTCTGTTGATCATATAGCATTTCCTACTTTTGAAAATAATCATATTAGTACTTGTGTATCATGTACAGCTTGACAAACACATCTATCAATTGTTTTATACGAATATCTTTTATTCGTCTTATACAATTTTTACGGTACTAGTGCCATACTGTAGTTATAGATGTGTTAGTACTTGGCACGATACTGACATTGTATATTTCTATTCCATAGGAGAACTCTGTACCTGACCTGTGTGCCCAGAATGGCAAGGTACCCATTGGATCAACAAGAATGCAGCTTCAAACTACATGGATGTAAGAAATCCCTTTTTTGGAAGTATTGTTTTGAGTGGCTGAGTTGTGGTCCAAGAATTGCTCCACGATGTGCTCCAAGAATTGAAGATTAAACTGGATTTCAATGTTATTTATTAGTGTTTTTGCAACTATTACATTTACAACATGAACTTTATGTATGGTTTAACATCTGCTGTCTACGGTACGTATCATATGCATTTCTAACATGTGGTTTTATCTATTGGTGTCTTCTGCAGATAGTGGGTTGTATTTCCCTCTTCACCGTCCAAAGAATGCCAGCTCTCCCGGGCCTGTGACAACAGACATGACGGCCGTTGTGTCCCAGTTCGAACTAACAGGGCTGGACTTCCAGTCTTCAGTACAACAAATAGACAACACTGAGGCTGGTAAAGGTTTTAAGTAATAGCTAACATTCTGTCCCTTTCTGGTAGGACACGCAGACTTCATTTTAGGATCAACTTTGGTCGGGTTTCTGAGGGGGAAAATGATGCCTCGTGTGTGTGTGTGTGTCATGTGTGTGTTTGTGTGTGTGTGTGTCTGTGTGTGTGTGTGTATGTCTGTGTGTGTGTGTGTGATGTGTGTGTGTGTGTGTGATGTTCGTGTGTGCGCGCGTGGAGAGAGGGAGAGAGAGAGAGAGAGAGAGAGAGAAGGAAACAGAGGGAAGGAAAGAGAGAGGCAGAGATCTTTGAAACGCATACACTGATTGATATTTTCTTGCAGCCTGTCATCTGCTCACAGGCAAGTGCGCCTACAGCGCCGACCACTGTACCCGCATGCGCAGGTGTAGCCATGGCAACGAGTGTGCCGTGTGCAAAACCTACTTCGGCAGCTGCCAGTACGAATCCAACGACTGCAGAAAGTCCAACACATCAGGTTAAGTACTAGATCTTCACTACTATCTTATCAAACATTTTATTTAAAAAAAAAACGCATAACGTCAACATCATACATTTACAACCAAACTTCGCCAGTGTTTTTTAAACACCTTACTTGTTCTCATCATCATTGCATGGGGGCATGTACCAAACACCTAGTCTAGGTGATGAAATGCTAAAACATTTTCTAAATTGCAGAACACACTTTTAAATACACTTGATGCAAAATGCAAACTGGCATGTCTGCATGAATTATGATTCAGAAACAAGAACGTCCAATAGCGAGTCTTAGAAAAAACAAGAGTTCCACGATCTCATACCTTCGCCAAATGATGTTAACCCTTGTGGTTGACAAATTATACAATTTTAATCATTGATTTTGTAAATAAGAACCCCATTTGCATGGATTATATCAGTTGATCATATTCTACACCCAATGACAGCCTTATCTTAACAGAAATGCTATTATAGCACTTCCTCATAAATTATGCAAATGAGGCCATGATTGAATAAATTATGTTTGTTGATGTTCACCTTCACTTAACTTTCAAATGTGGCAAGTATGAAATTCCCAGCAGTTACAACTATGAAATTATAAAAATTTGCCATTTATTATGCAAATTAGGTCCTCATTTACATAATCTATATCCTCAGATGTTTTTTCTCGTTCTCACAAATGTCACAAGTGTTTCATAGTTCTATTATCAAACAAAGCAGATTTATATAATTTCCTCATTAATTATGCAAATTAGCTCCTGATTTGCATAATTGTCATCTGATCATGTCAAGCATCACTTCAACTACCTACATACCAAAAATCACGACAATCCGTCAACCGGTTCTTGAATTATCCTCCTTCGAAAAATTTTCAACAAATGCTCCTGCAGTTCCAGAACAAGCCGCTAGGGGACCCAAACTCATGTCACTTCTTCCCTATCCCAAGAGCTATCTGCCATCCAAAATTCGTGACCCTAGCATGTCCAGATCACGAGATATCAAAACCAGAAGTTCTGCTGCAGTACCTAGAAAAGCCGCCAGGGGGCCCAAAATCTAATCATTTCTAGGTCTCATGAAGACCTACCCACCTACCAAGTTTCATTCCAATCCATCCACTGCTTCTCGAGTTATCTTGCTAAACCACACACACACACACACACAAACACACCCACAGACAAACGCTACTGAAAACATAACCTTCTTGGCGAAGGTAACAAATGCACTGGATGCCTTTAATAAAACGTTCAAAGGAAAGTACTAGTAACGAATGGCGTTCTCATACCTCAGGTCTGAGTGAGGTCGCCACCCTGGAGGTCCGTCTGCAGTTTTCCCGCCGTCTGCAGAGTCACGTGTTCGTGACGTTCCTGCCCACTACCGCAGCGGTGATGACGTCATGGCTCGGCTTCTGGCTGCATCCGCAGGAGATCAACGGGAGGGTCTCACTGGGGATCAGCACGCTCCTGTCTCTGATCATCAAGAGCAGCAATAATGATAACCCCCAGGTGAGCCTCATGAAGACTACCACCAAGTGTAACTTTATAGAAATCATAGAAATGATTGATAAGTGTTTTGAACATTTACTGACTTCTATGAATTACCTCTTTTAAGTTTATTTTCAGTTCTGTACTATAATTCTCTTTGCAATTGTATATCACACTCTTTGGGATGCTAAAAACAGTTAAAATTTACCAACTATTCTGAAGAATTTGTCAATTTGTTGCAGATTTTGTATAGCCCTATGGCCGGCTGAGCCCAGGCAAATTATACAGCCTATATTTGGCTAGCCTGTGTATACACAAGCTCTCGGCTGGAGGTTAATGACCCCCACCCCAAGAGGGGCGGCAACCTAGGGCGGCGGCCGCCAGGAGCGCGATTTAGTCAGGCTAATATTTGGCTAATTATAATTTTCATTGTTGTTACAACAGTTTAACAGCCACCAGAATAGCCTGTTAGAGACTACTAAATGATACGTTTGTTGTTAACATCCAGACCAACCTGGTGCGAGCCTATGACGTGTGGATGAGCGGGTGTCTGGCCATGGTGATGCTCGCCCTGCTGGAGACTGTCCTGGCTAACTTCATCCTCTCAGGAGGACAGGTGATGGTTTTCTAATACATAGTTTGAAATAGTTATTTTTCAGGTTACTCAGAAGCTATGCTAAAAGATACAGGTGGTTTGCACATCCACGTATCATGTTGCCTCCGTTACAAAGATTGTAAATTCTTTAGTTGTTTCCCTATTATAGTATTAGCGAAACAGGTACAGATAAATACAACTCGTATTACAATACACGTATCGAGACAGGTCTCATAGTTCTTAAAGGTGTTATATATAAGGTTTCCTACCAGTATAAGAATCACCGAAGAAAATTAGAACTGACTCTTAGGCCTTCCTCGGAAATTCTCAGCCACTTACTTTTGACATCTTTCTTGAACACACATATATATATATAACACAGAAATACAGTTTTTGCCTTAATTATTTCTTTCTGTTTTTCTTGCCACACACACCTGTAGCTGCCAGGATGCCCAGGTCTGTGGCAGACTTCGGTAGAACCGAAGCCCAGACGGTCCACCGCTTGGGTTGGTGATGAAGAGGACACAGTGCACTCTGCTGAGAAAAGAGCAGTGAAGCTCGACTTCTGCGCTAAGATCCTTTTTCCTGTGGCCTTTGTGGCCTTTCTGATTGGCTTCTTCACATATTATGCCTGAAGTTCAGTTTCACATGTTTGTATATATGGCAAAATGTTATTATTGCATGATTATGATAATTTGATATTGCCAACTTTATTGTTTCTACATTGCTTGTATATATTGTACAAAATGTACTATTGGCGTGTAAATACTTAGCGTAACTATCAATATTCATGAGAAAGAATCTCATCATTCATTTCAACATCTTGCAATGCACTTGACAAGTACTATATATAAATCTGTTGCAAACAAACTAAAGACAGTTCTGTCAATACTGGTCATGTAAAATTTCCAACAGAACCAGGGCTCTTTTCAACTGTAAAGATATCTTATTCGAACTTTTATGATTAATCTATAGTTCGAATGGCAAGTATCCAGACCCTAGCCTATGCTGTTGTAAAAGTAATGCAGCTACATGTAATTAGTTGAGATGGTTAATCCTAACTTACTTACCGCTTATATTTACTGGTCCCCTGACCGGGGGTGGTCGTGGAGGCGCCAAACTATTGTATAATATGGTTTATCTTCGACACTTGGTTTCAACTTGTATTTACTTGTAAGTATAATGTAATAGTAATTTTGTGTGTTTTATTCCGATTGTTATTTTGTTTGATATGCATGCATCTTTAGTGGAGACATTCAGATGAATATTATAAAATTCATGTACAACTCTAATCTTCCCTGTAAAACTACCCAAACTGAGGAAAAAGGCAAAGAAAGGAAGTACATTGGCATCACAGTTTAATTGAGAGGCACTTGTTGTGTTCTTTGATGTGCTCAAAGTGAGCATGACTCTCCCTAGACATGTATATACAATGAAAAAAAAGCTTGTTGTTCCATCTTAAGGACCATACAACATAATTTTACCTTTGTCAATGAGAAATACAAGACAGCAAGTTATAAATGATTATGAAATTGGCACAGCAATTGAATGGCAATGAACTTAATAAACAGAAATATTTTACAACCACAATTGGAAATCAACTCTCTTATTTCCCATAATATATAAACACTGTAATATTTATAATTACTATATACATAGTAAGGCTAATTTAACACCCTTTACATCACTAAATTTACGTGAAACTCTTAAAAACGCAAGAAATTCTAGCTCTTCATATCAAAAAGTCTTGCTATAAAATATTCTATTTTTCAGATTAATCACAATGATTTTGTACACTTCTAAAATACTTACTTTCGAAAATACAGCATTGTTTTCAAAACTTTACCATCATGATAGTTTTTCCAGCAGCTTAAAGCTGATATCATTTAATTTCATTCTAGCCCCTCCCCCTTGTCTCTGACATTGGGGCTACCAGAAATTCGTTCCACAGCTACTATGGCCTGTCAAACAGGGTTTTATCTGTTCACTACACTCGAGAAAAACTGAGAAAAACTTGCCTATTCCATAGGTAGCAAGATCTTTAGCTGCCTTTTTGATCTGTTGTTCAAATACATGTATCATTATATTGCAATAAAATCTCTTTTTGATATGTTGTTTAAACATATGTATCCTTATATTGCAATAAAACCTCTTTTTTTGTCTGCCTCAATCTTAAAAACTTATGAACCATGCAGCTGTAAGGCTTTATACTAAGTGCATGTTACTTGGCAACAGAGAAATTGATATACATTTGTATACAGTCAAACCTTCAAAATACGGCCACCCAGGGGATCAAGAAACATCCAGGTCTTCTTGGATAGGACAGGTGGCCTTTTAGGGAAGGTTACTTAATGCTTGCCTATGGAATGAAACTAAATATCGAGAAAAGACGATTGTCATTGTGAGGTGGCCACTTTGGCAGGTTTGACTGTACAGTGCAACAAGGGGGGCATGAAAAAGACATACCTTGTACTAATAACTTGGTACTGACATACATCGTACTAATGAAACTTAGTGCACTTTGGCAACAACGCCATTAGCATGCTTGGGGGATTTTCTACCTTATCAGAGAAAGGAATGTACCAGAAGTTATGGCCATCAAGCTATCATTGCTATGGCACTTGATGTCCATGTACAAAGAAATTTTAGTTTTTTTTCAGTATCTTGTCTGCAACATCGTGAAGACCTTCTTGTTCTAAAGCTTGGATGAGGACAGCCACTGTTGCACTATCACCCTTCAGTTGTTTCCACTTCCGAAGCATCTGGTAAACCTGTTAGGAAGAAAGGTAACAATGTTCAGTTCTTAGAAAGTGTGGTGGGACATATATGCATTATCTTACAATTTGTTTCCTGATTTCATCTATGATGAAGGAATAATACAGTCCTGCGTTTAAAGTCATTGCATCTGTTAAACAACAAAGATCCTGACTATCATCTGTCTGCAAACTTAAAGGCAGTTCTTAGGGCTTGGAAACCCAATTAACAAAGTCAATAATATTACCAAAACCAATATTCTAGTCATTTATATACAGTGAGTTGAAACCACAGTGTGCCCCAATGTATATTGACCCTCATGGAGCAAAAATTACCAAAATTCTGATGGAAAATGGAAGGGCCCAGGCCTGATTTTTAGGGTACCACCCAGAAAATAAAGGAATCATCTTAGGGATTGTTTCAGCAGTTTTAAATGCCAATAGTATGAAATGCTGACTCAAATGTGCTTAATATGTTATATGCCTTTCCAAGGCCTATCGCAGAGGGGAAAGTCACCAAGACTACAGTAGGGGCATTTTGGTGTATTAGTTCGCTTGTGCTGTTTAAATTTCAAGCTAGGATTTGCTCTGTGTTTACCTTTTCACTCAAAGGTTCCTCTTTGTGATCGTGTTCAATCCCATCTATTTGCCCATCTGACAAACCAAGCCTCTTTGCGACATTCTTCCACTTCCACCCTATGTGTTCTTGAATTTCCTGAAAGTCTTCTTCTTGAACAACTCGGGACAAGGTATCTGCTACAAAAATGATTTTGAAAAATGTTACTTTCATTTAAGGTGTCTATTTTATGAAACTTTTTAGGACACTAATTAGAATTTTGTAAATTTCTGTTTGTGTTATTTGAATTTTATTTTTCATGGTGTCTACTAGCAGTGTTTCATTTTGTTCTGGTAAAGGTACACCAGATATTCAGGTCCAAACCTGTACCTAGATAATTCTATCTACATTCTACAGCCCTACATCAAAGACAGAACAACAATAATGATGACACCAGTGCTAAAACAAGAAAAGCTTTTTAAAAAAGCTGGGCTGGCCTAAAATTTGACTTATTCACATTCCTAAGTAAGAACAATTTGTTTTTTAATGTTAAAAGCAAAACAACGGATGTTAAAAATAATACCAAAAAGATTTGATCTTGCAATGTGCGAAGTTCGAAGGGCTTCTGCAATGGTTTACTTTACCACCATTACAACAACAGTCCAATTAATATGGGCTAAAATAGATGGATACTTTTAGAGACTGACTTGAAGCTGGGATTGATGTACTTCCAGCATCCATGCTATTGTCTGACCTAGGCTGTGGTCCAATGTTCATGACATTGTGGTCTCCATCCTGCATGTAACCCACCCCTCCTTCTATGTTTACTTTGTAGCTCCCCTTGTTTTGAGGTGGTCTGCGACCTGTAAAGAGCACAGTCACTAAGAGAAACAATCAATTTTCTATTGTTTCATTTAACAAACATCTGATCAACATCCATGTTAACTCCTTAGAGTAGAGAGTACTTGCTTTGCAATTTGTTGGTTGCAGGTTTGATTCCCTGACTTTGCACCAAACACTTTCATTGATAATGGCACATACTACTTTCTCTTCTTAGCAAGTTTGAAAATAAAGTGTACATGTATATGGTAGTTGAACACACGACACTACCAGTGGACTCGCCCCCTGCTGTAGTGCTTGAACAACTGTAAGGGCTATAGAACAGAGATGGACACAACATACACCATACAAAGAAGAAATGACTTTCACTCAGAAATCTACTAAATGACACAACCACTATAGGACATGGTATTTACCATCCTTTCCTTGCCCCTTGCTTCTGGCCCCTTTTTTGGGCCGTGATGTCTTGGGCCTGGCCCCTCCAACATTCATCTCATTGTAATGTCCTTTCTGCAGGTATTTGACACCACCTCGAATGTTGACCTCACTGTCAGGTCCTTGGGGGGCAGAGTTACTGGTACCTAGACAAAGTACACATAATTTGAGTTTATTAAGAGAACTGCATAAAGACAGCAAAACCCAAAAGAGTATCAAATAATAGAAAAAAACACATAGTTTTACTATATTACATGTATGTCAGAATCCATCACAAAACATGATGTATTTTTCACATTCACTCAGCGGATTTATGACTCTTGAATCAGTACTGAAGTAGATGAAATTATTAAGTATTGGTGGCCTAACCATTGGTTTTCGGATATTACCTGGTTGAGGAGGCTGATCATGAGATAGAAGAGGTGTAGACTCGTTGTCCTTCTGTCCTGGGCTGTCAACATTCATGCTGATCTCTTTCTCCTCTGACATGTCAGGCACTGTTTGTAGAATTATAGAATTATATTAGAATTACTGACATTTTTGGTATTGTTTCTTTAAACAATAGCAAACAATAATTATTATTCTTCTGGAACTCTACAATATACATGTACAATGTATGTAGTTAGGCACCAGTATGTCTCAATCAAAGAAGTAAACATTTAAAATCTTACCTGCTTTGGACTCATCTACATGTAGGAGAGGTGTTAACTCATCCTCATCTTGTGCAGATGGTTCCCCAGATCCTGCAGAAAGCGCAAAACACAAAAAAAGTCTTGTGAAAAAAGTTTTGCCCTTAGTATTTTCATTGTGTTAATGAGAAATACAGTGTGCTACTTGAATTTCCAAATTGCTTTGTTTAAGGTTCTTTGCACTATACATTTTGTATAATAAATAATTATTGTTTTAATATGATCGTATTTGTTTTTCTACAATGTAGTATTCCACAGAGAATGACTGAAGCTGTAGATCGTCTGGCAAGAGGACAAGGGCCCAAGAAGATTCCTTCCCTGCCTTTTCGTGAATGGTTTAACCCAACCACGTTTCAATATGGACACACAAAAGAACAGTGATTAAGTGCTTCCTTTTCACTGTTACAAACTGTTTGATATTTGTAGCCTCAACCTTGTGATCTAGAAGCATGATTCTGCTTACCTGCTGACTGTTGCCTTTCACCATGCTGAGATGGTGGTTGAGATGTGGCTTTGGCATCCTCTTTCTTTGCTGTGGGTCCAGATCCAGTGGCTATACAAAACACAACTTATTAAACATAATAGTAAAATTACTATCTATGGACTGAAATAGAAATATATTACTAGAAACTTTAAGATAACATTTCTAATTTAAAAGAAAATGCATAATGTTTACCTTTGCATATGGTCTGCTCTGTTAATTCTTACTCACTCATATATATGGTCAGACAGGAGTCTAAATCACTCCTGCTATAAGATTGCAACATGATGTAACCCAACACTAGTTACCATAGTGACAGATGTCTGGTTCAGGTCATTGGCCTTATTTGTTTGGAAAAAAAGAAGAAGAAGAAACAGAGCAAAAACAATATGTTTTCCTTCCATAAACCTAACAAAATTCAGTTTGAGATATCATAGGGTTAAACAGGAAGCATGTTAATGTAATAATCATCATATACATGTCCAATGGTCATGTACTAATCAACATTTTGAATAATATTATCATACCTTCATCAGAGTAGTCGCTGCCGTTTGTGGCTCTGTCATTGGTGGCTCCATCAGTTTCAGTCACGTCTATAATTATATTTTAAAACATATTTAACAAATTAGCCCAATGCAAGGCCACATGACTGCTTCTGAGTAGTAAACAAGCAAACAAACAAACACTGGAAAACATTGATGGGAGGTGACTATGATAGCTAGGAAATGTCTGTGAACATTGGTTTTGAAGGTTTGTGTTTGAGAGGGATAGAGGATTGGTACATACTTTACTCACCAAGACATGGTATCTCTAGATACCCTAGACTATCATTGTTACAGTAATAATTATTATTGAGTCCAATTTACAGATAATATTACAAATCTCACCCACCTCGGTCATCAGATGTAGGGACGAGGCCTACGAAATGGTTGCGGCGTGGTGCCCCCACCAACATGACCTCTAGCTGCAGGGTGTCCGGTATACTGTCCAGTATACAGGAACACGGTGTCCTCAGTACGTTATTATATTCAGCATATCCAATACTGTCAGTAGGATTCGGACAATACAGAAGGATGTGAGACCTCACAAAACCTGCCAGGAACTTGATCGGAAGAATACCTGAGTGTTCAAGAGGATAGAAAATAAAATTCATTTTTGTAGTATGTATTTACCAATCTTTACCATCAGACATTGTCTACGGGCATTATAACTACATGAACATACTAGGTTATTGTTCATAGCTTTGATCAAGGAGCTATGGCCTTTCAGTGGTTCTACTCTCATCTGCCAAATAAACATACGGGTACGTTTATTTTTTTGGGCCCAAACATCCACCCAGTACGTTCTTATTTTGCACAGTACATTTATTAATTTTTTGAAAACCAGTAATTTTTTTCAACTTTGTGTGAAAAAAATTGACAAATCATCGACGTGAAGACGTTTATAAACGCATATTGTAGCGAGAAACTTGTCATTTTTGGGCCGGTTTTTGCAATCACCGTGTGAATAAATTCGTCTGAATGTTCTATTGTCATGGCTGGTGCTTATCAAAATACAAAATATTAAATGCTCTTTTTTTTTGTCTATTTAAATTCCTAATTGCAAATAACAGTTAAAGATTTGTGCATATATCAGTAAGGGTGCATTTTAGTACAAGAGACACAGGTTACCCGTCAATTTTGGTAATTTTCCGGGGGTTACGTTTATTCCGGGGGTATGTTTATTTGATTTTGAAGATTTGTCCGGGGGGTACGTTTATTCCGGGGGGTATGTTTATTCGGCAGATGAGAGTACATGTACATCTGCGTCAGGTGGTCCAAATTCACCCTCAACCTTGTATTGTCTTTTGATATCCATGCATTTGTACATTCTGGGGTGCATGTCAATAGTGAATACATTTCTTTTGACTTTGTTCAATAAGACCATTAGTGGCTATAGTTTTGTGGTTTTCGTATTCCTTACCTGAGTATTCACCACGATTCATGGTTTTCCTTGCTTGCTCTTGTACAACATCTGTCAACCTTTCATAGAGATCAGTCTTGTCCTGTCCTACATCAGATATCATCGAAAAAAATCTTCCCACACTGACCTCATCAGCTCTCTTTAGTTCTCCATACAACTGTATTGTAATGAGAAATTATGTTAATGTTAGAGGAAATCATAGCCTAGAACCTTGGCCTATGCGCTCATAGTTAAGTTCATACTCTTACACATTTTCTCATGTCAATCCTGGTAATACATTTTGTCGTACAAATGTATGTATGTGTAGTTAATGAAATGTTCAGATTTTAACATGTTTTCGTTGACAGTTTGGTAAATATTGGAAAAACTGCTCTAGTCTAAATCTCCATTTCAAAAGTACTCTGAATCTGTACATTTCATCACAAAAAACATTTACTAACAATATTAATATTACAATGTTTAATTTCTTTTTAAGGTTTTAACTCTTATATGTATAACTCTTAAACATTATGCTGTAGTCTGCCATTTTGAAATCATTGATTTCACTCTGATTCTATCATACTTAGGCACTTTAGACTTGTAGATTTAAATTTTACTTGGCTGGAATGCCTCATTAAAGGTTTATTTAGTAATACCTCATCCACAATGTGCTTCTGATGGTTAACAGCGAACACCACGGCCCCCAGCCTCAGCAGCATTGTGTGCTCCTCTCTTCCTCCCCTCAGGAGTTTGCCCACTGCATGGAAGAGGCAGTCTCCATCTCCAGTGGTGCGGATGGCGATCCGGTTGTCTGGCATACCTTCATAGCTGAAAAAAAGGAGTTTGAAACGTCTCACCACTTCTAATGTGTCACATACTGGTATCAAACCCAATCCTGGTTAAATCTTTGTTGGTTTTGCAAATGTTTCAAAATTAATACATTGTATAACATTCAAAATGTGTTGAAAGCTAAAGAAAAACTTTTTTTTCAAATACAAATGTGCCATGTACAAATGTCCACACAAGTAATTTTTGTACTCAAGTTTGATTTTATAGACTTTTATAGACAAAAGATGCTTTCATAATTATGATTTGAATTCGTGTATTTCTTCCGTGTACTGTGGACTTACATGTACCTCTCCTGCAGTTGCATTGCAATTGCACGGTCTGCAGTCAGCATCTCGATGCTTGGTAACTGTAGCATTTCTTCAATAACACTACAGCATTGCTGTACATCTTCCCATGAGTCTTTTACATCCCTTAGCACGTCTAGCAGCTCTTTGGCAGTTTGTTCCTGCAGTGGAGTGGTTGCCTAAAAACAAACAAACAAACAGCATTTACAGTATTCTGGCACAAGAATAGGAGTTGCATACAGTTTTGAAAGTTAAAGTGCAGCAATGTGTGGCCTTGTTCTCATAAGGGTACATGTAACAGTAGTTAATGTTTCAGGACAGCAACACCTGGAGCATGTTAAAGATCCCACCACACTTATCGATAAGAGTTGGGTACTTTTCCTTCCTAGTGTACAGTACAGCTCGCATTATAGCTAACAACTCTGACATCACAAATGCGTTTTTTTTTTTTTGTTAATCAAGTGCAAGGAACGCGGTAAGACCGCATTTCACATCCAACAATAACATGTTTGGCAAGCGTCAGGGTTCGCAGAAAACGTGTCTTTCATACGGTATTTATATGTAAGGTGTAAGATCAGAGGGAAGTAGGAGGGGTACTGATTAACCCCACGCAGGGCGGGAAATGCGTGGATTAAAGACAACTTAGAAATGTTACGATCTTCTGTCCCAAGATCTGCACGGCTCCTGTGGCAGTACCACAGGTTGTGGTACCTAGGGTACCCGTATCATGATTCAAAAACCTCAATATAAAGCATACATACCCCGGACAAGATCTCCTGAACTTGCAGCAGCAGCTGATGATTTCTTGGCTCTGTAACAGTGAAATGAATAAAAGGCTATAAGATACAATCAGATGATCAAGAACTTGGTAACAATGCTCTCTTTTTTGCTGATAATTCACTATATATGTCTGTGAAAGCCAAAAAGACCTGGAATTTGTAGAAGGCTTATGCTAACCTTCATCTGGCGGCTGTCCAGGTGCACCTGGCGGCTGTCCATGTGCACCTGGCGGCTGTCCATGTGCATCTGTCGGCTGTCCATCTGCATTTGTCGGCTGTCCATCTGCATTTGTCGGCTGTCCATCTGCATTTGTCGGCTGTCCATCTGCATTTGTCGGCTGTCCATCTGCATTTGGCGGCTGTCCATCTGCATCTAATACAAAATTCAATACAACGCAAGCAAATCATTTGGCTCAGAAATACATTGTAAGCAACAAATGTTGAAAATAAAAAATATAGACTGTTAGCCACATAGAACCTGCCAATCTTAATCTGCATCCTAAAATTATTTAGTAAGGTCTTCTTTAATGAAATTCAATGTAACACATTTGTTTAATTTTAATTTAAAAATAATATGTGGTGTATTAGGGTACATGTGGGATTATAAAAGTTGACACTACCTTGTTCCTTGGTGTCATCCGAGGTTGGTGGGTCCTCGGTGTTATCTCGTAGATACTCAACAGTACCTGTTACAAAACAAAAGGAAGGTCTAAACAATAAACACAGTACACAATCAAAGAATTAGGTAATGATGCACTCTGAATGCAGACTGTTATACTAACTATTTTAACCCAAGAGTAGTTTAGTTTGTGATATTGCATACCATCAATTTGAAATTCTCATCCTGAAAGTTACATTCTTAACATTGAGGATATAATATTATGGAGTTACTGTAATATAGAAATAGAGGAAAGAAGGAGAGAATTATAAGATCAAAACTTTGATATTTGCTAATATCATAATACAGGTACAGAGGACTCCCATTGTCAAGTCATTGTGGCACAAAATAATGCATGTACAGGTCAGGAAAATAGGACTTACTGCTTGGTTGCTGTGATTCAGTAACATGTACGTAATCCGGTGAAGGTTCAATTCTCTTGGGCTTTCTGGACATTTCCCCTGTGAAAACAGAACAATGACTTTTTTAAAAAGTGAAAATACAAGAATATGAAATTCTTTTTGTTACACACACAAAAGAAAGAACCTGGATAACAAAGCATTCAAATATTGGTGAAAACATCTTGTTGTGCACCCCTTTGAGGCTTTGAGCTAAACTACATTTTGTAACCAGAGTGTGCCAAACATGATACTGTAAAATCATGTATACAGTACCATCTTTCAGCAGAGCAGATCTTGTTGCCTCTGGTCCCTCTCTTCCTATCCATAGGCGTATCAGCTAAGGGATTAAAAAAAAAGATTAAATATACAGAAATTGTCTAAATATACTTTGTACATGATTTGTGAAATGTAGCAAGGTCAGTTAGTCATTTGCAGTTAGTTTTTAGTAAATATATTCAATACTTGAATGCTTCCACATATAAAGTAACTAAAATGTTACAGATTTAGATTATCTAAACATAGCAGTTACTTACCTCTTCTTTCTGCCTCAGTTCATGTCCAAACAGTTCTGTGACACCATGGTTTCCATAAAGCACCTCTTGTGGGATGTTAAGCTTCTCTGCAAGCTCTTCAACAGACAATGCGTCTGCTCCCACTAGCCTCTTGACCCCTTCCACTGTTAATGGACAACCTGATATGGCAAAATAGGGGCTATTAAGTTTAAAAAAAAATATAACATAAAAATATAATATTGACTTAAAAAATCCTGCCAGGTACCTATGACTGCAACTGGTGTTATCAAGGCCTTCTTAAGTAATGTCTAACACCAGGATATCTGAAGGCATTACTAGTACTGAAACTGCATTTATTATTTAGTGGATCTTTTAGATCATCACTTTTTAATATGATGGTCTAGCCAACAGAATTAGGAAAGCTGATATCATACAAAATGTGAAGGTAAAACAACTATTACCGTACGATAAATTTGATAGTTGAACAATACTAAGAAGCTTAGACTTTCTAGTTAGCTGAACACATCATTGTGCAAGCAGTCTCTCACCTGGTATTGCCAGCTTTCTGTATAACTGCCTCCAATCAAAAGTTTCACTCTTCTTGTAAGGTAGAGGTTCAGCATCACCCAAGCAGACTTGCACGGACTCATCTGTGTTTTCCAGATCCCCATCATGGAAGCTTATCGGAATTTGATTCCTCTGAGGTATTTCATCCTCTCTTAGTTTGTTTCGGAGAAATCCTTTGAACCTGAACTTTGCCACTGGGGTTTGGATTGGTAGGAAGAAGATGCCATGTTGGCATTTCTTTACACTGGAGGCATAGCTGTCTGTAATACTGTCTTCTCCATCTCTATGGAGGTCATACACCAAGAAACCCCATTCCTCCAGTGTTGCACGAATGCTCTTGATGCCATCCATGTTCTTACTTTTCTTATCATAATACAGGGCAACCCTGTATTCAAATGCCGCATCCAGAATACCTGCAGAAGTGTGGAAAACAAAGTGACATAAAAGTATCAAGTTACATGTAAGTATGGATGGAGTTACAAAGATGCAAGACAACATCCTAAATAATTTGAATCTCATGTCCCAGCTACCAACTAATGTCAACCCTCATATCAATTTCATCAGGTATGACCAACATTTAAAAAACATTGTTGTGTGAAAGCCTTCAATGCCTCAAACACCTGGATGGTACCGTTCTTAAATTCACCACTTTTTACAGCTTATGGGTTAACCTGTAGGATTGTGAGAGTTGACATTATAGCATTACAGTAACGACTACTCAAACTAAATAACAGTTGTGACCCCAAACATAACACTCAGATAACAAATTTCTAACATGGGAAACATAAAGAACTGATTGACATACTTGAGGGAACTGCATCAGTCTCGTTGTCATCCAGTAGGGGCTGTTTTTCATCAGGAGAACCATTATCCCTGTCTGTCAACACTGAGAGTAAAACAAAGTATAAGGACTGTATTTTTATCAGATTCATCTATCTATTACTGGGATTTACAACTAGGAAAGGAAAAGGAAAGGTCTCCCATGCTTCTTATGCAGAGCGTAGGGTGGTGCCCATATCCATTTCTGTAGCCCTCGGGCGACACACAATTGTGCAATGCACTACAGCAGGGGGCTGGTCCGCTGGTAGTGCTATGTGTTTGACCTCCCCACACTTTTTCTCATATGTGCTGAGTGCTAAGCAGAGAAAGAAGTGTGTACCATTTTTAAAGTCTTTGGTATGACCTGGCCGGGGTTTGAACTCACGACCTCCCGGTTACAAAGCGAGCACTCTACCAATTGAGCTATTGCACCGGTGCAATAACTCAATAATTTACAACTAGGAAACACAAATATCAATACTAGAAAATAATATCTACAATGTCAAAAAAGTAAATTGATTAGGATCATGCTTACCTCGTCCTTCTTCAACTTCAGATCCTCTCCCGGTCCCAGAGTAGTGTTGTTTTGGCTCTAGAATGCTGCGGTCATTTGATTCATCAGCTGCTGGCTGTCCACCTGAAGAGACTGAAACAGTCTCAATGTCTTGATCATCCAGCGAAGTTTCTTCAGATCCATTATGGTCAGTTCACACAAGATTAAAACACGATGAATTCTATATTCTACATTTCAGTAAAATACACCTAGCAAGAGAAACTTTGTCCTTAATTTCATGAAACCATTGATTACTACTAAACTTAGTGTAATAGTTAACTACTACTAGAACTTGCAACTTAGCTAACAAGGCATCCATGTCTGGTAGAGCTAAAAGCTCAGCAGCTAGGTTTTAAAACTCATTGTTGTAGAGTTATACACTGGTATCTTCTGTGACATTTTGTCCTGATTAAGGGCATACTACACATGGAAACACTTGATGTGATTGAGACTTTGAGGCCCTATTGAGGGAATTTACAAATTATAATATTTTATAAAATCCAAGTAGAAACAGTGCATGTTGCATGCCTACCTGGTTCATTGTTACCCTCAGCTCCTGTCCCTGGTGGGTCTACACGTTCTGGTGGTGGGTCTACACGTTCTGGTGGTGGGTCTACACGTTCTGGTGGTGGGTCTACACGTTCTGGTGGTGGGTCTACACGTTCTGGTGGTGGGTCTACACGTTCTGGTGGTGGGTCTACACGTTCAGGTGGTGGTTGAAGTTGTTGTAGTTCTAATAATGAATATAAAAAGAAAATTTAATTCCTTGCAACTGACCAACTGCATCAGATCTGTCAGCAAACCACCAAATTTTATATATGGAGTTCAAATCAAAAAGTATTCCAATGTACAAAAATGTACATGTATGTTCATTATGCATTAACAATTACCTATGCCAGTCACTTACTAATACTATATAAACATGCAAGTAGTCCAGACAATAAAAATGATGTACATTCAAGAATGTTGTAGATTTTTATATGTCCATTCATACCTATGATGGCATGGATGAAATATATGGTTTTCTCTCATGTTTTTCCTACTTCTTCTTCTATCATTTGGTTAATTCAATATCTTCATTAGTGACCCAAATGACCCAAAATTTGGTATGAAGGTAGCTATAGAGTGGGCAAATACTGCCCCACACCTCCAACATTTTCCCACATTTTTGAAACAGGCTATTAAAATTGTTTTATTGTAAAAAAAACTGCTTTAGTTTGAGTGTTTAATCATTTACAATGATAAATTACAATAACAAATAATTATTTCCTGTCTTACCTTCAAGGCTTAGATGGTCTGGCTGGCTATTTCTTTTTCGATACACACGAAAATACAGCAAAAGTACAACAGCCAGAAGTATACAAATAGCGATGATGATGATAAGTGCAATATATCCTGAGTGAAATGGAGGCCCTGAAACAAAAAACATGCATTTTGAAAAAAAAAACATGTGGCCTGGCTTGGGAAGCACACAAAAAACACACTTAATACTGTTTTCGAACATTTCAATATGTGATGAAAAACGTGAACACTTCATTACCTGATAAACGATCGAGGAACAAATACTACTGGTACATGATCGAAATGCATTTCACGCAGCATGTAAACATATGGCGTACAAAAACTATCATCATTGCAACTGTAAATACAATTGTGCATGAAGCTTTCAATACACCTCTCATTTGAATGCATTTGTATGATAAAATGTACCCATGACATAACTGAAACTAATATTACCTGTTATAGTATTGCATGCTCACCTTTCTGTGCTTCTTTGGTCCCAGCCTCCAGGATCTGAGAGTAACTTTCCCCAAAACGATTGGAGGCCATGACCCTAAACTGATACTTGGCACCAGGACTCAGTCCCTCCACCTTAATCAGCTGAATTGTCACGTTTGGGTTGTGAGAAACTCTGCCTGTCTGGTTCCAGCTGTCACTAGAGCTGACGACTCCTGATTAGAAAAAAGAAACACTGATATTTGCAACACTAGCTCTAGCCAACTGCTGCCTACCACTGCAGTAGCCCTGGCAGCAGTATAATCAAAGACTGGATACTACTAACTACATTACTACTGCATCGCTGGAAATACTTGATACATAAAACTAATAATAGCTATAATATACGCTGTATGTGCACCTTATATTTGACTGGTGGCTGGAATTGCAAAGTCAACAATTTGGTGCAGTCCAAACCCTTGTCTGTTCAGCAACCACTCACTCTCACCTGAACTATTTTTCCTCTGTCCCTTGAGTAGTTGCTAAGACAAGGCTTTACTGTAAATTGCAACCTAAAGTGTCAAATATGTACACTTTATGAAAGCCTTACCGGCCTCTCTATACTCCAGGCGGTACCCGACTGGTGCAGAGTCGTAAGGTTTCACCTGCTCCAAGGTGATGTTAACATAATCTTCTCCAGCATTAGTGATGCTGAATGAAGACACAGCTGGCGGGGGAACTGTAAGTGCAAAAACAGAATAAACAGCTTATTTCTTTACCATGTTACCGGTCACGTGTCTCTGACATCACGTTCCAAGAGTAGACGGGTCCATTCCGTGAACAAGGTGGTTGATGGAGTCAACCGAAAATTTGGGTAAGTCCCAATTTTGTAATCTAAGTGTTGGAAGTTAAAGCTTAGCCTTTATTTCATAATGACTTGTACCAACACAGATGAACTTTCATGCTCTTTACCATGTAGTAACTTTCATTTGGTTAATCATAATTTTTTAGCCAGTCTAGCTACTTTTAATTGATTCAATAAAGTCACCTGTAAGCCTCTTGACCAAATACTACATTAAAAAAAAAGATTGTCCTAGTACTGGTAGTAGTTAGATATGTACAGTTTTGGCATTTAAAATAACCAGTTTGCATGCAAAGATGGTGCAAATTTGAGACTTTGTTATACTTTTTTTCAGCTGGTGACATCTTCAATAATATATCCTCACAAGCACATGCAAAAGGAAGTGCAAATTCTTTGTAACTTACTTTTGATGTTGACATACATTTTTGCTCCTTGTCCTTCGGGGCCATGTGTCTGTTGATACTGGTAGTACACCTCTCTACCAGTGTCGCTGGGTTGAACATTACTCAGCTCAGCTACTGTTCCATCTGGTCCCTCTAACAGAGACAGGCGGCCCTGCCACTTCGCATGTATGATCGCATTTTGTACTGGTGCTCCTAAGATAAAACAAAACACTTCAGTTTTTCTATGCTTCTTGGGATAACTTAATCTCCAAAGCAGATTTTTCAGTGAAGGAAGACAGTATCAAATTGGCCAGACAGTTGGGGAAATGGATTCTGTCTGGCCAATTTGATGCTGTCTTCCCCCACCGAAAAATCTCCTTGGAGATTAGGGCTAACTGGGTGGTACACGGGTATATAATGTATAATGATTGATTTGGGTGGCTGAGTTACGGGTTTGTGTGTTCGTTTAACCACAAAGGTTGGCAAAAAAGAAATTCACAAACACAAAAAAATTATGAATAATATAATATGAAAAGGAGGTAAGCAAGAGAGTCTGACTCTGAGACTATAAAAGAAGGTTCTTTAAAAAAAATATTCAACAACCAGCTTTGTGTTCCTTCAAAAGGTGAGATGTGAAAACTTGACCATATATAGCTGTACTTATTTGTTGACAGTATCTCTGAACACAAATGAATGAGTTACCTGCTGCCAATGTCACAAGTTCAATCGTGACTGTGTCATTCACCAGTGCCAGACCTAGCATTTTTCTGTCATCAAAGTTGGTGAAGCTCCTTAACGGAAACTTGGCAGTTTCTCCAATAGCAACTGGTAAGAAATGAACAAGAAAATAATTTTTTTATCCAATAGTGAATTGTTGTGTACATGTACATTTGTACTTAACACAGATGTACAGTCTTACCAAGGCGAGTACTGGTGCATACTGCAAGTGCTCTTACTCCTTATAGAAATTATAACTCAACGTTAAATGATGTCTAACGTTATATTAGGGCCACACCAATTTAATTTGTTGGTTCTCGGATTCGCCTCTTCGTTTTTTTCTGATTTGCAAAAAAAAAAAAATGATTCTGGTTCTGAATCAACTGAAAAATGCTCATGTTTTGCCCCCAGCAGTTGAGGATAGTCCTTTTCTTCCTAGTTGTTACAGTTTTCCCATCTATCATTGCAGTGGTTTGATTAAAAGTTCAAAATTCAATGTTTGAATTTTAACCCAGCCTTTTGTGTTGACTTCATGGCTCATTTCGTAGCATTTAAGCCTATAATAGGATGCCTAGACCTGTTTTTATTTTATTTTTTTTCGCCCTGTCGCTTCATATTTTTTCTGAAAAAATCCGAGAACCAACAAATTAAATTGGTGTGGCCTAGAGTATAGAAAAAAATGTCTAAACAGGAATCAGACCTACCTATAATTCATCATTGTCAGTACCATCTACCGTTTCGGTATTGGAAAATGCGGGGTTTTTGACCAGGGAATAGCAGAAAATCGTGGTAAATGTAGCCTGTAGCTTTGGTACATGTAATCGGTGTCATCCGATTTGTTACGGTACTCCTTACACTCGCACTCGCGATCGCTGGCACGATTTTTAAAAGAAATTATTGGGCTTCCTTTTTTAACGCCGTACACACACCCAAGCCTGGTTACCAGACTTATTTCAGCTCCCGAGTTATTTGCGGATAGGACATAAACTTAAACTCGGATGCTAAAAATTATATTATACTTAGGTTTGGTGTAACACGAGACTAACGCCCCCCTCCCCAGATTTCATATTCTTTCCCGTTTTCACTTTGTATGATGAGATTCAAACGTTTGAACACGTGTTGAGTCCTTGTTTAAACAGTTTTACGCCAAACATAAGAATTGCCGTGTTTTACTCACCATCAATGTGAAGTTCCTGCCCCAAAACCGTTGGGAAAATAGCAGCAAAAAGCAAAAGGCACGGACTTGCCGCCATTTTGTGCGAAAAAAAAGAACTTACTTCCGTGATTGCTCATTATTGTAGCAGGGGGGGAGGGGACCAACGCATAACTCTCCAACGGTAAAATATATAAAATAAAACAAATCAAAATCAAAACATATACAAATAAATCAATGTGATATTCTTTGCAGATATTGACTGCAAAGCTGGATTAGCCAAGATTCTTTGGGTATAATAAATACAATGTTACCCCCTGACCCAATGGGTCAGTCCAGAAAACAGGGTCATCTCATTTAGACAAGGGGGTGGCTTGTCCATTACAGCTAAATATATATGACTCTTACAGTAAAAATACATCATAAAAGTCACAAAATTTGGCTAGACTTTATTTTGTATTTATCAGTAAAACTGCAATTCCTTCAAATAAGAAAAAATGAGGAGGAAAAAAATATTCAACTCACCTTGTCCACCCGAGTTTCACATGTAACGTTAGCAACAACTTTAGGCGGTCCTTGCAATTTGAAACTCGTTCAAAAATCAGACGGTATTATTTCTCTTAATGTAGGTATCATTTCTCATAATGTGGCACGATATACATGCACGTTTGTGAAAAGGGAATCGTTTCTATTGACATTTGCGAAAATGAAAGCCTCGAGTAGAGGTGACGTCATATCGAAACCAAGCTCAGCACTTTCGACCAATCAGAGACGAGAAACACGTATATTTCACCTCTGACCTCGACATCTCTCCCGCCGTACGTGTGTGGGAGGAAGCAAAGTTACCCAGCTAAAAAGGTGGCAGAAAAGATGGAAACAACAGGTATTTCGAGCCTTTATTCACGTTATTCCTACAAGTACACACGCACACTCTCCTTTTGTCTTATTTTTCGCCTCAAGTTGATTCCCTGGCCGTGCAAATGCATTGATTCGTGCGACCAAAACTTGTCAGTTTCACCTATGGTTTCACCAGTGTGTGTTTTGTGTGTAACTTTCAAAACCAAACTTCCGCATTTAGAAACCGTTTTGTGCATGGCCTCTTTGGTTCTGAACATTTTAATGTAATCCACTCAAACCACTACAAACTATGTTCATTTTTGATGAATGGCTAGATGTAATTTCTATTTACAATTTTTCTGGATGTGACCCATCTTTTTTTTTCCCCAGGACGAAACATAACATACACCCGTCATTTTGACATCAACGCTTTGTTCGTACAAATTGGCTTATATACTTAAGTAACTGTTGAGCAATCTTTCTGTTGTTTACAGTAATGTTTATTGTCTACTTTTGAAAATCGTGCCTTCTACATTGTCTTAATTAGCTATGAAATTTGCTTTCACTTTTAATTGTAACTTACTTTCAGTTTCAGTGTCACCAGGGAGGATTATGGGGTCAATCATGTACTTATTAACATCTTTAAAAAAATTTTAAGTCCCCTTTTCTCTTAGAGTACCGGGCCAGCATAAAAAAAAAGTTAATCAGATAGTATATTTGTTAATAACATACATGTGCATATTTGCAGGTATGATGACTGCTCTACAAGCTTGTCTAAGGATGTTATATGGAACCCTGCTCCTCTTGAGCCTGTGCTGTAGTGCCCAGGGGCTGGATGTAAAAGGTATGTTTATTTGTTCATCTATTAGGATTTAGGATTGAAAGCTCATTATTTGCTTACCACAATTGATTTTATCTATGTTAGCTGTGATGATAGTCACTTCACATTCATCTAGAAACCTCTCATTGCAGAAAAAATGGCAACATTAAGTTCTGCACATCAAAAGGTGCTGGGCTTGACCTTTCACCTTTTTTTTGGTGACAAGGCTAGTGACCTTGACCTCTCATTTAAAAATTATGACCTTGACCTGCCACCTTTCTGTGCATCAAAAGGTACTGGCTTTGACCTTTCACCTTTGTGTGACATTAGGCTTGACTAAGTCTGTGACTAATACTACTGTAAGACAGGGTTGTTTTGACCTTGACATATTATCCCAAGGTTACGAGGGTGGAACAGCACTGCTGCCGCTCAGCAGTTTTCCCCAGTTTGACAGCGGCAAGGACTTGTATCTTGTCATCGTTCGGGAAAGCGGGGACGTGACACGGGTTCTCGAGTGGACAACAAGTAGGTAATGTTATTGTGGAATGAACAGGGGGCTTGCATGTATACATTGTAGCCATGTAATTTATACCTTGAGCAATTGATGCATTCTACAGATAGCCTAATGATGTCTTAAATTTAGCATAATTTAGTCCGCCTGCTAAATCTAATGTTAAGTAGTGTGTAGCTGAATTGTACAGTATATTTCACAGTATATTGCAGTTAGCCTTAAATTGTAGTCCAATAAGGACCAGTTTTCTTAGCCCCACTCATCTGATTTGTTAAACGGCAACCCCCAAAAAAACGTTTCAGGTTTGCCGTTACAAATTGGATGGCACCCAGGCTACAGTTTTCTTATCCAAATACTGATTGCACTTCATGTCATCAATGAAATTTGAAATTGAACTCAGTTTCCTGATGATCGTTCCATTTGAATTTAGTCAGGGTCATCAAGGACATTATGACTTATTGTGTTACACCCTTTTCCTTGATTAACCAGGAACTTTGCTGTGGACAGCAGGGATACTAATACCCCAGTTTGAAGGTAGGATGTCCCTGATACATGCAGGAGGCCCTGGTCAGCGGCCAGGGCTGCCCAATGCTGTCCAAATCAGGAACACGAGACCAGGTGACTCTGTGACAGACGGCTACTTCCAGTTTCGACAACCAGGTGGTTCACAAGGACAAGAAATGGGCTTAACTGTCTTTGGTAAGCAGGGGTTTTACCTTTGCATTGGAAGGGTTGGTGGAAAAACCTGTCCAGTCTGGACTGTCTTGGGGGGGGGGCAGAAAAACCTGTCCAGTCTGAATAAAGGGTTTGCATGGGGGTTCCTGTATTGGTGGTTATGTGTTTGATAGTCTTTGTCCCTAAACTACTTTCTTTTTTTCCTCATTCCGATTTTCTATTGTCTTTCACTTTCATACTGATCTTTCATTCTTGAATTACTTTCATACCATATACTATAGCCATACCAAACAATTTTCAAATTCAATGTTAGGGAATGATTTTAAGAATCTAACCTTAGTAATTTCATTCTTTCATGAGAAGTTTTGTGTTATCTGTTTTTTTAATTACTCATGTTATGTTTGTTTTGTGCGTTCTTCATGTCAGCTATCACTGTAACAGCCTCACCCAACCCAGCAACCATTGGTCAGCAGGCAACACTTACCTGTTCTGTGGATGGCGGCCGCCCTGACAGTTTTTCCTGGACCCGCGATGGCCAAGCCATTCCTGGGACCCAAAACACACATGGAAATCTGATTGCTACGTTCACTGTTGGACCAGACAGTGGTGGAAGTTATGTCTGTGAAGTGAGTGGGAGTATTGGACAAGGACAGAAAAGCATTATGCTTCAAACTGACTGTAAGTAACAGAGTTACTAGATTTTGCAAATGTTACCTTTCAATTTCTAGCGTTCAAAGTATTGGTTTAGTAAATGACTGTAACTGTATCCGTATAGCTGATATAACTGCGCTTTGGTGGAACACATTACAGCTTCGCAGGCATGCGGCGTAGTGGCAGCTAGCTATATCAAACCAAACAAATGAAGAGTGATTGAAGTTTGATTGACATTTCAGCTACCATGACAACCACCACGGCCACACCTTTTTCTACACCACGTATAACGACAGCCTTCGCCTCCACCACAGCTCCACCGGTTTCATCCTCAGCAGTGGAGGCCTTTTCATCGGGGATGTTTTCAAAACCAAAAACAGTTATGCCCGCAAGTCAGACTCTAGGGGCGAAGACAGTACAACAACCCAACTTACCCAGGGATGGACAAGGTTTTGGAACAGGAAGCATAATTGCTTGTGTGTTTGGAGTGCTGATTCTGGTCCTGATAGCTATTATTGGAGGCTGCTTTTGGAAGAGGAGAAAGAAATCCAATCCAACATCAGAAGGTATGTGCTTAATACTGCTTTACTGATTGTCACTTAAGCAACCAACAGTCTGAAATTTCATGGAATGTTTTTGCTAAAAAGTGCAAAGTTATTAATGCCAACTTTTTATTCCTGTTGGTAAGGTTATAGGTACAGTTGTTGACATATATATATTATATAGCTTGAAGTTCATATTTTGTGCTTGCAGAACATGCAGTAAATGGAAATACATGTACAGGACAACAACAACCAGTAAGTCCAGTACTGTTCTTCACTTTAACATCCAATGTTAATTGCATTAACCTGTAAAGTGCTTTGTCAAATTACTTCTAAATAGTTTTACTTTTTTTGTAAAATTTGCACATTTCTTATAGCTTTATTTTGAATAAAAGTTGCCACTACATTTTTTCTAAAAAATAATCACACTCTTGGTTCAAATTAAAGCTCTTAAACTTTCAACTCATATTCACAATTACAAAAAAAATTAAAAGTTGATAACAGTTAACATTAATATTTTATGCACACTTGTTTTTTTGTAGATGATTTTACATCACGTCAATGAATTTGATACAGGTAGGTGGAAAGTCATTGAAAGTGTCTTTGCCAACTGAGCAGAAGACAACAGTTTTTCTGAGACTCTACATGTATTATTTTACACTTCTTCAAAACACTGACACTCTAACCAAATCGCCTTTCTTAAACTATTCTGTGATTGACTGTAATTTTGCTCGACTCTCTATGACTTGTATCTTGGTCCAATCTGTATGTTCATCAAAACTTAGGGTTTATGGAAAGGCCTGGGTGCCTTACCAGCCAGGCCACCTTGCCTGTCTACCTGTGCTGACTAAGACTTCAAAACTTGAAATATTTTATTGAATTTCCAAATCCCTAGTCAGAATCTACATTATCTAAAGATGAACACTGCTTGTTTCTATATAATAAATTGGCCAAAATGAGAACACTATAATGTCATATGTTTTGCGTGCCATTTCAAGTATTATAACTCACTGTCAACATGTCGCCAATGGCTTGTAACTTTAAAGTGGTGTGTCAAGAGGGACCGATTCATATGTATGATCAATCCTCCTACTAGTATTTTGTTCAGGTACAAGTGCTTCGATTACAGAAGTGACCACGAAAAATGTGAATATAAAAACTTCCACGAAAAAAATCAGGAATTACAGTATGCTATGATCCATTTTTTCTTCTTCTTCAGGTACAAGAGCACCGATCGACCCCCATCAGCTGTCCCTTCCCATCCAAGTCTCCTCCCTCCGTAGCTCTTACGAGGAGGAACAGAACACCATCAACTCCAGACGGCCCCTGCTGCCCAAGAAAAGGCCAACCCTTGATACAAGCGACCATCCTTCTCCACCTGGTCATCTTGATGAAGTTGAGGACGTATTGCTATCGACCCCTACACCTGCGAACTGTCTTCCTGACCAAAGTATCCATCTCAACGAGGTATCTGTATCCACAACAATGTTCAAGGGTTAGGTGTAACAAGTCATTTGGTGCAACACACCAGCTTCACAGGCACGTGGCGTGGCGGCAGCTGGCTACGTTACACCAAACACTTGTTACACCTAACCCTTGAACATTATGTCTAATGATAATGCCCCTACTGTACTTGGTGACAGCGAGTTCCACTCTGCGATAGTTCTAGGAAAGAAATGAGTTTTTGAACACCTCAATCCTTGGTTGATAACTCTGGTACTTGAAAACTTGTCTTGTTCTTTTCTGGGCTGGTATTAGGGAATTAGTAATTGGTACGTCCACCAGTTTCTATCATGCATAGTCTGGACATTTTTTGTCTGTCTTCTAGGTAGCATCATTGAACAATGGGGCAGCTGGTCCGCAGGCTTCAGATGACAACACAGATCCAAAAGCTGCGTCTTCTACAAGACCCGTCGAGAGATCTACTGAGCAACAATCCCCTACAAACACCCGACAGACATTCTCGGATGCCAGTAGGTCCGTGAGTTTGGACGAGTCGACCCCCACCGTGCCTCATAGTCTCTGCTCCGACCAACCCAACTCCAGGAGGTGCCCCTCGCTCCAAGACATGATAAGCTACAGCACCGGATCTGAAACCACGCAAAACAACATTCCAACGAATCTGACAAAGCTGTCTTCCAACGGGCAAAACAAAAAACCACAGCATCGACCAAAAAAGGCGACATCTAGCAGTAAAAGCACTCAGCCAAAAAGTGGGTCCTGTACAAGTTTGGAGACGAGGATGGAAGATACCATGGAGGAGAACAGCAGGGGTGGACAGGTCTCCAACCAAGAGGGACAGAAATCTAGATCTAGAGTCAGCGCTTCAGATGTACGAGAGCTAAGCCTGGGTGGTAACGAGGTACGTGAATCAAAGTTTTTTGTTCAATTAATTGATTTCACTAACTAGTTTACTAAGTTGATGCCATTATGATTTTGCTTTTTTTTGTCAGACACAGTTTTTTGCACTTACCAGTATACCATAGAGAAGAAATTCAGACACAGTTAAAAATGACTAGCCTCAACCGGGATATATTCAGAGTACAGTGTAGACCCAGGAGTTAGTCTCCTAGGAGAATGTTTGCAAACTGTACTCTCTAGTGAACCGACTCCCCTGGCATACTATCTGGCCAATTTCTACTCTTTTCAGCTACTTCCCAAACCTTGGTAGAGGTTACAAAGTGACTGCTAACTTTACCTAATATATGTCTTGCTTACTGACAGGTGGCTACCACAATTGACCAGATGATCAGGAAAGTCCTTGTCGATGAGGGACACTTGGACATCCCATACCACAAGTTTACTGAGCTGTGTTTGCAGCTGTACAACACACAGAACAACTGGAAAATCCTGGCAGACAGGCTTGGTGAGATACATTATTTTCTCTAAATACTTCTAATCATGAATTTTTCACTGCTCCCTTAAAGGAGGGCCTGCAATGGGGGGTAGTGATTACAAATTACGCAAAATTTTCGCCGCCAATTACGAATTACGTTAAAGTCTCAGAGCTGATTACGACTTTACGATTTGCGGCTAATGTCCTATTACGAATTACGTTGATTTTTGCGGAGGCTCCCTACGAATTACGAAGTCTAAAACGGCCTGATTACGCCTTACGAAAAAGGGCTTGCAGGCCCTCTTAAAGCTGCGACTGGACCTGTGACGTCACCACCGGTTATATTGGAACAGATTTAGATTTGAAGCGCGCATGCAAGGAAATCCGTGAATAGTTTCATCATGTTGGTAAGTCAATGAGTAAAGAGACTCCTTCTACACAGCCAAGCCTTTTATTCAGCCAACGTTTTGGTGACCGTCTGTCTGACCTTCCTCAAGGTGATTCTGACTGCATCTATAGAAGGACACCTAGTGCTGAAATGCAATGTGAACCAGTCAGATTTGCCCTGAGGAAGGTGACAGACAGTCACCAAAACGTCGGCTGAATAAAAGACTTAGCTGTGTAGAAAGAGTCTCTTTACTCATGCAATGAAAGTTTTAACATTTTTTTGTAGTTATAGCAGTAGTATAGTTGTGTAGTAGTATTTACTGTTAATAGTAGCTACAGTATATCAAAAGTAATTTTCTTGTCTCATATTTTCTTCTCCTCAGGACTAACGAATGGAGACATACTACTGATCGACAACTGCAGTACCCAACACAACCTCCTGGCGGCAGAGATTGTGTTGCGTCACTGGCAGCGAACATCGCGACAAGACAGAACCAACCCCTGTACCGTACACAACCTCAGGACCATCCTACAAGACATGGGGAGGGCAGACCTAGTGGACCTTCTGCAGAAATAATCAATTGTAGGTTGAATTTAGAGTTGCTGACTTCAAATGTTATATAAACTTCTAACTTCCAAAGTTAGAGTTGCTTTGCTAGCTTCAAGTGTTATATAGAAGTTATATAGAAGTTAGAGTTGCTTTATATGTTATACATGTATAAATCTGAAAGCTTTATTTAAAATACAGTGAAACCTAACCAAGCATCACCACCTAAATGTTTCTTTTTTGTCCATAGGCGCAGGAAGGACCTGACAAGAAGACCACTTGTCTAAGAAGACCACTTTACCTTGGTCCCCTGGATGGCCTTCTTAGGCAGGTTTGGCATCTACCTGACAATCTCTAAGCTTTATTCCAGGTCTGCTTTGAACACTTATTCAGATCTGTAAAATGTTGTTATTCTCCAAATTTCTCTGTAGTACTTGGCAATCTTGCTTCTGTGTCACATGTACATTGGGGTCTAAAATCTTGGGGGGGGGGGGTGTATACAATGCATATCAGGAAAGTCACACTTTTATCATTACTTTTATTAGCAATTATTCAAGTAACCACCACACTTAAAGCTTGTAAATACGGGCTGGTGTTTGAACACTTGAATGCTGATTTAAGAAACCAGGACAGAAACCAGATTCAGCCCTTGAAACAGCGCCGGCAGGTTGGGGCCCTCACTCTCCTGCACCGCATGTACAACCAGGATGCCCCAGCACCACTTATCAGCTTACTCCCGAACCCATACGTACACCGCCGTGAAACCCGCCTGTCAAGATCGCAACACAGCAACGCTCTGGAACCTGTTAAGTCATCCACAACATCACACAGAAGAACATTCCTACCAGCCACAGTACAGCTCTGGAACTCCCTCCCACAGGACATTGTAGCTCTAAAGGACAGACACAAATTTAAGAGCAGTGTAAACCGTCACCTCAGTGGTATTGGACAGCGCCCTTGTGACAGCTGCTAAGCTGAGTCTGACATTGCATAGATAAAAAAAAAAGAGTAACAAAGTGAGCTACTATGCAAAGCCAAGTGAAACTATGCAAGGTAAAAAAATTGAACTTCATATTATGATTGAAATATAGTTGCTGTATATTTTTAAGAATTTGACTTGAATTATTATTAATGTATAGATTGTCTGTAAATAATTTTATAAAAGTCTTTATTGTATAAAGCACATAACAGTTAAGTTGCTGAAATATTTCAAGAACAAGGGATTATGACTATGCTGTCTTAACCATGGATTACGTCAAACAAAATAGTCAACAAATATTTTTTTTTTATGATTTGATAGGAAAGACGTTTAATGTGTACGTTGAAGATACATTGTACATTTCAGGTGTGTTCAAAGTTTAATTCTGTATTCATATATTTCTATTGTATACATCCTTCAAACTGATAAATAAGGGTGAGGAAAGAAACAATTTGAAATTAAACTCTGTCTATGGGTCGCGAATTGGATCTTCTGTGGCCGGGATCTTCTCTGGTATACTATCCCTTTTTTATTTCGGCCAATTTCTACTACTAGTATTTTTCCAGCGATAGTTACAACGCATTACGTAGAATTAAAGCGCGAATTACGCTCTACGCAAAATGCGCCGATTACTCTAGTACTTGAATTAGAGCGGTCCGTCTACGCTCAGAAAAGGGCATGCAGGCCCCCTCTGAGGTCAATAACTGTACGAGCAAAGTTCGTTATGACGCTACGTACGTGCTACATTAATGAGTTACTCAACTCGCTAATGTGGCATAAAGCAAACAACTTCTAACCTCCGTACGGGTGCTGACCTAAAGGTGAACACTTCCACACAACCTCAGTCGCCTTCTGAGTGAAGTCCTTCGTTGTGAGCGAAGAAAGCCTAAACCCTCCCCGGCGCTTGGGACCTGGTTTGGCGGCTCGAAACGCTCTCAGCGCCGAAGAGATAGTCTCTGAGCTCACGGCGATCTGGTTACCAGGCTAACCTAACCATGGAGTACGACAAGGATGGGTTTAAGGCCGAAACCATCCCAAAACGGAGAAACGATTTCTGCTGGGTTGGAGTGCTCGCTTTTATTTTCCTGGTGGTCGGGTTGGCCGTGATCGTGACGCTGTTCCTGTTACCGGCGGCGCCCCTGGTTCTACCTGACGACGTTCCGACAGGTGTGCCAAAAGGTGAGGTCCTTAATTTAGGCCAAGACGCTGGTTAAGACTGTAGTTTTCTAGGCAAGATGTGGTCCACATATCATTCTAAGATATACTAGAAAATGGTCTTATACGTATATCCCCGTTAATGTTGGTGAAGACGTTGTTAGTCTTCTAGGCAAAATATCAAAACGTTGAATAGTTTTCTAGGCAAAATGTGGGCCACATATTCTAAAATATACTTGTCTAGTAGATGGTCTTACATGTATATCACCTTACTACTCTATGACACACTGATGATAAACTATGGCTTATACTAATACAAGTACACAGTAATGTGGGTTAGTGGGTTGGGGAGGGGGTATATACGATACCAATAATGGGAACATTTTAATGCCATTGTTTTAAACGTTAGATAAATGTAACTCCGTGAATGCGTAAGAAATGATCTTGCCATATTCAGATGTTCTGTGTTCTCCCAAAATTCCAGCAACACTAAAGAAACTTTCAAGACTATGCGCTGTATCCAAGTAGAAGCTCTATAAATTATGTGGACTACTAATGTATGTATTAAAACTGACTTGTATACTGTAGGACGGTGCTTTAAATCTAGGCATAGCCTAAGGAAGTGTTCAATCTGACGTTTTGAGATGGACCCTCGAAGATAGACGCAAAATCATTTTCTTCGGAGCATCCTGATAAGTTTTGATAAGTTCCAACGATGTTGGAAATCTGAACATATCTGGCGTTACGTCCTTTAAAACCTACACTGGGTAAATATTAACTAACCAACGAATAGGGATTGCTAACAGTGGCACGTGTTTGTAGATCTTTTACTTTGTAAGGTAATCAGTAACCACTTATACGTGTGCTCTGCGTAAGAAGAAACAAGCTTAATGGATCACATCGTATACATGTATGCAGATGTCAGTGTCTGTCGTGTGACCTTAACAGGGCGTTTAAACTTGACAGCCCATCCTAATTCTAACCAATGAGAGAGTGACAATTAGACGTTCGACCAATGAGAGAGTGCCTGCATGTCCGTCGAATATTTCATTCTTTTATGTCTTGATTGTTGCGTTTCTAAGTTCTGACAGAGGTGGGTGGGGCTATGTGTTCAGTCTATTTATATTGTGATTTATAACACATGTAACAAGTAAGCACAATGGCGTTGAACGTGAGTTCTTTGCATCGTTTGTATGATAGAATGATTGGGAATTTTTAGTGCTTTAAGTAAGAGAAAAAGAATTTTCACCACAGATTTAAATTTAAGTCAGATAAGTACCGAAGCGATCATTCTCCTAACAAACCATATAATTGTCCGATATTTAACTGATAATTTTTTTTATAGTTATATATTCCCCGGATGTGAGCCCGCTGGTCTACTACGGTGTCGAGAACCATGACGCTTTGGAGGTCACGTGGTCCCATGGGGTCAACAGCAAGGTCATGTTGACTGAAGCATTAGCTGGTAGGTTATAAAGACATACGGAAGCTCAGTTCTCTTTATTAATTCAAAACAAAGTTAACGATAGGCATGTGCGATAAACGCTGTATATAGGATTCATAATTTAGCATTCAATCTCTAGATCTGATCCTGAATGAAAAAGATAGAAAGGTGGCCATGGTTACCGCAGAATGACCTTAAGGTCAAGTTGCATTGGAAGGAACAAAATGTTGATTTGGGCGGAGAAATTCACACTAAAAACAATTCACAAAAAAGACTTCACACAAACATCAATTTTACAGAGGAATTTAATCACCGGTTTCGTATTATTACCTCCATGAAAAATGGAAGTACGTATTGCTTTTGGTGTGTCTGTGTGTGTGTCTGTGTTTCCGCACATTTGTAGTCAGCATAACTTCGGAACGCGTACGCCTTTATGGAGTGTGATGATATTTGATATGTAGATAAGTGGTAGGAAGACAAAGGTCAAGGTTAAATATGGGCCTCCTGGTGACTGACCTTGTTATCATTGTTATTTTATTCATTATATTATGTCCACCAAATAATGAAAAAAAATTGTACATTCACAGGCGACGTAATGATGCTTGAGGTTGACGTAACCCTCCGAGGCTACGGTACGCATGCGCAGTCGGATGTTCCAGTGGCAGCCCACCCACCCCTGACAGACAGTGACGTCACTGTTGAAGAATGGCTGGAAGCCGCGCTGAGGACAGACAAGGGCATCAAACTAGACTTTAAGTCACTAGAAGCGGTAGCCCCAGCCTTAAGGTAAGAGTAGATAAATGATATGTATATGTATGAAACAGCATTGTGTACACACTTTATCATTCCGATGTGTTTAGACGAAGCATGTACTGGCCGCACTTTTTAAACATCTGTATGTAATTTGTGTATTTGCACTTTTGTTATTGTCCCTGCTTTATATGAGCCTTTGGCCTGTAGCAAAGAATAAATAAATCAATATAGTATAGACAAATTTATATTCCTTACAACCATAAGGAACTTTAACCATACAGTTACCTACATGTAACTGTATGGTTCTTATGGGATCACTACCAGGTCAAATGCAAGTAGCCATAAATGAAGTCGACACTTGGGCTAAGTCCTACAGTATGGCAGCAAACGTAGGAAAAACCAAAGACATGGTTATTAGCTGTCGTAGGGAGTCTGTGATTCCCCCTCCACTCACGCTCAACGGAGAGACTATAGAGAGAGTTCCTGCATTCAAACTTCTAGGGGTGATCGTCAGTAACGACCTGTCGTGGGGTGCACACGTTGAATACATGTTGTCCAAGGTCCGACCTCGCCTTCACTACTTGCGACTGTCCAAACGAGCGGGGCTTCCAGTAGACGTTCTGTTACAAATTTACAAGACATTTGTCAGACCAGTGCTGGAATACGGATCACCAGTGTGGGGAGGGTTACCTCGCGGGTTGGCTGACGAGCTCGAGAAAGTACAGAAAATCTGCTGCAGAATCATTGGAATTCCTTCCGGTCAACTGCCGACCCTGGAGGAGCGGAGACGTGAGGCATCCGTACGTGAACTCAGGAGGGTGATGGCGGATGACTCTCACCCTTGCCAGCAGTTCCTTGAGCCGGGTAGATGGACAACCTACCAACTACGCCGTCAGACTTCCAGCTAAAAGATACCACTTAGCCGTACAGAGAGACATAGACAATCATTTATCCCCAGATCACTCAACATCTTGCAGCAGTGAGGGACACTATAGACTTTTTAAAATCTGAAGGACACTATAGACTTTTATAAAAAATTTTATTGCCTCCTTGTATTTGTATTCTTAAGTTGTTCCACTCAATTATTGTCTATATTTTAATGTGTTATCGATATTTTATACAATACGTCATTATCGGATATTTCTTTTAACACTAAATCTTTTTAACGCTAAAATGTTACAATTGTTATTATTAATATGGAATTACATGTGACTTGCAACACAATTCAGGCTGTTTCAGCCTGCAATGTTGTTTTGATGAATAAAGTTTCAAGTTTCAAAATGTACCAAAAAGGAAAGAAAGTTGAAAGTACTTGCTTAGCCCAGTAGGGCAAAAATGTACATACAATGAATGTCTTTCTAATGCTAATGCTATCATTAATTGACGTGACGTGTATTCCTTATGTTTTGTTAGAATGTTACAGAGCCACAAACATCATATGAAGCGCCCCCTGTGGATTAACGCTGACATTGCACCGGGCCCGAACGCCGGACAAAAAGAAGTGCACATCCCTGCGTCAGAGTTCCTCTCAACCGTCAACCAACTCTTTCCCAACTGCACCCTGTCTCTTGGCTGGACAACCGGTAAGAGTCATACCTAGTCTCCACCAGACAAGCTACGCGGCTTAAAAACAGTAAATCTTAAAAACAGTAAAAGCAGTAAAATTTAGCCAGATAATGAGAATAATTGGCCAGGGGAGTTTCAAAATGATCTTCGAGCAGATCTTTGGGTAGGTGTAATACAGTATCATATTGGCAAGACAGGATCAGGCCAGGCAGTATTTACGCCACACATTATGCTTCGGGTGGCCAATATAGACCCCCAATATGAACCTTTTTGCATGCCTAAGCATGGATTCTTTTCCTCTCCACCAGGCTTCTACCACGATGGAGACAACGAGGGTTACACGAGAGAGATGGTTGAAGCGATGCACGCCGTTACTAAGGACCTACGTCAGCCGGTGACGTTTCCCGTCAGGTTCTCCCTGGTTGGACAGTCGCTGGAAAACTTGCAATGGCTACTGGACCAGTCAGACAGGTAAAGTCAACACTGAATTTAATTCAACACATGTCTAGTCTAAGGTTCGCATAGGGGTTTTAAAGGCACCATGACGTGAGAATCTTGAACATCTGACTCGTCCTGATATGCCCTGGCGGTTTGACCAGACCTTCCACCTATGCCAATCAACCAACAGCAATGGCCTACCGGCTTGCGATCCGCTGCGTCAACTCTGATTGGTCTGCCGACCCCAGCCAATCACGTCGCCGCCTACGGTCAAGAAGCAACGTGATTGGCCGGTATCTTTCCAACTAAAATCAGGAAGGCTTCGCAACTGATTGGATAATGGCTGGCATAGCTATTACAAATCGCAAAAAAAAAACGCGAGTAGGGCGATCGCATACCCGTATGCTCGAGGGAAATGTACTCAAATCTGTTCCAGTTTGTAGCGCATAATTTTCACACCATGGCAACGAGTTTTAGAACTTAACCGGAAGCTTAATCATTTTGTAGGTATTCCCTTACGCTGTGGACGTCGACTATGACAGGCGACGCACACAGACTGTACGACCTGGTCCGCCTTCGTAAAGCCGTCTCTCCGTCACGGATATACTACGACCTTCCCAAACAGGTGATATACTGGTAACGTAACGTAACGTAACGTACCATTTTTTCCGAAGCTGTCGCCAGGGATATGTACTATGTAATCATGGTATGAAACATGAAACACTGTGTAATACCATAGTAAGTTACATAATACAATCATAGAGTAATAATCCATTCTCCTATGTAGTTCAATTATGTAATCACCTATGTTAAGATATTATATATGTCCAATACATTAACAGAAACCCGGCACTTTCCGAAAGTCTGAAAGCTACAAATTCGTGTGTTCACAGCAAAGAGAGGACTTGAAAGAAGCCGCCAAAAACAACGTGACCGGCCTTAACCCGTTGTTCTTCTTTCCCGTTGCACGACGGGATGGCCTGCTACTCACGTGGTCAGGAAGGACCAATAGCAGGGCAGCATTGCAAGAAGCCATTCTCTGTAAGGATTCTGCTAAATGCTCTCTTCCTTTTGAATTTCGAGCTACTAGAATTCTTTGGGTACCTGAGGTAAAGATTTACACGACGTGAGTCTCTTCACTGCACGCGAGGTTGACTGGAATTCTTGACACCACTATTTCCTTCGCATCAAGAAAGTGACAGTTCACATATGTAAAACATGTTAAACATGTCTTCCCACAGCTAAATCCAACATAGTAGAAGGAGACGTCATCCTCCGTGGTCACGGGACCGAACGCCAAACCAACGAGCCAATCATGGCGCGTCCTCCAGACAGCGACAGTGACGTCACGTTCGAAGAGTGGTTCGAAAACATCATGGCGGCCGAGCATGACGTAGTCCCGAAGCTGGACTTCTGGAGCGCAGACGCAGTAGTGCCGGTGGGTTATGCATTGTTAAGTCGCGGGTATGTAAAGTAGTACGGACAAAAATCCTTGGTTGAAAGTCTTTTTTCGAGAGACATTCAGGTTTTTAATTAAGCCTGACAGTTTTCAATACCTACCCAGTTACTTGAGTATCAGTTATGTTGTGTATCTCATTGCCTGGATGTCTAACATTCATCGACGTACAATCATCAATGATGCTTATATGTTTATCTTTATTCCATAGGTTATGAATGTACTAAAGAGCCACATTTCCCACATCGACTTTCCCATCATCATCAGCTGCCGTCCACTTGGCACACCGGGTAGCAACATCGAACCCCTCGACCCTTATTTAGTCTACCCTACCATATATAGCTTCTTCCCGCCAGGCGTTAGCTCAGCCGTCTCATTCGTCAACGTTACCCCGGCAACCGGGTTTCCCCAGCAGTTAGCTGAAGATGCGCATGCGCTGGCACGTGACATGCTTCGCGAACCAATCAGCTTTACCCTCAGGACTGACGTAATCGAGACGTCAATACCTACCGTAAAATGGCTACTCGGTCAGTCCGATTCTTATGGGTTGACAGTGGCGTCGCCAGAACCGATTTCCCCTGTCATTCGTAGCGAATTCGACTGGGGAAAACTTATCTATGATGGTCCAAGAGATGTTATCGATGCCTTGAGAGAAGGCGCGGGAACGGGAGGGGGTTTGGTCAACTTTTTCCAGTCAACCTACAGAATCGACGGACGCGACGGACTTAACATCAGGTGGGCCCATGGAGTCAACGACTTTCAGGCTTACCACCAACAAGCCATTCATGGTAAGCAGTTATAAATTTTCCCAGACTTAACCAAAGACTTTTTGTATATTTGGGAGTCAGAACCTTGTGACTCTCTAGTGCAGAAGAATTTTTGAGATTGAAATGTCGGAAAGTACTTTTATGAGTACGCCTGCAGAAAGGTTTTCCCGAGGGTCCCCAGGAATTTCACTTAGCAGGGATGTGGGCATAGATGTGTGTCAGCAACATTCCAGAGCTGTGAGACATTCCTGTAGACATTCCATGCTTGTCGACAAAAGTCCTGTACAATTCCTAACATTCTTGCAAACTGCACAGAATACTGTATCCCCCTGAGGCGTCGCCAAAAATTATGATGGTATCTGCTCTACAGGGCACCCTGTTCTGATGGTTGAAGCTGATGTCAACATCCGGGAGGACAAAGTTCCCGTCATGTCCGACCAGAGGGCAGGAAACGGAAGTGACGCATACCCTCTGGACGATTGGCTTCGTCTGGCCCCTTACTTCGGCATCATGCTGGAGTTTCACAGTGTGGAGGCCCTCATTCCATCCCTAAAGGTAGAATGTGATTTTTTTTCTTGAAAAATTCTCTACATGTCGTCAGACAAATAGCAATCCTATGCTCAGTCAATGACATAGTGGATCATTATACTTAACTTCTCAATCCTTTATTCTGTTACGTTGTTTCAATGTCATTTTGTGATTTTGTCTCGCTTATTGTAGATGCATATAACCGTTATGGTCTTTAAGCATGTATTTTGTTGGCATTACGTGCTGTATAAAAAGTCATTATCGTAATATGTACAACACATCTCATACTAGTACTATGTAATACAAAATGAGTCATAAGTTTTAGACATAATATAAGCTATAGTTTTAGACTATTACCTTTTAACATGTAGATTTTTAAGTTATTTAGTACTCTGTTACTTAGTTGTACATGTAACTTAGTTGTTGCCATACCATTTCTAATGAGTATTTCTTGGTTGTCGAAGGTTCTTCAGAATAAAGCCAGTGACTTGAGACTACCAGTGATGTTGAAGGGAGAACTTCCCGGTCTCTTTACCAAGGAGACTTTTATTGACCCTATCTTAGACATGTACCCACACGTCTCCATCGGTAAGTTTCATCTCTTCCTGTTGGGTTACAATGGTCTAAATTGAAAGAGCTAACTCTTTTTTTTACAAAACATGAAGTCTATGTTTGGTTTCTTGTTCCATACGTTGTTTAAAAATGTATGAGATTGGTTCAAATATCCTCACTTGAGTTTCTTCTTCTTTTGTGAACGACAGTTATCGAGATGAAACCTGATGACATGTCGGACGGATACTCTCGTTCCCAAGTTGAGGAGGTTGCCCGGATGTGCGCCAACCTGACGCAGATCGTGGTGCTGAGCGTGGATGCCAGATATGTACGTACATCATCTCGCGAGACCTCACGAGATAGACAGTCAGACCTTCAATTTACGTTGTTAAAATTGATCGCGATCCCAATGCAACAAGATGCCTGCCCATGAAATATAAAATATAAAACATAACAGACATGTCTCGATCTTATGGTATTGGTACGTCCCGGGGGGTTGAGCTGTACGTGGGTTTGTGTGTTTGCCTGAACGGAGTAGGTTGACAGCAGGTGGGTGGGGAAGATTGACAGGCAGAACGACAGGTCTGAAGGTTAGGCACAGGGAATGGGGTGAACGTGATAGTAGGTTGACAGAACGTGGGTGGGAAAGATTGACGGACAGGATGTTAGGAGATCAAAGGCCTGAAACAGGAAATTGTGTGAACTTGAAAGTGACGAAAACAAAACCCCAAAACATACTTCTTGGAAGTCTGAAATCTCTCATTTCTTAGTCTTGGTTTTATAGATACTGGATCAAAAACCCTCTGGGGCAAAAAGCTTGTTAAGCATGTCTTAAACAAAATCTTGTTAAACATGTTTTTTGTGTGTGTTATTGTAGGTGCGTGGATCCTGGGACAACCTGAGTTGGTTACTCAGCCAGTCTCCGCTCTACCATCTCTACATCTGGGCGGGTTGGCCGGAACCGGAAACGTACCAGCTTGACGTCACAGACCTGGTGTTCGTCAGGAACAGCTTCGACCGCAGCAAGGTGTACTATGACGTCACGCCTGACGTCATGGAGAAATTCAAGATGGCGCTGAATTAAACATATATGACACTAGGTTGGTTTTATGGATATTTACTGAAACTGAGACGCTTCGTCGTTAAAATTTCAAAAGAAAAGCTATTTAACGATAACAATTAAAATTTTTGTGCTGAGTGTGTCGAGACTCATATAAGTTGCAAAATTGATAACATTTCAAAGGTTATTGTAGCTAATTAGTTCCTCATATATGTACTTAATGGGGCGAGCTTAGTACGTTTTGCAGTTTGGTATCGCCATGCCAGTTTAGTTTTGCAATTCTATTGTGTACTTAAATTGTCCATGATTAGGACGCAAACAGATACTTTCTGGATTAAATATTGACTTATAACATGGAATGTGCATTTGGCTACAATTTCATATAGCTTGTTTAACAGTTGGATGGAAGTAACTTGTCATGCAAAGTTAGTTTTAAGAGAAACCGAACTTTATTTCGCCCGTGATGATATTGCGTGCTGTTGTGACGCCTGTCAGACAGACCCTTGACGTGTCCTTGTCGCATTGGGGATCAGCTAGATTAACCTTTCCTGTGTTAGAAAGCTTAAAATTGGGCTTTTCTGTTCAATTCGTGACACTGAGAGGGTTAATGGATTAACCTTATCCCGCATGGGATATGCCGCACTACTTTGGTTGTCTTTTTTTCACTATTCCCAATGTCATATAATGTACGTAACGATCTATTGACAATGGTGGAGGGGGGGGGGGCTAATAATGCCCCGACCCGAGGTGTATATGGTGAGATAATCCCTGGTCAGGTGCGATGACCACCAAATAAACCACCGAGTGAAACGAGGTGGTTTATGAGGTAGTTATCGCACCCGACCAGGGATTATCTCACCATAAACACCGAGGATAAGGCGGGGCATTAATTAACGCTATTATTATCCTATCGTAAGTTATTTGACCCCAAATTTCTTTACAAAATACCTCCGTTGCCGAAAAAAATCGTGAAAAAAACTGTTACGAAAAAAATATGTTACGTGAAACAAGACTGTGTGGACAGAAAAACATAGTCTCCACCAGACTCTTTTGCAGGCTGAATAAATAGTAGAGATCGGCAAAGGGGGAAATCATTGGCCAGAGGAGTTGGCCGGCCATAGAGGGTCCAGCTTGCGTGCAGACTACCTTAATATAGTGGCCCAAGAAAGGGCTATAGAAATTGGCACGGTCACAGTCACTATGCACGGAAAGCCGTGGGAAGGACTTTCATTAACTTTTAATGCGATGTAGGTTAATGAGTCTACCACTACTTTGCATGCGTAGGACTGCTAATTATGTACAGACGACTGGCTACCTTGAAGAAGAAGTTCCATTAACAACCGTAATACACGCAAATGACATTTTTCTAATGGATTACTACGGTACTAATGGCTTGATAAGGATTAACGTGGGCAATTCAAACGGACAGGGCTCGTCTTTTTTCCTTTGTTGTTTGCCACCAAATAAATTATTGATATTAATGATAGAAAATATAATTTGGTTATATGAATGCTGATTGCACGAAGGTAGTGGCAGAACCAACCTTTGACAAGGATCTAAAGAAAGACAGCCTTTTCGACGTACGCATTTCGGTAACAAGGCAGGTTTATTTTGTACGACATACGTACGGTCGTCGCAAGAACGTCCGGACTTGAGTGTTGAGAGCAACGTCTTAAACTGTTGAATCAACCGCTATGGGGATTCCAAAACGGGCCACCGTGATCTTCGTGCTTGTTTTCCTGGCATATAACATGCTCGGAGCGGGCATTTTTATGACGCTGGAGTACGAGGGAGAAGAACAACTGAGAGACGACGTTTTCAACATGGGAGAAGCCTTGGATGACCTTGTCTGCACCGCGTTAGGCTACGGGGCCGACTGTGCCGACAAACCGGCTTTCACCAACGCTACAAACACCTCGCTCGCGCTTCAGAGGGCCGAAGACGCTTTCAAAGAACGGATCCAAGCCCTGGCCAACTCGAGCACAGCATGGAGCGAAAAGGACATCCCAGGAATCATTATGACTGAAAGAGAACTCCGCACGCTGGTGTGTCGCGTCATCAACATCACAGAAAGGGCGGTGAGGCATGGACTGGACCCGCGGAGCACGAGAGACAGCAGCTCGCCGCGCGACTGGGGCACGTTAGCGGGGACCATGTACTTCTGCATGACCGTCCTGACGACCATCGGATACGGACATATCTCTCCGTCAAGTGAAGCTGGAAGGATGGTCTGTATCATCTACGGATTCTTCGGCGTGCCCCTGACGATCGCGTTCCTGTCTCTCCTCGGCGAGGGGATGAGGGAGATACAGGAGCGGGCGACGGTGACGGCTCTGCGGCGAGTGGGTCGCTTGGGCCCCGACGCCATGCGGAGGGCCATCGGTGGACTGTTTCTCGTGCTCGGTACCACATTGTTCGTGTTCGTACCGGCTGCTGTGTTTAGTGTTAACGAGGGTTGGTCCTACGTGGAGTCCCTGTACTACACGTTTGTAACGCTAAGTACAATCGGATTCGGTGATTATTTGGCAGGAAGAAAGAGGGGGGTTGAGTACAGCATTGCCTACCAGGCCTTCAAGGGTTTTTGGTTGTACAGTGGTCTAGCGTTTGTAGCTGGCTTGTTCTTGACCATGACACAGGGGGTTAATCAAGCTAGGGTAAGAATGGAGCAGCAAATAGATGTACCGCGTGTGAAGGGGCTCGCTGGTAAGATGGGCGGGAGTAAGGTAGGTGCTCTGACGGACACCACAGCGCTGCCTTCTGTGGGGTGACCGAAACGGTACGATCACATTTCGCCGTAGCTCGTTGCACGACTTTTTTGTCCAGACTATGTATATGCATGTTGTACAAAATGACTAAAAAACTGGTGGACGTACCGACTACTAAGTACCTAATACCAGCACAGAAAAGAAACAAGAAATAGCCATGGTACCAGACTTATCAACCAAGGATTGAGGTGTTAAAAAATTCATTCTTTCCTAGAACTATCGCAGAGTGGAACTCGCTGTCACCAAGTACAAGTAAGGGCATTATCATTACATAGCTTTAAACAATAGATGTTCAAGGTTAGGTGTAACAAGTCGTTCGGTGTCATGTAGCAAGCTGCCGCCGGGCCGCGTGCCTTTGAAGCTGGTGTGTTACGCCGAAGGGCGGTTATAGCGACTATACAGATACAGAAGCTGGCGTGTTACGCCGAAGGGCGGTTATAGCGACTATACAGATACAGAAGCTGGTGTGTTATGCCGAGGGGCGGTTATACCGGCTATACAGATACAGAAGCTGGTGTGTTACGCCGAAGGGCGGTTATACCGGCTATACAGATACAGATATTCGGTGTCGTATGCTTTTTTAAGCAGGATGTGACGTCGACAGAACCAAACACCGAAAAGTATCTAAGACAGCCTTTTTTCATAACAAGCCTTTAAGTTTACAATTTATTTATGTAAAGCAGTACAGATGCACGATTGTTTAGAATATCATACGTTTGAGAACGTACAGCGAATATGCCTGGGCTATTATTAGATCCTTAATACAGCATGTATGGCAAGAAGTCGGGCTTAGAAACTTGCAATATAGCTGAATGCTGCTTTCTTAATATTAATATCAGAAGTTCAGTCTGTACTCATATGTACCTTTGCATCTGTTTACCTGTACTTAGCCGATAGGCATGAATGTACAATAAATAAAGCTTATCTAACTATATTTCATTGTCATTGACGACATTTTTTTTAACATTTAACTTCAGTAATATAAAAAAAAACTAGGTGTTGGGTCAAGATCACTGCCACAACAGGCTGGGCCCAACAAGCTAATACAAATGACACAACCGTCTTACTTCTATAGTCTGTAACTCGATAGCCTGGTATCCAGTCTGATCGTGGTCGGGGCCGTAAGAGCTCTGTCCCGCCCACCTCACATAGGTTTCCCCATGTGTATTTCACGAGAGATTGATTAGCCCTCCACGAACATATATCGTGTTGGGGGGAAATCAAATCCCCAAGCATACTGTGATGATTAGCGTAACACTCCTACCGGGACGGTCTGTTGCTCTGGGCGGGGGAAGCTATTAGAGCCCCCGAAGACACAACCTGCCTGAACACCCCAATACCCCCAATCACGATCAGACTGGATACCAGGCTAGTAAATCGTAGAAGACCTACGTATGTTCGTGCAAGTATCTGACGCAAGACCAGGCGTCCGTGGCAGACCGTACCATCGCTACAATAAGTAAGTAAACGGCGGATCTAGTGGCGACTCGTACCTTCCACCGTGCCTTATAACGGATCTAGTAACGCACCGTACCATTCACTAAGATAAAATGTGTATTTAAGATCGTTTATCAGGTCATGATCAACAGAACGCACTGCGCCAGCCTGAAAACATTTTTTTCTTTAGTCCAGCATTTCATGACTAGACATGGCGACGGCACACTCAAGTTATATCAACTTATTTTATGCCGTCACCAACGCAGATAGAGGGCAAATACGGAACAGGACAATACTCATTTTCACCTGAGTCAAGTGAGGAAAGTCGTGTAATATAAAGTGCCTTTCCCAAGGACATGCCACTGATCCCAAGGACACAAGATCGGTGGCGTGTCAGGACTCGAACCCGGTACCTCTTGGTTCCGAGTCGAGAACTCTGCCGCTACGCCACACTACCAATTGTTTCTGTTGAAAGTCTGGTCAACATTGCATCAGAAACATAATAGTCATGACCATGGCTAACCAGTAAACTAGTAGCCTGGTTACCAAACCTATTATAGCTCCCGAGTCCTACATCCTATTTGCGGAGAGGATGTAGGACTCGGGAGCTATAATAGGTTTGGTAACCAGGCTAGTAAACTAGTAATATTTGCCTCGGCATTTTTCTTAAGATGCAAAAATACGTTGCTACTTGTGGAATTTTTATTGTTGTTGCAATCGTTGTTACGCATACTACTATTACTTTTTGTGCTTTTTGGTATACATGTATGCCACATGTATTTTTAATGATGATGATATGATATGAATCTTGATTGCATATTGATATTCCTGTCTAGACGGACAAAATGCACACGTGACCGTATGTGCTTTAACGAGTGTGGCTTTTCTCTCGGTGACGTGTGTGAGTAGTGCGCATGCACGAACTGAATGCTTCGGGTACAACAGGTGTTTATAGTTGGACATGATAAATACTTTTTATATCCGTATCTTTATCAAAGTGAATGGTACTGCCTGTTTCTAGATCCGCTATTTCACACGGCGAAAGGTACGAACCATTACTAGATTAATAGTTTATTTACCGTTAGGCCATGTTGATTTGATTATATGGATGACATCCGCGTGCGCATGAATTTTTCGTCCATTTCCTAAAAAAAGAAAAGAAAAAAAGTTTTCGACCATACTGTAAATCGTACAAATGAGCGAATATATGTCGTATGTTGTAAAAAAAGTATTGGAAAATGATACTTATGTCATAGAATGCCAAAATCAATTCAGGAAAAGAAGAAAATGTGAAGAAATGAAAATGAAGAGTATATTATTGTTCGCCACACCATACTCTGTCATCTGTTCAACCTTGATGACCACGTAGATTTCATAACGGAGGAAACTTTTTTGCCAAACTCTTTTTATTCGCTCGTGTCAGTTTTGGGGTTCCCAGGGGGTGTTATCCATATAATCAAATCCACATGGCCTTACGGTAGTGGGTACCTGGCACGGTGTTCCAAGGGCAAATGGACTTTGGTAAGCTTGCGTCAGATACTTGCACCAACATCCGTCCGTCTTGTACAGGTTACAGAGTATATAATTAAGACTTTTCTGCCGCCTTGTATCACTGATCTCGACTCAACATGAAGTGGCTCGTGGCCCTAGCAGCAGCTGCTGTTCTCGTATCAGCGGTAAGTTTTGTCTTTTTTTTCGTCACTTAAGAAATATATTTTTAAAGCAGTAACTTAAGAAATATTTCCAAAAAAATTGTAGAGATTACTCCGGAAAAAACTTTCCCTTTTTTTGTCACTCTGGGTTAGAAAATATATTCCCAGGTGGACTTGTCATATATAATGCCTGTAAAATAGATCCTAAAGTTATGGCTTAGTTTTATGGGTATCTATTTGCAGTTGTATAATCCTATATGAAATTTCCATGATTTCTAGTTGCAATTTGTCTAAGCTCTACAATATACATTGCTAAGTCATTATATAGGTTTTCTTGTCCTGGTTGGGACTTCAAAAAAATTCTATGACATTTTGTCAACATATCTTTTTATGGCCTTAAGTCAGATATTTGTCCACAGATTCTTTTTTCAAACAGGTCTAGGAAACTGCCATTGTATTCTTGTAGACAAAACGAGCTAGAGCCGAGGGATGTTATAAATAATGGTTGAGTGACTATAACTTATAAGGTTTTCTTTCTTTGGCCCTAAAAGGTGGCCGCTCGTCCTGTCAAAAGGCAGTTTCGACCCCCTGGCCCGGACGGCTTCCACCATCCCCCGCCTCCTGACGGCACCCGGCCTCCACCACCCGAGGGCACCAGGCCTCCACCGCCCGAGGGCACCAGGCCTCCACGCCCGGATGGATTCCACCACCCTCCACCTCCTGACGGTACCAGGCCTCCACCGCCCGAGGGCACGAGGCCTCCACCGCCCGAGGGCACGAGGCCTCCACCTCCCGAGGGCACCAAGCCTCCACCGCCTGAGGGCACCAGGCCTCCACGCCCGCCGCCCAGCAAAAGGCAGTTCCAACCCCCTCGCCCGGATGGATTCCGTCCGGATGGATTCCGCCCGGATGGATTCCACCACCATCCCCCTCCCGAGGGCACCAGGCCTCCACCACCCGAGGGCACCAGGCCTCCACCAATCATCGACGGATTTGCCTTGACCCGACCTCCACCTCCCGAAGGCACAAAGCCTCCACCTCCCGATGGAACCAGGCCTCCACCGCCCGAGGGCACTCGGCCTCCACCACCCGAGGGCACCAGGCCTCCACCACCCGAGGGCACCAGGCCTCCACCGCCCGAGGGCACCCGGCCTCCACGCCCGCCGCCCAGCTGGCAGTAAAGAATGATTCAAATAAATTGTACTGCACAATATCTTAGTGTGTATTTCTTTAATGATCTTCAATCCATCCACATAACAATTCAGGTATCTTTTATTAGTAACTCGGTACAACAGAAACTTCACTAAAGTTGGTCACAGAAGCGAGATTCGAAGTTACGAAAATTTTATGATTCAGACTTCACTCAAGATCTGCTTGGAGATTACTGGTTCATATATGCAAGAAATAACACAGTCAATCAGATAAAACAAGCACTGTATAGTTTGACTATGAACATGACCGAAAATTATGGGCAGGGGGTAGGGCT